GACGTCACGCCGAGTCGTCATCGCGAATCGTCATTCCTCGTCATGTCCGCCACCGCGCGCCCGTGCGCGAGCTCGAGCGCGTCGTGCGCATCGAAACGATGTTCGCCCGCGTCCCGCGCGCGCGTCGGCGCCCGCCGCGTCGCCTGTCACGCGGAAAACGCGGATAAACTCGAACGCTTTGCGGACTGGCTCAAAAAGGAAATCGACATCACGTTCAACCCGCGAACGCCCGGGGCGAAGATCGCCGGTATTGAAGTATCAGATGCAACTGCACGGTTGGAAGGATGAGTATCAGTTCCATGAGCACGCGCGCGCAACAGACGCCAACTTCCTCGCAAACATTGATTTCAACATCCCAGTGGCGACCATCAACAACATCCGTGAGAATATACGGGGAACAAAATGGCGCTATCACGAAAACGAGACCAAAAGCCTTTTCCGCCTTATTGCGGAGAAGGCGGGATCGTTCGTCATCAAGTTCAAGGCGATGGAACTGCTTGATGATCCACAGCGGTTTGGAGGTAAGTTGGTTTTTGACATGCGTCCGTGCTACTGGTGTGAAGCGACGTTCGATAATTCAAACGATCTCTATGGACATATGTTGGATTGCTCTTACAGAGATATCGACTGGAACGAAGAGAAGGTACGAGAGTGGTGCAGTGAGCAACAGTGGCAAAGAAGTAGAAAGTTTGAGAAAGATGTTGCCAGACTTGAAGAGAAGGCATCTTACTGCGAGGAGATGGTGAAGGTGACGGAAGATTTCCTGAGGTCAGTGCACGGTAACACGAAGCTAGACGTACAAGAAAAGATGAACGCTGTCATGTCGCCTGTTCGCACAACTCTTCCAAGTTGGAGAACTTGGAAAAGTGAAGGGACAGAGGATATTGAGTTGGAAACAAGTCTGCGTTTCTTGCGAGGAGGGCCAGAAGCGTGGAAACTGAAATCATTCGATGTTCAATTATCCAAAGAAGACATGGATCGCATTGACGCAGCGTTGGTTCGCTTCCTCGACGAAGGTGAAAAGAGTGAGCTCGTAGCTCAAATTCAGTTGCCTTTCTCCGCGACGGTCACAAGGGAGTCACTGCAGACGTTGAGACCTAACAGTTGGTTGAATGATGAAGTAATCAACTTCTTCATGAGTAAACACAACCTATACGTTGCTCGACACGCGAGACTCGAGCGATTGCCTGCTCCCGTGGTGAGGTGCGCAAATTCATTCTTTTTCACCAAACTCAATCGAGAGGGATACAGCGCCGTGAAAATGTGGAGCAGAGCGGGGCGACGGACCACGCATGCGTGGCTCGAATCAAAATACGTCTTTATTCCGATTAACATTCGAAACGCGCACTGGATGTGTTCGGTTGTGGATGTGCAGAGCAAAGTTATATACATCATTGACTCGTTCAACGATGAGTACCACGATGTTGGTGACAAACTTCTGGAGTGGATTTGCGAGGATGGTGAAGCAAATGAAATCTCCGTGGGCCGCAAGAGCGCTTGGAAAATTGTTCATAAAGTACTGCCGAAGCAAATGATGCAGAAGAATGGATCGGATTGTGGCATGTTTGTGCTAGCCTTTTGTCGAGACTTGTGCATGCGCATGAGCATTTCACCAGGTGCGGAACCACCCGGTATAGTTTTTACTAGCGAATCCGTGGCCGACAAGCGTCGCCGAGCGGTCCACGAGATACTGAAGATGGGAATCCAGGGCAGAATCGATACAACGCGACCGCACGTCGCATGTTCGCCAAATGAGAAGACAACGCTGCAACAAGTGGTGGATGTCAAGTCACCTCTTGGTAAACAATTTTACCGAGATGGCGCAACGGAGAAATTACCACGCGTGCGAATCAAGCAAGGACGTATGGAAAAACAGATGGTCGTTTATCAACCGTTCATACTTGTTCTAATGAGGCCGGCGCAAGAGCGCCTGCTGTGGAAGTATGGCGATCAAAGATGCATTCAGATGGATTCTACCTTCAACATCACCAGATCAAAGTTCAGTACTTTCACACTCATTGCGAGGCATCCCGATGGATTCTATATGCCTCGCGCTTTCTTCATCACGTCAGATGAGCGCCAGGAAACGATTGTGTACTGCCTTCAAGTCATTCGCGACAAAATCAATAAAAAGTACTCAGGAGGCACTTGGTGTCCAAGCACTTTCATGGTAGACTGTTGTTGGGCTGAAACAAATGCCATTGAGCAAGTATTCCCGAAAGCGAGAGTGTTGTGGTGCCAATTCCATGTGTTCCAGGCGTTCAATCGAAACATAACGAGTAAGCTGGCCGAGAAGCAAGGTGAAAAGGCTTCCATAGCCATCTCGCCGAAAGAGCGTGGACAGATAAAGAAAATACTTTGGAAGCTGGTGAAGGAAACATTTCAGGATGACGATGCCTGGGACAGAGCATACACGAGCGTTTTGGAATTATGTGACCATAAGCAGAAAGAAATAGATAAACAATTCGGTGATGCGGCGTGGACGACGTGGCGATCCTTTCGAAATTACTTGGAGACGCAATGGGGGCGACATAGGAAGCTGTGGGCGAGACATTTTCGAAGCGGGTTGACGTATGGGACGCAGGAGACAACTGGATCAATCGAATCGTTTCATGGACGTTGGAAGGCTCGCCTCCTGGCAGATGGCAAGGGAGATATCCGATCTCGTCGCATGGACTGGCTCATTCATCACTTACAGCACGAAATCATTCCTCGATATTGTGACAAGGTCTGTCAAGCCGAGACGAGCATGGCGCCTGCGCGTGTTAGGAAGGCCATGTTTCATGTCGTAGACGATGCGAAAACGATCGATGACTTAAAACATGTTGAGAAGGAAACGGGCGATGAAGGCACACGGTTCTCTGTGTCGTATAGAGTCAATTACTCGGGAGAAGTGCACAACGTGTCCGGTCTAGAGACTTTGGAAGACTGTGCGTTGGACAGGGATCACACACAAGTAAAGTGCTCTTGTGCGCTCGGACGAAACGGCCAGGTTTGTGCTCCGAAAATGAAAGCGATGCTCATGGAGAACGAGCTTTGGACGTTCAAGGCATTGAACATTCAATGCAAACCTGATGTTGTTGAGAGAACTGAGTTTGATGTAGACGTGCCTATGATACAAGATGATGTTGAAGCCTTCCAACCGACTCATCGGAGAAGCCTTGGAGCAGCTTTCGACAACGTGAGTGTAAAGTCACGCTGCGCACAAATCACAGCCGATTTGACACAAGTCGCACTCGATCCGGAGCTTACGTTGGAGCCTGATGAAGCCGCACACATCATAGACACCCTCGCCAAACTTCAACGCTACATGCACAACTTGAAGACGCACAGAGAGATGTCCCAAAGCATGTCCAAGAATAGCAAGATGGACGGCGATGGCGTGATCGGTATGTCGAACCTGGTTGCAATTCCTATGAGAGGCGCGGCGGGTGATACGGCGTTGAGCAGGAAGAGGGGCTGGCACGAGAAGATGATCGATGAGCACAAACGCAAGGCAAGCAAAGGCGAGCAAATTAGCATTAGGAACTACCTCTTATAGATGTTGTAGAGAGTATTTTAGCACCTTGCAACATCTGGTTGGTGGTCAAAACCTCTTGGAGACATTTTCGCCCTTAACATTTTCGCTCGTAACTCGCTACGGAAGAATGAAACAAGATTTAGCCACGCCCAGTTCTCGCACAAATTTGCAGAAGGTTCTCTCACACCTCGTGCATTTGGAAGATGGGACCCTTTTTTTTTATTTTCGCCAGTTGCCAGCGCGTCCCACGACGCACACGCCGCGCAACGCCCGCAAACCGTCCACGCGATGACTGCGCACGGGCCTATCGCGTCGAAACGACCATGAAACCGCACGTCGCGTCGGGCACGCGTCGGTGAGGAAAGATGGAATTGGAAAAATTTGGAAAACTAGAACGACGACGCCGCGCGCGCCGCGCACGGCGTCGCGCCCTAGTGGCGATCTACACCACACCGGTATGGTGTGTTTGAACGAATCACCACATCTCGCGACGTGCGGTGCTCGTCGCAGCCGCGCATCTCGCGCGAGTCGCCGAATGGGCGATTTCGAAGATGGTAGCCTTTTCCCGTTACCTTCTCATGCCCGACATCTTCCGATCGGATACTGTTAACCCATACATCGACACTCTTGGATCATGACTCGACCTGGGGGGGGTACTCTTCTTGTAGGGTGGGAGTCAAAATCCCTGACGCTCGCGCTTGCTTGACGGCGATGGCGCTTGCGTTTTGAATGTACTCGCTGTTCAGTCGCAACTTTAGAGAGAGAGTGCTTTGCGATAGAATTCGAATAATCTCATCATTATTATTACAAAAATACTGTATCAAATCAAATATATCGGGTTTATGAATGAATGGAGTTGACCGGGACGACGATGCCGTTCGCCAACTTGATGTGGTCGGCGCCGCAAAGCGTCAACGAGTATCAAGATCTCAAATGCTCGGAGTGTCGCAAGTGAGCACTATGAATCGTGCTCCTGTTGACGTCGACGATCGACTTCTTTTCGCAATTTCAGTGGCGGTATTATGGCAGGAGCCCATTGCTGCAGAAAAAAAACACCCTTGCACGTCGGGAACGGCGGCTTCGGCGTTTTGAACAAGTCAGCGCTGTCGATGCGGATGGATTGTCCAAGAACGTTTCGTGGGCGACTCGCTACGTGTTTCGCCAGACCCTCGCTTGAATACAATGAGACATCGAAAGCACCGACAGCAATCTGAGTCTTTAGATATATAACTTTGGCGGCGAGACGTGCTTCAGCGTCTGCCACGTCCGCTAGACGCTCAACTTTGGACGGTGAAAGCGCGAGACCTGTGAGTGCATCTGGAAATTTCTCCTCGAGGACGCGGTTGATGCAAATCGCGTTCAAAGCGTGCTCGATACCAGAAGACTTGCGGTGGCAGTCCGTCTCGTCCCATTCTGATCCCGTAAGCGTGTTGGTGACGGCGACGGCGGTGGCGTCGGCGGCGGCGCCGTCGCTGACAACTTGGTGCTTCAGTGGGTCGGCGCGGTACACGTACCGGCGAAGATTGACCGCGCAAGCTTGAATGGTGGCAGAGCCGGAAAGCAAGCTGTTGGAGACGGCCACCAGCTTGTCGTCGCGCTTGACTTGCTGGATGGACGTGTCGTCGCCGATAGCCATCATGTCCGCGAAGCGGACGCCGGCGAGAGAAAAGCCACCGAAATAGAGGTGCGTGTCCGTGCTCCAAATGATGTTAGTAGTCGCATCGATGTGCACGAGAAGCGTATACTGACCGGAAACGCGACGTTGCCCACTGTCGTTCTGAATCATCAAACCCGTATACGACGAGTTTGTGCGTGAGCGAGACTCCTCTTCGAACCCTTCCAAACGAATGTGCTCGACGATACGACTGTCGTAGCATTCGCCGAAGTAACGCTCGGGAGGGACGAGATGCGATCCACCACCCATCGACTCGAACGAATTCTGCACCGTATGCAGCTGTCCCTCAAAAGGCGCGACGTGCACTTCGCTAGAATCTTCAGCATCTTTAAGCCATCGGTAACCAAATTTATGTGCACTCCAAACCGCACCGCGCATGCGGCGATTGCCGACATCCCGCGGTGGAATCACGCAAACAAACCGGGCGCTCGAATAAACTTTGTACTCGGACTCCAGGTAATCTGTTTCTTCGAATTTGCTTACGTACAGATCTGCCAAAAGATCCGGGATGAGTCCCGCGACGCGACAGGTGCCACCTAAAAATTTCAGCAAAGCCACTCCAGAAAAGTCTTCCCAAGCGCGCATTCTTGCTGGTGCCGTTGCTTGCGCAGAGGCAGACCAACACAAACACGCCTTCCAATACTTACGCACGATGCGAGACGCGAGTTCAGGTGTGGAATCGGATAATCCTTGAACGAATATCTTCGTAAGCCGGTGCCCGAATTCCAAAAAAGTTCCAGACTGGCCATCCGCCGATTGAAAATCGGCGTCGATCGGCTGCGCCTCGCGCGGCGAGGTTAATTTGAATTCTTTGGCCGCATGACGCAGAAATCCAACCGCGTTCTCGCCGCTCAAACAGAGCTTCTCACCAGTATATTTGTGTATCCAAGACGTTCCCTTTCCTTTGTGGCTTCGTTTGAATTTTTCTAATTGAAATTTTCGAACGAACGCGACGCGAGCGTACTCTCGTTGGTTTAATCGGTCGTACGTTTGTGACCACGCAAGCACATCATCGAGAGGCGCTCCTATCGGGAACAAAATCTTTGCATCGAACACCTGCGTATCTCTAGCAAAATGTACATGCGGAGGATACGTCGCCGATCGCTCGTCCGTCGCGCGATCGTCTTTCATGGCCGTTACTCGCTTCGAATCAATGCGCTCAGGTGCCGCCGCGTGAGCAAGTTTCAGTCGCTTGTAGTTCTGCACTGCACGATCGCAACAATCCACACACGACTGTACGTAGTCGTCTTTAAACTTGTCCTGCGCGAGCATCTTCGTGCACTTCAGACAGCAAGAAGATCCGTCATCGCCCACCGTTCGCTTCGCCTTCGCTACAGTCGTCTGCGTCGTCCGAGAAAGACCGATTAGTATCAACACGATTTCGTTCACCATCGACGTACCGGAAGTCCTTGCTCATCGCGCCGCGCCGCGTTCGATACCGCGTTCAGTTTCTTGTTCTTACTATTCGTGAAGCCAGATCCTTTCTTCTTCCGCGGCATTGTTGACGATGCCGACGCCGCCGCTTTCTGCGCGTCTCACAATGACGTTCGGCGTCTCGATTTAAGTGTCATCGCATCATCGCGCCACCGATCGATCCCCGCGCGGGCGCATTCTCGATCGATCCGCGCGTTGCGGTCGCAAAACGCATCACCACGCGACGTTCTTCGTCATTCCTCGACGTTCCGCGCGCTCGGAACGCGCGATCGCGGCGTAACAACGACGCGCGCGCGTGTCGACACCAATCGCCACTTCCGAGAAAAGTCGACACATCGATCGTCGCGCGCGCGGTGGACGTCGCTCGTCGATCGGGACCTCGCCTCGGGGCGACGTCGTCGTCGGCGACGCGGTGGCGTCCACCGCGCGTCGCGTGGACGACGACATGGATGACGACGCGCGCGACGGGACGGACGACGGCACGGCGAACGATGGGCCTTCGAGCGATGGGACGGCGGATGCGCGCTCGAACGCGCTCGCGGCGGTGTTCTTCGCCGTGGGCGTCGGGACGCTGGCGCCGTGGAACGTGTTCATCACGGCGCGCCCGTACTTTGCCGCGCGATTCGCGACGTCGAACGAACGCGCGGTCGAGGCCTCGTTCGAGGCCGCGTTCGCGAGCGCGTACTCGGTGAGTAATCTCGTGGTGTCGTGGGCGGTGTGGCGGTCGCAGTTGGTGGAGGGGAGGCGAGACGGAACGCGGTTGACGGGGCCGTTGTTTGTCGTCGGTTTGGCGTTGTGGACGTGCGGGGCGACGACGCGGATCGATGCGTCGCCGGATTTCGTGTTCGCGGAGACTTTATTGATAATCGCGTTCGTAGGGGGGCTGACGGCGATCGCGCAGAGCGGGGGGTTCGCCGCGGCGAGCGCGCTGCCGGCGGCGTACGCGCAGGCGATGATGAGCGGACAGGCGGCGAGCGGAGTCGCGGTGTCGCTCGTGGCGATGATGACCACGGCGGGGATGGGAGAGACGATGAAGGCGAACGAACGTCATGCGGAGGCGTACTTTTACGTCGCCACCGTGACTTTGTTCGCGTGCGCGTGGGCCACGACGCGGTTGGCGAAGATTCCCATGTACCGGAGACGGCAAGAGGAGGCGCGCGAGGCGGAGGCGCACGCGGATACGGCGCGAGTGGAGACGAGGACGTTGCTAGGGGGTGACGAAGACGAGATCGAGGGAGATAGCGTCGAGGATGTGGAGCGGAACGACGAGGCCTCGGCGTCGTTCGACGCAAAGGAGGAGTGTCGACTGTATCGATTGACAGTTGTGACGACATTTGTCGCGACGCTGTGCGTTTTCCCAGCCGTCACGAGCGCGATCGAGAGCACGAGCGGGACGTTCGGCGCGCTCTGGTCTCCAACGCTATTCTTGCTTTTCAACTTGGGTGATCTACTGGGACGACACTTGGCGTCCATCCATCCCAAGACGCCTCCAAGCGGTCGCTCACTTCTCCAAACGGCGACGCTTCGATTCGCTTTTGTGCCTCTCATCGCCGTCTGTAACGTCTCCACCTCGGGTTGGCGCGCCCCAAAAGTGTTCACCATGGACGTCTTCCCGTTATTCTTCATCACATCCCTGGCTGTGACAAACGGATGGACCGCCAGCGTCGCCATGATGCACGGCGCAAGCCGAGCGCATCCATCCAAGCGTGAAGCCGAGGGCGTGGTCCTCAACTTTTGCCTCGTCGCCGGCATATTCGCTGGGACGACGCTCTCGCTCGTGTTTTCCAGCGTTTGAACGCACGTATACGCACTGTGTAAGCTTGTAAACTATGTATCGCCGATTCATCCGTTCCGCCTCTCGTCTCGTTCGCTCGCTTCGCTTGGCGTCTCTCGCGCCCTCTCGCCTCACACGCGCACGCGTCTTCGCGAGTCGTCGTCCACCGCCGAGCGCTTCGCGTGTAACTTATCGAGAGCGCGTCGTCCGTGCGCACGACGCATCATGGGACGAGGACGATTCAACAAGAGACGCGGCGGACGCGGCGGCGGCGGCGGTCGCGACGGCGGCGGCGCTTTCGCTCGTGACTTTAAGCGACAAAAGCGCGGCGACGATCGGAACGCGAGCGATCACGGCGGACACGCGGACATCGTTCGAGAGAATGCGCAGTTTGAGGCGTATTACAAGGCGCAGAAGATCGTCCCGGAGCAAGAGTGGGAGGAATTCCTGACGAGTCTGCGGACGCCGCTGCCGATGACGTTTAGGATCAACGGAAGCGGCAAGTTCGCGACGGATCTGCGGGATAACCTGGAGGGAACGCTCTTCGCCGAGTTGTTGGAGACAAAATTGGTGGACGAGGAGAACCACGAGATCCCTCCGCCCAAGCCTCTGGCGTGGTATCCCGAGCGCTTGGCGTGGCAGTGCAGCTACACGCGAACTCAACTGCGGTCCAAGCCGATTTTGCAAGGGATCTTCGACTTCATCAAGACGGCGAACGAGATCGGATCAATCTCCAGACAGGAGGCAGTGTCGATGATTCCGCCTTTTTTCTTGGACGTTCAGCCGCATCACCGGGTTTTGGACATGTGCGCCTCTCCTGGGAGCAAGACGTTTCAGATTTTGGAACGCATGCACGGCGATTTCGAGGGTAACGCCAAGCTCCCGACCGGTTTCGTCGTCGCCAACGACGTTGATTTGAAGCGTTGCAACTTGCTCACGCACCAGACGAAGAGAGCGAACTCGCCGACGCTTCTCGTGACTAATCACGAGGCACAAAATTACCCTGTCATCAAAGGTCCGAAGGGCGAGGTCTTTGATTTCGACGCTATTTTGTGCGATGTCCCGTGCACCGGCGACGCGACGATGCGTAAATCTCCCGATATCTGGACTAGATGGACGCCTGGCAACGGCAACGGGTTGCATAGCCTGCAGCTTAAGATTGCTATGCGCGGTGCGCAGCTCGTCAAGGTGGGCGGTCGGCTCGTGTACAGCACGTGTTCGTTGAATCCCATCGAGAACGAAGCAGTCGTGGCGGCGCTTTTGAAGGAGTGCAAGGGTGCGTTAGAACTTCTCGACGTCAGCAAAGAGTTACCGGATCTCAAGCGAAGCCCTGGAATTCACGATTGGCAAGTGTGGGACAAGTTTGGATACCATCCATCATTTGACGGAGGGGAGGAAATGTACAAGCTGAGTAGGACCATGTTTTCAGATGAAGAAACGAAAAAATTGCCCCTCGAGCGATGCTTGAGATTATTACCGCATCACCAGGACACCGGTGGATTTTTCGTCGCCGTGTTCCAAAAGGTGGAGGCGATGGAGGTTCCTGCTGACGCCTACACAAAGAAGCAAGCGATGAAGGAGCGCATTCGCCTTACGCTCAGTGTCAACGCACAGGACGAAATCAAAATGTCTCATGAGGTGTATCAGTTGGTCAGTAAGGGTGCATCAGACGTGGTTCCTCCGATTGAAGGTGAAAACGGCGAGTACCTGCTCCCGCACCGGGGCGCGAAGGGTCCAAACGGAGGGAGCAGGTGGTTGGGCATCGACCCGGTGTTGCCAGTGAACGATCCCAAGGTGATTAACAGCATCTACGACGTGTACGGCATTAGGAGTGAGGACATAGCGTTGCACAAGAACTGTGTGACGCGTACCCTGGACACCTCTCGCCCGAAGCGTGTGTACACAATGACTGATTCGTTGCGAGAGTATTTGGCGTGCGACGTGGGCGAGAGCCTTCGCGTTACGTGTTGTGGTCTGAAGGCGTTCGAACGTCAGGAAATCAAAGAGGATGACGAGGATGACGTGTGCGATTACCGTCTCACTCAAGACGGTCTACCGATGATGTTCCCTTTCGTGACGAAGCGCATCATCCGTCCCACGTTTACTGACTACAAGATGCTCCTGGAGCGCCGCACGCTGGCGTTCGAGTACAGCGCCGACGCGCCTCAGCGCGCCGTCGTTTCCGACCCAGAGACCAAAAAGGCATTGCTCGATCTCACGCTTGGGTGCTGCGTCCTCGTTCCCAAGGATGAAGATCTCGCTGCGCACAACTTCACGATGCAGGATTTGGCCATCGCGTGCTGGAGAGGACGCACCTCCACCAACCTCCTCGTCTCCAAGGCGGAGACGATCCACTTCATCGACAAAGTTCGAGCCGTCCCCGTCCTCGCCACCGAATCCAAGGGCGAAGCTCCCATGGAAACGGCGTGACTGCCGTATTGTGATCTGTAAGAAATCGCGTTAGCCGAAACATCCGCACCCGTGCGTTATCCGCGTTTTCCTCGACTGCACTCGAAGGCATCTCAACCGCGCGACATGTCCCTCGCGTTCGCCCCAATCGGCGCGTGCGTGTTAAAGCATCCCCTCGACCGTCACGACACCACCGCCGAGCGTCGCGCGCGCGCACGCACGGCGTCGACGAGCAGAAAAGATGCTTCGGCTTCAACCGAGTCCGAGACTTTGAGCGCCATCACGTCGTCCTCTCAAGCGCCAATGACGCTCAATCGCGCGTTCCGTCGAATGTGGACCAAGGCGGACGCGTACCATGCGCACGGGATCTCTGGTACGGTGTACACGGTGCTCGGGGCGGGGATGATGGGCGGATGGGCGGTGGACGACGCGGTGGCATTGACGAGCGGCGTCGCACCGCCACCGATGGACGGATCGCTGACGATGTTGGCGTTGACATTGGCAACAGTGTGCGCGGTGAGCGGATTACCACTGTCGAAAAGCCGAGGATGGCGTAAGACGGAGCTCAGTGCGCGTTCAATAGCGTTTCAGCTCGTGCTGACGTGGGAGTGCGTTCGATTCGCCAGCGTCGTTGATCCCTCGATGCACGTCCCCCTCTTGGACGCCGTCGCCCTCGGATTACTGCCGTTCGTATGGCAAACGATGACGTCGGCGTACATCATCACCGCCACGAAGGATGATAAACGCGCGGCGCTCGCGGTTTGGTTGGGCACGCTCGGTTTTGGCGCGCAGATTTTCCCCGCCCAGCGCGTCCTAGACCTCGCCAGCGTCGCCGCGCTCGAGGCTTCTAGACCAGGTTTACCCACCATCTGGGCGCACGGCACGTTCGGCCTGATCTGGCTCCTGAACTGGTCCACATTTGGGGCGTCCCTGCGCGCCCGCGACGTCGTCGCCCGCGACGACGATTACGTCGCCTGGTTTCTTCTACGCCCGAGCGCGTTTTGGTTCGTCTTATTCGCCCTAGACGTTGCCGTTCGACGCCCGTTCGACTCCGTCACCGAGTACCTCGCCTCCGGTCTCGGCGCCGTCCTCACCGCGGCCTGACCTCGAGCCGGGACCAAAAAGCAAAAAGCGACCACGGGGTGTGCCGAGATCTCAAAAACGAATCCCGCGAAATACCACATTTCATACATACACCTACAACACACACAATATGTATCACACATCCGATCAAATATGTTTATCGTGAAAATATCTCAAAGACGATCACTTTTCACCCACCTCGCAGCTCCCGTCGCGGCGCCGGCGCGAGTGCTCCACGGACGCCGCGCGCGTCGACGCGGGCGACGCGCGATCGTTCGCGAGACGTCGGCGGTGCGATTGTCTCTTCGCTCTCGTCCGCGTTCGATCGATCGAGCGTCCAGGGAGGCGGACGCGAGGATTAATCCAAACCATCGTTTCCTCGACGCGGCGACCGGGACGGCACAGAGACGGGACGGGTCTCGAGACGCGAGCGATGTCCGACGCGCGAACGCGCTCGCGAGGGACGGTGGACATCGATGGTGAGACATTGAAGCGCGCGGATCGGGGGCGACGGGGGCGTGAAAGCGGGGATCGGCGGAGCGAGACGAACGCGGTGGCGGCGGCGGGAGAGGACGGCGGCGAGCGAGACGCGGACGCGCTGCGAGTCTTGCTCGCCACGGATGACGCGCACACGCGAGGAATGGTGCATAAAATGTTGAGAGAGCTCGGAGTGGAGGTTGTGATGGCGACGAACGGGAAAGAGGTCTTGGAAGTTTTGCGAGGAAGGCCGAAAGGCGTGGCGGCGGCGGCGGAGGACGTTTCGGTGGACATGATTTTGTTGGATGTGCTCATGCCCGCTTTGGACGGCGAGGTCGAGCTCGTGGAGGTGTGCAAGTCGAATGAAGCTTTACGAGGCGTTCCCATTGTTATCATGTCCACCGTGGACGAGCGGAAGGCGTGCGGGACGCGGTACGAGCATTCCGGCGCCGCTGGTTTCCTGACAAAGCCAGTGAACCGAACCGAGCTCAAGGAGAGCTTATCGCACACGCGCATGCTGAAAAGTCACGAGAGTGGCAGCGCCGAGAATGATGGCTCCGGGAACGATCCCAACGTCGGAAGCGCCAAGTCTTCACTCACAAAGCTCACCAACGGGGAGAAGGCAGCTGGCGGCTCGGGCGACGGCGGTTCCGGTGGTGGTGGATCTGGACAGGGACAGAACGATTCCGGAAGCGATAATGTTCGATTGTATAACGAAGGTAACGAGAAATCGCGACGTCGCGAGGCTGAGGCGATGGATCGATGGGCCAGTCGAGAGGGCGGTTCCGGAGACTGCGGCTCTGGAGGATCCGGTCAAGGCACCGGAAGCGGTAGCGGTTCGCACGAGGGCTCGGGTTCTGGACAGCGAGATTCGAACGAAAACGAAAAGTTTCGAGGGCTGAGCGTGCAGCTCATCAAGGCTCACGGAGGTGCGACGACCATGCTCGAACTGAGTTTGCCCGAACACTCGTCCGAGCACGTCGTCGTTCGACGATCGAACTCGCGCTCCGCGTTCAAGGGATTCCAAACCTACCTCAAAAGTGAGAAGAAGGAAAGTTCAGTGCAAATGATGAGCCTAGATCTAACGCAGCAACAACACCAATCGTTTTACGAGGCATCCTCTATGATGCCGCCGGCGGATTTTGCCAGATTTTACGGGCCCATCATGCCTGCGGGCATGCCGCCGCCGCCAATGGATCTACCCTTACCGCCGCCACCGTACATCGACATGAATCAGTTTACGGCTGCCGCGTTCACATCGGCCTCGATCCGACCTGACATGATGGATTCGACCGCAAACCCGTTCTGGAGCGTGTTGCAAACCGCGGCGGATCACACGCAGCAGACGAGTTCAAGCCAAGCCGCCGAGCATCGCGCCGCGGCGATCCGACGCTTTTTGAAAAAACGCAAGGAGCGTAACTTTGACAAGAAAGTCCGTTACGCTTCGAGGCAGCAGCTCGCCGCGTCTCGTCCTCGCTTACGTGGACAATTTGTACGCAACGCTGAGGAGACGACGACTGAAAACGGCTCAAACGGTTCTGACGGAAAGAAATCAAATGAGTTCAACGCGAGCGCCGCCAAAGGCGAAGTCCAGGGCAGAGAGGAACAATACGTCGATCGTCACGGTTCCAACACCGGTACCTCGAACGAGGGCTCAAAGGAAGGATCGCGAAGCTCGTCTCGCGACGGCTCCAAGTGAACTTGTATTAATGATTATGATTATGAGTAAATCCAAAAGAATTCAACCTCTAGGCACTACAAGTACTTCTAGTGCTACCGGTAATGATCAAACGTTCCTCGTTATGTCGTGAACATCAAGTACTTATCATCCCGATAAATGACGAGGACTAATACTCGAGGGCATTTTGGCGTGCACGGATCCCGTTCTATTTTCTTCACCGGCGCGCCGGTGAGATTGCTCGGTACTTGCGGGAACGACCAAACTGTCACGACAGACCAAGGGGCGCCGTGGTCGTTTACCAGTTTTCTCGCGAATTCAATCGCGCGCTCGATCTCAGGATGGAGTAAGAAACCGGACAGGCGGTGGACGTCGACGGCGTCTTTTCGCTCGCTCGCGTCGCCTTGAACGTATTCGTTCCCGAGGCTCAGACGACCGCAAAACTCGAGTATGCGCTCTAAATCGTCCACTTCGAACGGCTTCGACTCTCCTCTGTTCGGTGGGTCCATGGACGCTAACAAAATCGCCTCTTCACACGATAAATCCACCATGACGCGTTCCGAAACCGTTTCGTTCGCGACCCGACTCGCCTCCATCACCGTCGGCGGGAACGTCACGTCCTCCGGTCTTCCGTCAACGAGCGACGCGCAAAACACATCACTCTTCCCAATCCTACCCTCCAGCGTCCTCGCGCACGCCCCGAGCCGATCGTGAAACCGATTCGACACTCTAAACTTCTCCCTGCGACAGTTTACGCTCGCCGCGCGCTTCCCTCTCGCGTCCTCCGTCGTCCCCAATCCCAACATCGACGCCGTCGTCGACGTGAGCGACGCGACGAACCTCCCACTCGGCGTCACGCACCAACAATCGTTCGCGTCGACGTCCACATCACGCGTGATCATCCCAAACGTTCGCGTTCCCGTCCTCGCCGCCTCGCCTTCGCCACCCGTCCCCGCGTACGCCTTCACGAATCGCGCGTCCAACGCGTCCGCGATCGACATCGCGACCTCGTACCTGGACGATCCCTCGCACACCTCGCTCGTCCACGCCGCGCGTCCGTCGTCGCACCGCGCGCCCGTCGACGCGACGTCCACGCGCGCGCACATTGGAAATTCCCTCGCAATCATTCGCATCACATCCCACTCCGTGGGCGCGAACGCGCGCCATCGCGCCCGACGACGATGGCCCATCGTCGATCGCGCCCGGGTGCGCGCGCGCGCGAATCCGCGGTCGCGTCGCGCGACGACGCGCGCCGCGAAAGGTCCAACCGTCCGTCACGCGCGTGACGCACTCACGCGACGCGACGACAGACGCCGACGCGCACCGAGGCGCATGGACGCCTTCGGCGACGGCGTGCCGTTCGGTGACGTGCGTGCGATCGCGCGCGACGCCGCGGGGGCGCGGACGCGGACGGGCGAGGCGACGCGGTGGCGATGACGATTGGGCGTTGAATGGTCCAATCGTCCACGCGTCCGAGCGTGACTGACGGCGATGACCTCGCGCGCGCGCAGCCGGGATGGTACGGGTCGTTTAATTCACCGTATTACGCGTCGACGCACGAAAAGTTTCGAGCAAAGGTGCGAGCGTTCGTCGAACGCGAAGTCGCGCCGCGGACGCACGAGTGGGACGAGACGAAGACGATTCCGAGGGAGGTGTACAGGAAGACGTACGAGGCGGGGATCATGCCCGCGGTCGTGGGGAAACCGTGGCCGAAAGAACTGGTGCCGGAGTGTCCGGAGCCGGAGGGGTTCGATTACTTTCACGAGCTCATCGTTTTCGACGAATTCGCCAGGTGCGGGAGCGGCGGCGTGCTCTGGGGGTTGTTGGAGGGCATACACATCGGTTTACCCCCGGTGCTGAACTTTGGGAGCGAAGACCTGAGGCGCAGAGTCGGTGCGCCGTGCTTGCGCGGCGAGGGGATCATATGCCTCGCTATCACCGAGCCGTACGCCGGGAGCGACGTGGCGAACATACGGTGCGAGGCCAAGTTGGATCCGAGTGGGAAGTTTTACAGCGTTACCGGCGAGAAGAAGTGGATCACGAACGGGATCTGGGCCGATTACTTCACCGTGGCCGTGCGCACGGGTGGGCCCGGGATGGGTGGAATCTCTTTGCTCGTCATCGAACGCTCCATGCCGGGAGTGGACTGTCGACGAATGGACTGCATGGGCGTGTGGGCGAGCGGGACCACGTTCATCACGTTCGAGGACGTCAAGGTTCCGGTGGAGAACCTCATCGGCAACGAAAACGAGGGATTTAAGTACATAATGCACAACTTTAACCACGAGAGATGGGGTTTCGTGATTCAGGCGAACAGGTTTGCGCGCGTGTGTTACGAAGAATCGTTCAAGTATGCGCACCGCCGACGCACCTTCGGGAAGCCGCTCATCGAACACCCGGTGATTCGACACAAACTCGCGGAGATGATACGACAAGTTGAGGCTACGCACTGTTTGCTGGAGACGATTACGTATCAGATGAACACGATGACCAAGGAAGAAGCCGCGAAGGCGCTCGCGGGCATCACCGCGTTGGCGAAAGTGCAGAGCACAAAGGTATTTGAGTTTTGCGCCAGGGAGGCTGCGCAGGTGTTCGGCGGGGCCTCGTACGTGCGAGGAGGTCAGGGAGAAAAGGTGGAACGTCTTTACCGTGACGTGCGCGCCTACGCCATCCCAGGCGGGAGCGAAGAGATCATGTTAGACCTCGGCGTGCGACAAGCGATGAAGCAATGGAAAATAGCGCAGTCGCGCCTGTAATTTCACGGCATCTTCTAAGTACTATATTTTCTACAACTCATTCGCGGCTGATATGAGTTCGCTTGATGTTGGAATCGGCGCTTTGTTCTCGTCCGTTCCCTCGTCATCGGCGACTTGCTTTTCCAGAAAGGAAACCCATAGATCCGCGACGGGTACTTCCCTGTTCTGACCCGTTGCCCCCGTGACTTCCAGCGCGACGCCTATGGCGCCCGCTGCGATGCTCACGGGTGCTCTCGCGATCTTTCCGAGAACGCCCCTCTTTTTATTCTGATTTTTCAGAGCCTCCATTCTCGCCTTTTGCTTTTCCGAAAAGCCGAGCATCTTTGCCAGTAAGTTGAGAACGTCCTCCGCCTGTTTGCGCTCGAGGTAGGCGATGAACAAATCGCTCACGATGCGCTTGTCCAACAATTTTTCGCTCTCCACCATCATATCGCTGCTCTTTTGAAGCGCGTGATGGAGCGCTTTCCTGAGCTTGCTCGCGTCTGTGGTGGCCTTGATGCACTCCTCCTTGGCAATGTTCAAGTGCGCCTCAAACTTCTTGAGCCGCTCCTCTGCCTCAGTCGCCCGCGTCTTGGCCTCCGCGCACGCCGCGCGATCGCTCGCCGCTTGTGACGTTAAACTCGCCACCTTTTGTCGCAGAATCGCCGCTTCGGCTCGTCGCGTCTCCGCGTCTTCGAGTTCGGCGTAATACGCGCCGAGCGCCTTTTGCAAATTGTTCACCTCCTCATCCCGCGCCTCGAGCGTCGCCCGCAGCTTCGCCACCTCGGCGTCGTTCCCACTCATATTCTTCTTCAATTCACTCAGCTTACGTTCGTACTCTCGCCGCTCTTCCTCCCTCGCCTCGTCGATTTCCCGTTCTTGCTCCTCCGCGACCTCGTCCTCCTCATCCTCCAGCGCCAAGAGGTGCGCGCGAAGTTTCTTCAGCTCCTTCGCGTTCCGATCCCGCTCCGCTCGCAGCTCTTCCATCTCTCTCTGCGCGTTTTCCATCGCCGTCGCGTGTCTCGCCGCTTCCAATCCCATCATTCGCTCCGCCTCTCTCGCGCGTCGCTCGAGCGCGTCGCCGTTCGCGTCCTCTCCGCTTTCTCTCAACGCCTCAATCATCTTCGCCGTCTTGATCTGTTCCCGCTCGATCGCCTCGTTCACCGCTCGACGCACCGCGTCGTCGCGGTCGTCCCTCGCGTGCGCGTCCGCGGTCGACGACGGCGCGTCCGGACCGCGTCCATCGTCTCGAGCTTTGAAATCTGCGTGGGCGATTGATGAGACATCCTCGCGCGTCGTCGCGTCCGCGTCGGTCTCGAGCGACGGCGCGCGATCGCGACCGCGGCGTGCGTTCGCCTCGGCGCGAATCGCGGCGAGACGCGCGGCGACGGCGTCGGACATGTCGAACGCGACGCCCGGCGAGGCGCGCGGTGCGGCGCGCGGCGTCGGCGGCGGTCGGGACGTTACACATCGCGGCATCGCGCCGCGCCTCGAGCGAGTCGAGCGACGTCCTCGGGCGCGAGACGCACGATGTGATCGTCGAGGGCGTACTCGAGCGCGGCGCCGTCGATCAAGACCTTGTAAAAATCATCCCCGGCGCGCGCGCACACCCAGAGGCGGCGGGCGGAGACGAACGCGACGACGCCCTCGCGTCCCACCGCGTCGGGCTGTCGAGCGTGCGACGTGACTTTCACGACGCACCCGTGTAAATCAATCTCCTTCGTCAGCGCGCGTCGCGCGGCGGACGCGTCGCGGGATTCCACGAGACCGCGCGCGTACCGCGTCCACGCCCGTCGAAGCGTCCCGAACGCGCTCCACGAACACCGCGACTTTTTCAATCCAAACATCCCATGTTTCCGCATCACCGTTCCCGACGCCCGCGCCCGCATCGCCCGCGCGAATCGCTCTCGCACGCGCTCTCGTCGCGTCGTCTCCGCGTCCGCGTCCCGCCCGCGCGGCGCGTCCTCCAGCGTCAACGCGCGCTCCCGACCGAGCTTTTTCCGCACCTGATCCTCCCCGTCCGCCGCGTCGCCGCGCGCGCGCGTGCGCAAGACCCGTCGGAGGTAATTCTCCACGACGCGTCGTCGGCGCGTCGCGTCATCGCTCGTCGCGTCGTCCGCGTCTTCGCGTCTCCGTCGAGTCGTCGCTCGCGCGCGCGCGCGTTCAACCGTCCGTGCCCTTCGCGCGCGCGCGCTCGGGGCGTAGATCCCGTCGTCGCCGTCGCCGTCGCCGTCCGCGTCCGTCGTCGTCGTCGTCGTCGCCGCGGTCGTCCGTCCATCGTCGTTCGTCGGCTGCCTCGTCGTCGCCATCATTTCTTTCGTCTCCATCGTCCTCCGTCGTCCTCGGTCGTCCGTCGTGGGCGTCGTCGAGGCCCCGACGCCGCGCGCGGACATGCGGGCGTCCAGCGCGGCGATCGCCCGCGCCTTTGCGCCGTCCATGGCGTCGCGTTACGTGGTTCATTCGACGCCTCGAACGCATCGGCATTCGTCGACGCATCATGCGCGCGTGCGGTGGACGCGCCCGAGCGACGCGCGCGATGGCGCTGCTGACGCTCGTCCACGTCGCGCGCGCGCGGGCGTGGACCACGGCGGTGGTGGGGAGCGTGAACGTGGACGTCATCGCGCGCGTGGGGATGATTCCGCGCGAAGGCGACACCGTGGTCACGCGCACGGCGTCGACGACGACGGCGATGGGCGGGAAAGGGGCGAATCAAGCGATCGCGGCGTCGCGAATGACGTGCGAGGATGGGGGACGTGATTGGAGAGGGGTTGGATTCGTTGGACGATTCGGCGCGGATGCGGCGGGCGACGCGACGCGCGAGGCCATGGCGCGAGAGGTGGATCTCGAATACAGCGCGCGGAGCGCGATCGGGAGCGCCACGGGGTTGGGATTCGTCATGGTGGCGAACGATGGGGGGACGTCCGCGGTGGTCGTGCCGGGGGCGAACGCGTTGGATTGGAACGACGACGACGCGGCGCTGGAGGATGAGTTTCGGGACGCCCTGCGCGGGACGGCGACGTTGATGCTTCAGCGCGAGATCCCGCATCGAGTGAACGTGATCGCGGCGAAGATTGGGAGAGAAATGGGTGCGCACACGATCGTGCTCGACGCGGGGGGGTCGCATGAGGTTGTGGATGGGGATTTGTTGGCGCTCGTCGATTACGTGGCGCCGAACGAGAGCGAACTCGCGGGCATGGCGGGCGTCGATGTCGACACGCTGTCGAGCGAAGAGGCCGTGATCGAGGCGGCGCGAAAAGTTACGGGGACGTCCGCGGTGAAGGTGCTCTGCACGCTGGGCGCGCGTGGATCTTTGCTCGTGAGCGCCTCCGGCGTCGCGCGCGGCGCTCCGTCGAGGCTCCCGGACGGCGCGCGCGAGGTCGACGCCACCGCCGCGGGAGACGCGTTTCGAGCCGCGTTCGCGGTCGCGATGGGCGAAGGAAAAAATGAGACGCAAGCGTTGCGCTTCGCTGGGGCCGCTGGGGCGCTCGCGGTGACGAAAATGGGTGCAATGCCAAGCCTACCGACGCGTCGAGAGGTGGACGCGCTTCTGGGCGAGGAATCGCGGTGCGCCGATCGCGCGTCGACGTCAACGTCGTCCACGATCGAAGACGAGCTCGCGGCGCAGCACTTTGCCAGTCGTCTGAACTCGATGAAATCCCGCTTGGATTTATTCCTGGATAGGAACGAATCCGCGCCCGAGGTGTTCAATCTCGTCAAGCGAATGGGCCGCGCGCGCGGGATATCTCACGTCTTTTTCAACTATCCTGAACACTTCATCACGAAGACCGGTGAGGAGATTGAACCCGAGATATTGCGACGGAAGGTGCTGGAGCAAAGCTTACGCATCGGCGCGGTGTGCGTTCGGTTTCCGGAGGAGCCGTACAGGCTAGGCGCGTTTACCAATCCCGATCCAGCCGTCCGAAGACTCGCGGAGGGTTTGGTACGCAGATCGTGCGAAACCGCCGTCGCGCTCGATGCCAATGAAGTCATCATCTGGCCAAGGTACGACGGATACGATTACTACTTACAGGCTGATTACGCCTCGGCATGGGACGTCATGGTTCAATCGTACAAAATCGTCGCCTCGAGCGCGGAGTGCGCTTCGCTCAAGGTCTCCGTCGAGTTCAAACCCACGGATGAGAAGAGTCGATTTAGTTTCATTCCGAGCACGGGCGCCGCCCTGCTCCTGGTCGACGCCGTCGGTGAACCGAACTTCGGTCTCACCATCGACGTCGGCCACGCGCTCGCCGCCGGTGAAAATCCCGCGCAGTCCATCGTCATGACCGCCTCCCGAGGTCGTCTCTTCGGCGTGCAGCTCGGCGACGGACACTCTCGACTCGGCGCCGAGGACGGACTCATGTTCGGCAGCGTCCACACCAACGCCGCCCTCGAGATCGTGTCCGCTTTACGCGCGCACGGCTACGCCGGATTTCTCTACTTTGACACCTTCCCTCTCAACGAGGATCCGGTCGAGGAGGCGTCTCGAAACGTTCGAACCTTTCGCGATTTCCATAAAAAAGTCGCCGCGAGCGCTTCCGCGCTCGCCGACGCCGCCGCGCGCAGAGACGCCCTCCGCGCGGCGGACGCCTTCGCGTGACGCCTTCGCGACGCCCCCGCGCCGGGCGATGATGTGTTGATGCATCCATTCCACGAGTCACGACTCATCAAACGGTCCCTGTCCCCACGACCACCGCGATTCCCACCGCCACGTTCCCTCGCGCGCGTCCACGCGTCGCCCGCGCGCGTCGCGACGCGCGTCCGCGCGCGCACGGGCGCGTCCTCGATGGCGCTCACCGTCGCGCCCGCGATCGAGGCGCGGCGAAGCGTCGAGGACGCGGCGCACGCCGATGACAGATTTGCGGCGCGTATCTCCCGGGACGCGCATGAAATTCTGCACGACGACGACGACGACGACGACGACGACGACGACGACGACGGATGGAGAAGTGTGCGTAAGACGTCGTTTCGAAGTCCGAACAGCGCGCTGAGCGCGGAGACGTCGTCGACGAAGATGGAGGAGGAATCCGAGGGCGGGGCGGACGCGAAAACGCCGAGCGAGGCTGTCGCGGAGGAGCGAAAGTGGGCGCCGACCTTGGTCGGGGATCTGCGAGTGTCTCGACGGATGGTGAGAGGTGGTGAAGACGCGGGGTCGAGTGGACGATGGTCGGCGTCGACGTCGGAGGATTTGGAATGGGACGAGCGGTCGGGGAGTCGCGTCGCGGCGCTGGAGACGCTGCGAGAGGATGTCTGCGACGACGATCTGCTGGGGATGACGGATCCGGACGAGGTCACGAGCGTTGGAACCGGGGGATGGCGCTATCGCTTGGACGATTTTCAGCTCGTCGAGGTGATCGGACGCGGGCGGTACTCCGTGGTGTACGAGGCGGTGTATCGGCGGATGAACACGCGAGTGGCGCTGAAGTGTTACATCAAAGACAAACTCAAGGCGCACGTGTTCGAACAGATTGCGCACGAGATCGCGGTGTACTCTAGGCTCAAACATCCAAACATCGCGGCTTTTCACGGTTCTTTCGTCGATCCAGAGACGGGGAACTATTACATCGTGCACGAGTGCATGCGGCGCGGCGACGTCTTCAACGCGTTAGCGCGGACTGGCGGCAAGTTTTCCGAGCGGCGAGCGGTTTCGATGGTGTTGAAACCGGTGATTGAGGCCATCAGATACTTGCATCAAAATCGCGTCGTGCATCGCGACCTCAAGCCGGAAAACGTTTTGCTCACAGAGGACGGTAGCTCAAAGCTCATCGACTTTGGCTTTGCACTGCACTTGGACTGGTATAAACCTCTCGGACGCTTGGGTACGACGGACTACATGGCCCCAGAAGTTGTTAAGTGCGACAAAGCGTATCGTGATGCGAACGCGAAGCTTTCAAAGGAAGGATACGGGGAAGCAATTGACTACTGGTCCATCGGTTGTTTCGCGTATGAGCTCATCGTCGGATTTCCGCCGTTTCAGTCGACCAGCAGAGAGTCTATTTATTCACTGATCACGGCAAGACACTTTAGAGTGCCCGCGTTTGTTTCCGAAGAAGCGAGTGATTTCATCCACAAATGCCTCGTACTCGAACCGGGTGAAAGGATCAAGCCGAGAGAGATGCTCAAGCATCCTTGGATTGTCGCCAACTCCACGCTTGAGGACGAGGGCGTCGAGTCGCTCGAGCGATCGTGCGTGCATGAAGAGATCGGGACACCCACGAGATCGGCGACAGCGAGATCGATGGTATTACGCTCGTTGCAAAGCGTATCGTCCAAGTTCTCCAATACGAGGATCACGCCGCAAGCCCTCGATTCTTTGCGAGAAGAGCTCGATTGGCAGTACGCTTCGAGACCATCCTTGGAGCGAGGAGAGATTGACCGCTCGTCCGAGGCGTTCACAACGTCGACTTCTACGGTCGAAGGCGTTGATATCGTCAGGGCGCGCTCTTTCAGTCTCTCGCATCGTCTTCGACGTTTCGGTTCGACTTTTGCGTTCAGGTTCCGTAACCGAGACTAAAATGGCACGCGACTTCAGTCTATCGCACTGTACAGCGTCTCATGTTTGTAAAATTTTGTTCTCATTGCATCACACATCATACTAAAATTGCTCGAAACTTCATCTCGTTCATCGTGGTCTTGAGTCTTTGTCTCGCCGGCGCGCAGGCGCTCTACACGCAGTCTCGGCAGCGCGCGACTTCGCTCCAAACCTCTACGGGAACGTACTTGCACCAGTCCGCGCACACGGCGACGAGAACGACGAGAACGATACGAGTGAAACGAGTGTTGGAATTCATGGACGTCGACAGACGCATGTGCGCGCGCGGCGGTGTATGGGTCTCCAACGCGGTGTCTGTGTGTACGCGTCTCGCGAGATAACAACCGACTACACGCACTCGCACTCCGCGAGCGCACGAGCGAACTTTTCACCCTCATCCGTATCTACGACTAGATCGCCGCATTCTTCACCGCGCCAGGGCGTCCATTTCGCCGGAATCACGACGCCGACGGCCCATAAGAATAAACCATCCGGGTGCGCCTCGTCTTTACCGAATCGACCGTACCTGACGTCGCCCAGAATAGGCGCGCCGAGGGCGACGCTGTGACGCCGGAGCTGATGGGTTCGACCCGTTCTCGGGAAAAAATCTACCAACGTCAACGTGCCGTATCGTTCGCTCTCGCGCGTGAGGACGACGGCGTACTCGGTCGACGCGTCTCGTCCCGAGACGGGCGCGTCGACGACGCCCGACGTCTTCTCCAAGCGACCGCGCAAGATCGCTCGATACCGTTTCTTCACCTCTCGACTCGCGAACGCGCTCGAGAGCGTCGTCAACCCCTCCCTCGTCTTCGCGCACACCAAAATCCCACCCGTGGGCTCGTCCAAACGATGACACGGTTTCGGTTTCGTCAACACGCCAAAATCCGCCGCGCTCACCTCGCACGATATCGCCAACATCCGCTCCGCGCTCCACCCTCCACCGCTCCCCGGTCCGATCGTCGCGCAATCGTCCGGTTTCACCGCGATCGCCGCGTGCGCGTCTTCGTACAGCACCACCATCTTCCTCGCGCCTCGTTCCTTTTCGAGCCCCAACTCTCCGCGCGCCCCCCGTCCCGGGACGTTTCGCGTCAACACCTCGAGCACGTCCCCAGACGCGACGCGATCGCCGCTTCCTACGATCTCACCGTTTCGCGCGATCGTCTTCCGTCTGCACGCCCGCTTCGCGCTCGTCGCCGTCGGAAACGTTTTCGGAAGCATCACCGCGAGCGTCCTCGACACCGTGTCTCCGTCGCGCGCGTCGTCCACGACCACCGTCTCCCGCGTGACGTACGCCGAGGACGTCTTCCGCGTCGTCCCCGTCCGTCGCGGCGTCGTCGTCGCCTCGCACGGGCGCGCCATCGCGCGCGCGCATCGCATGCGCGCGTGTGCGGTCGCCGTCACCTGTCACCGGTCACGCGTGACCCACTGTCGCCTTTCACCGGTGACCTTTCGACGCCTGTCGACGCCTGTCGACGCCTTTCGACGGGAGGGGTGAGCGATCGCATCGATCGGCCATCGCGCGATCGCCGCGCGCGCGACGATCTCGCGTCGCGCGTCGGACGGCGCGACGACGAGCGGGCGTCGACGACGATGGACCTCGTTCGCGACCTCGCGCGCGCGGCGCGGACGCGGGTGCGGACGACGGTGGTGGAGAATGCGTCGACGATCATCGAGCTCGATCGGGGACGCGTCGTGGACGCGACGGCGACGGCGGGTGCGACGGGGCGCGGGACGGTGGGATTCGTGATGTACGTCGTCGTGTACTTGGCGCGGACGATCTGGGGACAGATCGCGGTGGCGGTGGGGACGATTGTTTTGGGGTTCGCGATGGGCACGACGTGCGCGCGCGCGACGCGATCGGACGGCGCGAAGTGGATGCGGACGGCGATGAAGAAGCGGATGGGACGGCAGGCGACGCGAGAGGTGACGTGGATAGAGAAAAAGCGGGCGGAGCGTGGGCTGGGGGGCGAGGATGAGGATGAGATTACGTTTCACGAGGATTTTAAGGAGACGTTTTCGACGCACGCGCCGATTTGGACGAAGGACTCGAGTTACAGCCGCGCGCACTGGCTCAATCGCGTTATCGACGGGGCGTGGCCGTACATCGACACCGGGGTGAGTAAGACGGTGAAGGAAAGCGTGGAGCCGATTTTGCGCGAACTGTTACCGACGTGGGTGACGTGGATCGGGTTTGAAAAGTTCACGCTTGGGCCTCGCGCGCCCACCATCACCGGAATTCGTTCGCATCAGTCGCACATGGAGAACAGCATTTTGGACATCGAGCTGTCGTGGGCGTCGGATTGCGATGTCGTCGTCACCATTTATGTATTTGGCGTCCGATTTCCCGTTACCGTACGTGGTTTACAGATCAAGATGCTCGCCCAGGTGACGTTTGATCCGCTCGTGGATGTCATTCCGTGTCTCGGCGCGCTTGAGGCGTGTCTCATGGAAATGCCCGAAATTTTGGATTTCCGACTCTTCATCCCGGGTGGTGTCGATCTACTCGCCCTCCCTTTCGTTCATCGTACGGTGCTGAAGATTGTGCGGCAGTCGATCGGGGAAATGCTGTTGTACCCGTACAAGCTCCACATACCAATCATGCCGGCCAGCGGCATCCAAGCTGCGTCGACGGGGATGATGCGCATCAGGTTCTTGAACGGTAAGGCTTTCTACAAGCGCCGCAACTACAGCAAGCTCTCGCGCAAGAGAGGTAAAAAGAACTCTCGCTTCACGCAAATGCTCAAGACGGATAGCTACTTTATCAAGTACTGGACACGTGAGCAGCGCCAGCTGTCGACGCCGCCCCGCAGCGGAGAGACTCCTTCATGGGAGGGCACCGCCGACGCATTCGTGCTCTGCGACAGAGACACCCCGCTGTACTTTAGGCTCCTCAAGGAGGGCGCGGATCGCATCTCAAACTACGGTGAGATTCAAATCATGTGCGGAGAGATCGCCGACCGCGGTGGCGGAAAGGTTGTCATCGAGCTTCCGTTCATCGAACCATCGTTTTACAAGGAAGAGTGCCCGCTCGAGTATCTTGCAGCCGCTGATGGGTACTCCTACGAAGAAATCATGGACCGTTGGGCAGAAATAACTGCGTGGCACGCAAAAGCTGACGCGGGCGCCGTACAGGCGCGAACAAAGTACTTTTATCGATGCCTTGAAGAAATGGACAGGCGGAAGGGCGTCATAAGCAAGTATCGGCATCCGACTCTCGCACTCGAGCTGGAATACATCGATACAGGCGCTCCAGATGAATTGGACGACGGTGATGAAAATTATGAGCTCGGTGTACTGACAGTCGAGGTAAAGGAGGCGGACAATTTGCTTCGCGTGGACAGCCAACTTCCGAATCCAATGGCGACGCTTCGGTGCGCCAAGCAGGAGTATTGCACGCAGCGCATCTTGAAGTCGTCGCATCCGAAGTGGAACGAACGTTATGTCTTCTACAACGTTGTCGCCGAAATTGATCCGCTCGAGATTGAGATTACGGGCTTCGAGAAATCCCTTGGTCGTGTAGTGATTGACACTACGCTCGTGCGCCTGAACGGTTTAATCTCCGACCGCTTCAAACTTCAGGATGTCTCAAAGGGTGAGGTGTTGCTCGAGCTTTCCTACACCCCCATGGCTGCGAAGAAGACGATCGCGCGCCCGTGAAGGACCGACGACGTCACGAAGACGAGAGGGCACTACAAGACACATTAAAGCGGACCAACCTCAAGGAGCTTCGAAACGTGTGTAAAACGAACCTGACTACCTTGTATTTGTCGCTCGCCGGTGAGACGCCAGCTCTCCCTCGCGCGACACCACTCCGACGCGCGCGTCAACGAAATACAATGTTTCGAACGCGCCCGCTCGGGCAACAACCCAACATATCGCACACTAGCGCGCCGTTTGCGTCCTCAGACGCCGTCGAGCTCGCCGAGAAGACGTCCGAAGAGGCATTCACGCCGAACAGGGGAACCAAATCGTCTTTTTCGTGCGATCCCTTCTCACCGGCGACGCCGCGCTCGGACGACGCGAACTCACTGTCATCCTACGCGTACGTGTTGGAAAAACGCGTGAATGAGCTCGAAGAGACGGAGGAGCGCTCGGCGAGCGCGCGAGCGAGGCTCGAGGACGAGGTCGCCGAGCTCAGAGCTGAGCTAGCGACGCCGAGCGACGCGCGTCGGGTGCTGGGAGACATAACGAACGGCGCTCGAGCGACGTCGAAGACGGGATTGAAAATAAAATCGAGCGCGTTGAAGGCGGCCCGAGGCGCGAGTGCAGTCGAGGGCGCGCTCAAGGCTGAGCTGAAGACGACGACGGAGCGCGCGGAGAAGGCAGAGCGGGAAGCTAAGGACGCTTTAGAGGATAACGAGTGGCTGCAGTCGGCGCTTCGAACGAAGTGCGCAGAGATCGCAAATTTGGCAATCGCTAAGGCGGCGACCGAGAGACGGGCGAGCGGGTCGGAGGAAGCGTTGTCGACGTCAGAGTCGCGTCTGCGAGCTGCTTTGGACGAGCTCGATGCGGCAAAAGCGGAGTCGAAATCGGAGCGCAAGAGGTTCAAGCAGATGCGCGAGAAGTATAAATCGTTGAAGAAGGAGCGCGCAGAGCTCAGTAGGTTGCTTGAATCGTTGCCCGTTGTCGAATCAATGCCTGCGCCGCGCTCGAGGGCCCGCGCGGCGTTGAAATTTGTCATGGTCGCGATGGAGCACGGAAGCCCCATCGCCGCGGCGTGCGTCGCCCTCTTCCATTTTCTCACCTTTCTTTACAGTCTGCGCGGTCGATTCATCGCGCGCTTTGACGTCACCTCCGGCTTTGACGTCGCCTCCAGCTTTGATGGCTCCGGCTTTGACGTCTCCGGCTTCGGCGTCCCGCTCAGCCGCTTACCGCGCGTGAGCGCTCTTTCCCTCGTCCGTGACACCCCATTTATTTTCACCGCGTAAAGCAACGAAATTGTATTTTAAACCACCGCGATGACGTACGCGATCGCCCGTCTTCCCGTCATCCCGTCGTTATCATGTTTGCCGTGAAAAAGCACCCATGTGGGCACGTGCACAGACCGTCGACGTCACGAATTCGAGCATTCCCACGTCAACCCGCACTCACGCGCGCCTGAGTCCCATGCACGCCATGCAGCACGCTCGAGTGATCACGCACGGCGTTACCGCCTCCACCAAGACCTCGAACGCGCGAAGAGCGTCGCACAACCGGGCAAGATTGGCTCCACCGTCCTTATCCAGGGCATCGCAGCGCATCACCTCTCGAGCGCTCATCGCTCGCGCATCGAGCGCGGACGCCAACGCGGCGAGCGCGCAGAAGTGGATCGACGCTTGGAAGACCGGTGGATCGTCTCCGAGCGCGCCGGCGAGCGCGGATGGCGTGGAGGGGTTCGAGCTTCGTCGGTCCAAGTCGACTGTGGCTGACGCGAAGGAGGCGGGCACGTTGTCCACGACGTCTTTCGGGACGATCGGCCTGTCGGTCGGTCTACCGCTGTTAATTTATGGGTTCGGGGCGTACTTTTCTTTCCTTCCAGGGAGCGACGTGTCTGCACTGATGTTGATTTACGGGTTTCCCATTTCGTTGATCGGCTTTGCGCTCAAGTACGCAGAGCTGGAGCCGTTGTCCTGCGTCACCTACGAGAATGCTTTGAGAGTGAGAGACGAGCAGACGACACCTATTCTGACGCAACTGAGGAATGACGTGACGCGGTACAGGTATGGAGATGAACAACACTTGGAGGAGGCGCTGAAGCTCATCTTCCGCTTCAACCGCCCGGGCGGCTTGCGAAGAAACCAAGCGCCCGAGCTCGTAGGTCTCTCGGAGCAGGTCATCAACGACCGCTACGCGCTGTGCCTTGAGTTTGAATCGCCCAAGATGGAGTTCTCCGAATGGACCGATCGCGTGGCGAAGATCACCGGTTTCTTCGGTCCGGGCGTTGTCGCGGCGGCTACCAAGATGAACGGCGATGAACACAAGGTCGAAATCGCACTCATCACCACTGGCGAGGGTGGAGGCGAGATGCAGGACATGGAGGTCCTCCCGCCGCTCGCCCCCGGGCAACCCGCGAGATACGTCAAGCGCGGCACTGCGTAATAATCAAACATCCCACATCCCACCCAATACGCGTGCTCGCCTCACACTCCGACGCCGTGCGATATCCAATGCCCGATCTCTCGAGGTTCGATGACGGAGATAGTGGCGAGGACGACTTCCTCGCCCGCGTCCGCGCCTCTGAGCTCGAAGAGATCGGTGGAGAAGACGACCGAGGTGACAAAACCAATACAAGTGGCGGCTCTTCGCTCGCGCCGTCGACTTCGCTCGCGCCCGCGTCTGCGACGTCCAAGCTCGAGCGCGCGCGCGAGAAGAAGCGCCAGGCGAAGCGAGAGCGGGCGAAAAGGCGGAAACTCGAACCGAAGCGGATGGTGGACGAGGACGAGGACGGCAACCGGGACGGCGCCGGTGGCGACGGCTCGGAGCGGACGCGACACGGAACCTTCAGCGTCGAGGGCGTAATGATGGACGGTGAGCTGGTGTTGGTGGATAAACGTACGAAAGCGGTGTACTCAAGCACGGAGCGAGGGGTGAACGGGGAGCACGTGCGGATTGGGACGTGGGATGACGCGACGCAGAGCTATACGTATTGGAAACCGGCGGAACGGAAGACAGAATCGGACAAGGGGGTGAAATCTGCGCTGAACGAGCGCGGAGAGACGATCGCGAAGGTGTTCAAGGGTGATGCAAAGTTGGCGGAGGAGTTCAAGGCGCCGACGGAGGTGGATCATCCGTTTGAGACGGACGCGGATGACCACTGCGAGACGTCTCCGGAGGCGCACGAAAACGTGGCCAATTTTTTAAAGGCGGCGTGCGGACAGTTGAACAAGTCACCGGCCGAGCTGGTGATTTACGATCCGTACTACTGCGCCGGCGGGGTGCGGAGGAATCTTGCGTTGATTGGATTCACGAACGTCATCAACCGTAATGAAGACTTTTATCAAGTGATCGAGGAGGACCGTGTCCCGCAACATGACGTCTTACTGACGAATCCACCGTACTCGGAGGATCACATCGTAAAATGCGTAACGTTTGCGGCTGAAAATCTCGCGGCGCACGGGCGCCCGTACATGCTGCTCTTGCCGTCGTACGTTATTCACAAGGACTATTACATGCCAGCACTGCTCACTGGTGGCACGCGAGGGAGAGAAAAGGCGAAAGCGCTCGCCGCCGCGGCCGAAAGAGACGCTAAAGGTAGTGATGACGACGACGACGAGGCGGAAGAGATGAAGATTCACAGTGGCAGTGCCAGTCGAGCACAGATTCTGCCATTTTACGTTGCGCCGAAGAAGCGATACTATTATTGGACTCCAAAGGCCATGATCAAGGCTCGCGCGGCTAAGGGTCAGAGCGAGGAGAGTATCAAGGCGCGACGAAAACGGACCCACATCGGCGCCCTGGGCGAGCGCACGTCTCCGTTCCTGTCGTTTTGGTACTGCTGTTTTGGCACGATGCAGCGCGACGTGTTGGCATGGCATAAAAGACTTCCAAGAGCGGACGTTTTTGGTTACACGTTGGCGAGACATCCAAACGATCTTCCCTTGGCAGTCTTAGACGAGTGGGATCCGCGTCGTATCGCAGCCGTGGAGAAGGCGAAAGAACAGGGTATCGAGATCCCTGAGCTGAGCTCGTACGCCGGTTTCACCGGAGCGAGTTCCAAGCCAGCAAAGAAAAAGTTTTACAAATAGGTAGCGCAGCACCTAGGTACTAGTGTAGATTGATTCGTAAAGTACAACAGAAGTGATTTCATTCCTCACTCGTTTTCATGTCCAGTCGCGTAGACGAGCATCGCTGCGCCGAAGAGAGCGTGAGTCCTTCATGCCTTGAACCTTCGGGTCGCGAAAACGAGAGACTCTGTCTCTTCGGTCAGAATAATCGAATGACGTGCGTGGCGACAAATACGTACCTTGTACGCTCATTGGTAACTCTGAGATATCCACGGATAAACCTCGCGCGAAAACGGGCAAATCGGGCAGCGTGAAGAGCAAATTTGGTTCCTCTGCGATTGCGTAAGTCGTGTCGTCCTGCGTCTCCGAGCTGAAAATTTTCACGATGCACGCCCGCGTGCGCTCGATTCGATCGTCCAAATCCTCGCACGCGAGCATTTTCGGACAATCCATCACCATCTGGCCCACTTTATTCGCCCCGAACACGTCTCTGATCCGCATCACGTTCGCCGTCGCTCGCGCGAGGTCCGTCGAAATCGTCCGCGGAGACCTCGAAATCATCTCCGAAATGTCCACTCCAAGCGCCCCGATCGCGCGCTCCAACCGATCTATCTGCACCGCCAACAGATCTGCCTCCTGGTACAGATCATCCTCCGCGTACAGTTCTTTCGCCACCCTCGACGCGTCGCTTTCGCTCAAACCGCGCCCGCGTAACAACGCCTCCGCCCGCAGCACCTCCACCGCCGCGCTCGCCCTCGCGCTCGTTCCCGACATCATCCGCGTCAGTTCCTCTCGCTGTTGCCGATCCGCCATCGCGCACGCCTCTCGCAGGATCTCTCGCGCTTCCTCGACCGCGGCGTCGAGCTCGGCCTCGCTCAGGCGTCCTCCCGCATCCGTCGAATCTTCCGCCGCCCCGTCCTCCGTCGCGCGCCGCCGTCCCGCGCGCGCGCGTCGGCGCGACGCCGACGATCGATCGTCCGCGCGTCGCTCGCGCGCGCGCGTCCGCACGCGCGCGCGCGCGAGGCACCGAGCGACGACGCCGCGCGCCATTGTCACGCCCGCGGCATCATCGCGCGCGCACCCGCACGCGCCCGCACCGCGCGGTCGCGCTCGATCGCGCCCGCGGCGTCGAAGACGTTCGCGCGCGCGCGTCCGTCGCGGCGAACGAACGCTCGAGCGGGAGCGATCGCGGTCGACCGGACGTCGACGAGGCGAATCGATCATGGCGCGCGGCGGCGCGAGCGCGGCCGAGGAGAGCGACAGCGCGAGCGACGCGCAGTCGCCGCCGATGGTGTACCCGACGGAAGCGGCGGCGTACGAGCTGATCGAAGAGATTGGACGGGGCGTGAGCGCGACGGTGCGTACGGGACGCGGGACGCGAGAGACGTCGAGGACGGAGACGCGCGCGGAGGGGTGGAAGACGACGCGCGGTGACGCGATGGTGAGTCGACGCGCGAGATGAAACGTGAGACTGATGATGTGTCGATGACGCGATCGTTCGCGATCGATAGGTGTGGCGAGCGAAATGCTTGAAAAACGATGAGACGGTGGCGGTGAAGGTTTTGGATCTCGAGGAACACGAACCCGAGCACCTGGACGAGATACGAAGAGAGGCGCAGACGATGAGCATGCTGAGTCACCCGAATCTGGTGAAGTATCACTGCTCGTTCGTGAACGAGACGTCGCTGTGGGTGGTGATGCCGTACCTCGCGGGCGGTTCGGCGTTGAACCTGATGAAGTGGTCGCACCCGAGTGGTTTCGACGAACCTATCATCGCATGCATCGTCAAGGCGGCGTGTAAGGCGCTGGATTACTTTCATCGAAATGGCAATATTCATCGCGACGTCAAGGCTGGGAACATCTTGGTCGATGAGGACGGGACGGTGAAGCTGGCGGATTTCGGCGTGAGCGCGTCGTGTTGGGGTTCTGGCGGTCGCCCTCGTTCGCATCAAACCTTCGTCGGCACGCCGTGTTGGATGGCGCCCGAGGTCATGGAGCAAGAGCATGGGTATGATTTCCACGCTGACATCTGGTCGCTCGGAATCACGTGCTTGGAGCTGTGTCACGGCCATGCTCCATTTTCCAAGTATCCGCCGATGAAGGTGCTCTTGATGACGCTCCAAAATCCCGCTCCCACGCTCGAAGAGAGCGCCGAGGATGGTCGATCCTTCTCTCGACACCTTCGCGAGTTTGTCGGTCTCTGTCTGCAGAAGGATCCGTCCAAGCGCCCGACGGCGAGCAAGCTCTTGGAGCACAAATTCTTGAAGGATGCGAAGAAAGCCGACTGGCTCGCCAAGACTCTCTTGGACAACATTCCTTCTCTGGGCGAGCGCACTCAACGTCTCGCCGAGCGCGACGCCCGTCGAAGAGCCGAATCAAAGGTTGGAGAGGAACAGCGCGAAGCGGCCTCGGCCGAGGCGTACAAGCACGGAGTCTCCAACTGGAACTTTGACATGGCTGATCTCAAGGCGCAGGCGGCGGCGCTTGACGATCCTGTGGTCGCCGAATCCGAGGCCGTCGCCGCGGCGAACGCGCTAGAAAACATGCAACTTGGCGACAAACCGAACGTGGAGAGGAAGGGACGCTTCGAGATCATCACCGAAGACGTCGCACCGGAGCGCTCAGAGGCTTCACAAACGGTGCAACGACGTGGACGGTTCGACATCATCGACGAGGGTGGTGCGCGCGGAAGTCGAAGCACGTCTCCTACTCGAGCGAGCTCTCCCGCGGGTGGTGAGCGTCGTGGGACCGCCAAGCCGGTTCAAAAGGGTAGATTCACAGTCCACTCGGAGGCGCCTGCTGGAATGCACTTGAACACCTTCGCCGACGTTGTGCAGTCCATCGGCTCGGTGCACGGCGTCCTTCGTGATCTCTATGCCCAGGCCCAGACTCAGTCAAACGTGGTGGAGGAATTAAGAGAAGAGAACGCCCGTCTCCGCGCTCGAATCGCCGAGCTCGAGCGTTAGCAGTTACTCATTCATTCGTAATGTTCATGTAAAATTACAAACCAACTCACTCTGACTCTTGGACAGATGAAACGTCACGTCTCGTAAAACGGTTCATCATACCCAGGAATCATCGAATACGACCACCCAGGTTCGCCTCGCCACACCATCATCATCACCAAGGTCGAGTACCCCCCCGCGAGCGCGCACATCGACCCCACCACCGTCAGCGCTGTCGACGTTCCGCGCTCTGCGTCTCTCGGCAAATCAATCGCGCCGAGCGCGAACGCCATCCGAGTGAACAGCATACACGCCCCCACGACCAACAACCCCGGACCTAGCACTTTCGTCTTCATCGGCAGCGCGTTCCAGGTCCTGCGCCGTCTCGAAAGCGTCGAATTGAAGCTCGAGGAGCTCACGAAACCGTTTCCTAAACTCTGCGCCTCCTCGTCTTCCTCGACGTCTTCGCTCTCCGAATTCTCCACTTCGCCCTCGATCGCGTCCGGGGATCGAAACTGCGACGCGTGCATAGGTTGTGATCTGTCTTCGCGCTCGACGACGCGATGGCGAGATCGCAGGGACGCCCGCGTCGCCATTGTCTGACGCACGAGAAAAGTTTAGTGTTCAGTGTGTCAAGCTTTAGTGTTGCTCGCATGTCGCGGTCGCGGTCACGCGCGTCGACGTCGATGATATTCGTCGCATCGGTACTGGTCGGTTCGATTTGTGCGATTTCGAGCGTCGAAGCGAACGATAGAGCGCGATTACCGTTGATATTTGCCGCTGGGGATGGGGACGCTGAAGGCGTGCTCGCCGCGTTGGACGCGAATGCGAACGCGTGTCGAGACGAGGTGACGGAATACGGTGAGACAGCGCTGCACACGGCGGCGATAAAGGCGAACGCGGAGGTGGTTAAGATTTTGATTGAGGTGTGCGAGCTCGAGGCGAAGACGTCGGGTGGGCAGTACCTGGCGCAGACGAGTCTGCTTTGGATGGCGTACGGCGGGAGTGATGAACATTTGCGGGGAGTTGAAGCGTTACTGGAGGCGGGGGCGGATGCAAACGCGAAAAACTCGGCCGGAGATACGGCCTGGGACGTCGTGGCGAAGATGCCAGAAGGTCAATACAGGGAACGGGCGCTACGCGCGATCGAGGTTCACGGCGGAAGGAGCGGCAAGGTGAATGCCGAATTGTGATGTTAGCCCGCTTCGTGTACTCAGATGCGGATCCAAAAATACACCGCACACGTCGGCGCTCGTCGAGCGGACAATCTAGAGTGATGAGCGCGATGACGAAAAATCCATCGGCCGTCGTGGATTGTGTGACGCTTGTCGATCTACCAGGAATGAACGGGAGGGATCCAGAGGTACGTCTCGCGTTCTCGCGCTTGCGAGATCTGTTTTTGGCACGAGTCAAGGAAGACTAAACACGTCGTCAATTTCGTCTCGCAGGCGGCGATGAAACCTAAGAAGCAATCTCTAGGCTTTGTCAACGGGTACGCGGTGCCGCAAGATGGGCGCGCAAGCGTGATTGTGGCCCCTGCGAACGCATTTGAGAATGCGGAGCCTCGAGGCCAAGTCAAGGAGTACACGCCTGAATTCGTCAAGACATCGGGTCTTGTCCTTCGATTCAACGCGACGTTCGACGAGGCGGTGGAAAACAGTCAAAGTGAACGTGTACGGTCTCGTAACTTTGTCGTATACTTCTTCGTCGAGGACGGGACGATCAAAATCACCGAGCCTCGAGTGGAGAACAGCGGACTTTTGCAAGGAGCGTTTCTGAAGCGACACGTCGTCAAAGGCGTGACGCTGAACGAGTTGAACGTCGGCGCGATGATCAAAATTTACGGTTTTGAATTCAGACTATACTCGTGCGATGGATTCACTCGCGGATATCTCGATCACTTGGGCGTCGTAGTGCCGGAAGACGAGGAGGAACCGAACTGTGAGGATCCGTTGCGAGCGAAGAACGAGCGTCAGCGTCTTGGTCCTGTTCGATCGTTCAAGAAGGATGCACGAGGTAAATTTCTTACGCACGACAAACAAGTCCTTCGATTCTACTGCGTTTGGGACGACAGAGCGAAGTTTGGCGACAGGAGAAAGTTTATCCTCACATTTTTCCTTATCGACGATACCATCGCCATCACCGAAAACGAGCACGCCAAGGGAAGTCGAGGTGGAATGTCAGCCACGCTCTTACACAGATGTCGTCTGCCACTGCGAGACCAAGACGCCGTCGCGCGTGGTCCCGCGGACGATGACTACGAGTACGTAACTGCGGAGGATTTGAACATCGGTGGAGTTGTCAGAGTTTACAAGCGTGACTTTTTCATCTATGACTGCGACGAATTCACGAAGACGTGGTACCTGTCGAACTTCGAAATGTCAGAGTCGAGATTCATCGCTCGCGACGTCTCGGAGCCCGAGGACGCACTTCCACGCGCGGAGGTCCCTGAGCACACCGGTCTGGCCATCGGCAGCGAGGAAGATAGCTTGCAAAACTGCATCGCGCTCGTTCCGAAACCGCCGCGCAAGAATGTCGCTGTGGATGAGGGTGTCATCCTTCAATTCCGCGCGGCTATGGTACCATTCGATGGCGTTGGTGATGTCTCTGAGTTCGACACGGCGCGTCAGTTCGTCGTGAGTTTTCATGTGTCGGATAAGACGATATCAATCTTCGAACAGGCGTCCAAGGATGCGTGCTCGAGCAAATTTCTCGAGCGCGCCAGGGTGCGAAATGTCGACAACGCGCAGTTTTACGACGTCGCAGACATGCGCATTGGTTCTGTGCTCAAAATTCATTCGCGCGCATTTAAACTCTATGAATCGGATCTATACACGGAAAAGTTTATTCTCGAGAGGTTTACGTAGACGCACGAATGTGTGCTCTTAATACAAATCTTCTATGAATCAGAAGTACCGCTCGACGAGTGGCAGCGTCGGAGTGCCAAACATCTTTTGGAAAGATGTGATGCAATGTCCTCTACTGACGTGGTGATCGGTGCCGCTGCTGATCCCTCGCACATTCATCCCGAATAGCTTCGCGCGAATGTAGTACGCCAAACTCGCCGGTGCGTACACGGGTGCGCGCCTCGTGATGGCGGATGTCAAGAACTGCATCGCAATATCCTCACAATTCTTTCCATTGTCCACATATCTTCTCACGCTCTCCGGTAGATGCTCCTTGTATAACTTCAAATATCTCTGATCCATGAACGCCGCCTTTGTGAGCACGATGGAGTATCGTCCGTTCCACCACAGCTCGTGCTCTCTTGCGACGTATCGCCACGCGCACTTCTTATTTCGCTTTTTCACCGGAGCGTAGTTCCTTGGAAAGTACCCCACCAAATCGTCCGGATTTTGTTGCCACGACTCAAAACCCCGCCTCAACGCCCCGCACGGTACTCGCACGTCGTCATCGACGTTAAAAACCGCGCGCGTCCTTAAACCAGCCACCGGTTCGAACCTATTCTGTATGCTCGTCCCGTTGTGAGTCTCGTATCGCGTCCGCGTCGTCTTTGAGTAGTACTCCTCGCTTCCGATTTCACCCTCCCTCGGCGCCGCTCTCGGTTCGCTCCAAACGACCACGATCTCCTCAACTTCTTCACACCGTTCGTAGTGCGCGATCGCTCTTCGTAACAAATCGTCCCGCTCGAACGTGTTCAACAAAACGGTGAACTTCGACGTCGACATCTTCTCGCTCTCCTCTCGCTTCAACGTCGCCGATCGCTCGATCGCCGCGTCAACGTCCCAGTGTTTACGCACGAGAGGTTCGCAGTACTCGCGCGATCTCAAGGCGTGCGCGTCGAGCGGCGTTGAGAGCATCAACTTGAAAAGCCAACGAATCACGAACACACCGACGCACGCGCTCACCAAGCTCTGCCCGCACTTACGTTTCATCGCCCGGGGGCGAGCGGACATCCGCAAGGGCGTTCGTACGCGTCGGTAGTGCGACAGCGACGCGTGTGTCAAGCTAGAGCGCGCGCGCATGGATGTGACGCATGGTGTGGATTCGTTCAATCGTCACTCATCGACGATGCACGACGTCGACGCGATCGATGACGCGGTGAAACGATTGAAATCGAAAGCGACGTTCATCGACGCGTGTCACGACATCGAAACCATCGCGCGCGCGCGCGTGGGTGATGAAAACGACGGAGTGCTAATCGATTCTTTGATGTCGAGTTCCAAGCGCGTCGACACGACGCTGCGCGCTCGATACGGCGACGGCGCGACGACGGAGTGGAGTGTGGGGGCCAGTGTGTTGGAGGCGATCGCGCGAGCGGTCGAGCGATCGACGCGGGACGACGGAGGGGTTTGCGCGGCGGCGGCGGCGCGGGCAAAGGCGAAGGCGGAGAGCGACGCGTCGGCTGGTAATCGAATGCGAGCGGTGAAGGGGGATAAGATCGCGTTCGAGGGACAGTTTACGAGGGATGCGTCGACGTTGGACGTGGAGGGCGCGAGCGAGACATCGGATTCGGTGAACGAGGCGTTGCGGTTGATTTTAGCCGCAAGGAGGCGTTTCACATTGGAGGTGGGCGACGAACGGCAGTTGATGGAGCGATTTGCGAGCACGCTCGGGGTCTCGGGCGATGGAGCGGGCGAGCGACACGCGGCGTCGACGGTTTCGATAGAGGCGCTGCGGTATCGTAAACCCACGGAGAAGGAGACGAGCGATGGGAAGTGTGCGATTTGCTTCGACGGTTACGCTGCGCACGATTCTGTGATATCAATGCCGTGTGCGGCGACGCACTCGTTTCACGAAGCGTGCGTCAAGGAGTGGCTCCTGCGAGATGATTCCTGTCCGTTATGTCGAAGCTCTCTGCCGGTTTGGTTAGGAAGACCGTTGTATCAGTGATGTTATATATGTTGTATTCATGACTGCTTAAGCTCGAATCGGCGTCTCTCCACCTCCCTCGCCGCCTCCTCCTCCGTCTTGAAGTAACCGATCTGTTTCTTTTTCCCGTTGATGGTCAACTCGACGCGCCACTTCACGGTGACCTCACCGTTCTTCCACTCGTGCACGTACCGTCGTACGCCCTCGTACTTGCTTGTCGCCTTTCCGCCGCCTTTTCGTGTCTTCAGATTGGCCAGTGAATCCCGATACTCTTCCAGCGTCTTTGGAATCAATCTCTCAGGGTAATTTTCCGGGCTAAAGTTCGTTTTACCGTTCGGACCCTTCACCGCCAACACAGCCCTGTCGAACGCCTCCGCAGCTTCTCTTTCGCTCTCGTACACGCCCAGGCTCAGGCTCGCGCCGTCGCGGTGGATCTCCGCCCGCCACTTCCCACTCCTCATGTCCCTCGTCACGCCGCGATACGAGCTCTTCGCCTTCACCACCGCGCCCATGCCGTACTCTCGTCGTAAATCATCGATCGTGTACGACGGATCGATTAATTTCGCGCGTTCGCGTTCGTACCGCGCCTCGTCGAAATTCTTTGGTGTTCCCCCGAGCGTCAAGCTCGCCCGGTCCCAAGCCTCCGCCGCCGCCTCCGCGCTCGTAAACTGACCCAATGTGTACCTCTTACCTTCTCGAGCGATGAACGCCCGGTAGTTGTTCCCAGACCGCGTGACGCCGCGGAATTTCGTCGACGTTGAAGAATTCTCATTTTGATTGTGTTTCCTCTTCGTACCCGACGTGCTCGGTGCGTTCAGATTTTCGTTGGATCCGGGCGTCGCGATTATTCCTACGGGATGTTCGCTGAGGTCGCCGCGTCGGCGGTTTCGCGAGCTCGCGGGCATTTCGACGCGCGGGAAACTGCGGGCGCGATCGTGCGCGAGAGCGAGAGTACTTTCGTTCAACGAGATGGATGATTGCGATGCAATTTGTGTCTAGCGATGGATCGGATGCGATTAAATACCAAAGAATATGATAAATCGATCGCGAGGTCAGTTCTCGTCGTCCTCCATCTCGCGGCGGACGCCGCGAAGTGCGATGGCGCATGCGACGAGCGCCATCGAACCAGTGACGGTGAGAAACGCGTTGCTCGACTTGTCCTTGGTGTCCATCTCACGATCTCGATGCCTGGAGTGTCGAGACGGATGAACGAGCCGCTTTTGTTTCTTCACGCCCAGTTTCTTCGGGGCCTCGGTGACGAGGATAGAGAGCTCGTACTGGGGTTCACGAGAGACGTCAATGGCAGGAAGGCGATCGAGCAAACTCTGCGACGGCACGTAGAGCACCTGACCGGGATGAAGCTTAAGCATGCGCGTGTGTGGATCGGGCTTCAAGCTGTTGTATCGCGCCAGGTCCATGACGCTGATACCGGCGATGCTCGCGAGATCGAACAAATTGTCTCGTGGCTGCACGACGACGCGCACCGGCTTGGTAAGGAGCTCCTCCTCGCCGTAAACGCGATGCGACGCAGCGTCGATCTCCTTTCGCAGCACGTTATTTCGCTCTTGGGACTCATTACCCGCGATGATTCGTCTCGGCAAGGTGCCACCGCCGACTTGCTTCGGTTGCTCTTTTGGACGCCGCTTGGGGAGTTTCAAGATGCGCTCGCGAGCGCTTGTGACACCGCTGGCGACGGCAACCTTCAAGCCATCGATACCGCCCTCAATGTGCGTTTTTACCCCACGCACGTGTTGAACCATCTCAGAGCTAATCCCGGAGCGCGCTTTGTTGAGAGTCTCCACGCCGCCCTCGGTGGAGATTTGCAATTTGGCGACGACGTCGCGTTGGCGCTCGGCGACGGCTTGCACGAGCTCCTTCACTTTGGGTTTCATAAACTCCACCACGGGCCAGCTCCCGACCCCTTCCTCGAATCCTTTCATGCGTTCCTTTAATTTCTGCGTAGTTTCCTTCGGCACAAGCGCATTGAAACGATCGGCGACCGAAATCTTTGGCGCCAGAGGCAGCTCCCTCTTTGAGCTCGATGGTTTGGGGAACAGTCGCTCCGGTGCTTCGCGATGATTCGATGACGTCGCTTCGCGACTCACCGCGCGCGACGCCTGTGGTTGGGAGACGACCCGCGTGCGTTTCTCATCGCTCTGCTTCGACGTCTTCTCTGTTGATTGGAGTCGACGAGGAATGACGTCAATCAGCGTCTTGACGCTCTCTGCCGTCTTCTGCCGAGCCGCGTCCACGCCTCGCAACGCCTCGCGCGTCTTTTCCTTGGCGCTTACGGCGACTCCGGACGCATCGAACGTCTTAATTCCCGCGAGGCCGTCGACGACGCGCGTGCGGCCACCCTCGGCGAGCGTCTTTGTCTTCGTCGCTGCAACCGCGGTGAAACTCTTCGCCTTCTCCATCGCCTCGAGCGCGAAATCCTTCGTCTTCACCGCCGTCTCCGACGTCAAAGCCTTCACCCTCACCGCCGTCGCCGCCGCGAGATTCCCACTCGCTCGCGCGCCCGCGCTCAGCGCTTTCGTCCCTTCGCGTCCCGCTCGCTCGGCGCCCGCCGACGCCACGCGCGTCGCCAACACCGTCGTCGCCCACGCCGCCGCGAACAAAGCGTCCGCCACCGCCCGCATCTCACACCTCGCACCTCTCACGACCGCTCGCACCCCGCTCGGGAGCTTATCCTCGACGCTCCGCACGTAGACGTTCCCGCCGAGCGCCAGCATGGCGCGTCCGCTCTCTCCGAGCGCCCCCAACGCGCCCTCGTTCGCGTTCGCGCCCCCACCCGCGCGCGTCTTCCTCGACCGCGCTTTCACCCCCCCCACGTCGTCACCCGTCGACGCTCTCGTCCCTCGTTCGCTCCGCGTCCGCGGATCTCGCGTCGTTGGTAATCGTTCAGCATGCACGCCACTCGATCGATCCGTCTCCCCCGTCTCCCCCGTCTCGCGCGTCTCGCGCGTCGTCGTCCCTCCCGCATCGCGCGCTCGACGATCGTCGTCGTCCGACCCGCGCGTCATCGATCGAGGCGCGGTCGAGTGACGCGCGCGCGAGCGATGGGTTGATTTGGACGACGCATCGCGCTCGACGCGATTTAAATGGCATCCACGGTCGACGCGTGGTCGCCGCGCGCGCCACCGCGCGTCGCCGCGCTCGACGGGAGGCGTGCGAACGCGCGCGCGCGTCGTCCACGGCGTCGCGCGCGGTGATCGAGCGATCGCTTGAGACCGATCGTTCGATCGAACGACGGCTCGAAGGAACGAAGGATCGATCGAACGATCGAACGACGGAAGGACGGACGGAGGGACGAAAGGAACGCCCGCGCGGTCGTCGTCCGTCGCTCGAGCGGTGAAGATGTCGACGAGGGAGGGCGTGGACGCCGAGGCGACGCCGACGATGGTCGGGACGCTGTGCGAGGGCGGTGGACACCCGGTGGCGAAGACGCTCGCGGCGCCGTTCGTGTTGACGTATCGCGCGACGCGGGCGTACGTACAGCCGTGCGTCGGCGCGTACGCGGGATCGCTCGCGCGTGCGGTGAGTGAGAGGTTGTGCTGCTGCTTTGCGGGGATGTGGAGGTACGAAGATAAGAAGTGGTGCGGGAACGCGGCGATCGGAGACGATCCCGAGCATCGCGATTGCGATTGGGTCCGAGTGGAGGAGTTGTCGGCGGGGAGCGACGAAAAGCCGATGGTGCTGTATCAAGGGACGATCGAACCGCGAGACTGCGTGCAAGGGGCGCTCGGGAATTGTTGGTTGGTCTCCGCCCTGGCGTGTCTCGCCGAGCATCCGGGGGCGGTGAAGAGGATCATTTTGCAAAACGAAAAGACGATTCGAGGCAAGTATCAGGTGCGATTTTACGACGGCAAGGAAAAGCGCTTCGTCATCGTCACCGTGGATGATTTGATCCCATGTAAGAAGGGGACGAAGAAACCGATCTATATGCAGCCGCACGAGAACGAGTTCTGGCCGCTCATCGTCGAGAAGGCGATGGCGAAGTTTATGGGAAGCTATTCGGCGCTCGACGGCGGGCACGGCACGTGGGCGACGCACGCGCTCACGGGCGATCACGTCTTCATGCTCAAGAAGCGCCAGGGTGCGACGTCTCGATACTGGCGACGTCATAACATGAAATTTATTGGAAAACCTGGAGATGGTAGGAAGAAGGACGCGGTTTTCCACAAGGAAGTCGAGGAGGACATCGTGCGAGATAAGCTATTCAACATCTTGGAGCAGTACAATAAAATCGACTCTCTCATCGCCGTCGCCAGAGTGGGAAAGAACGGTGAGTCCAAGGACGAAAACAACGGTCTGGTCGAGGGACACCTCTTCTCCGTCATATCTGTTCGTTGGGCCGGTCGATCCTTCGGCGTTGGCGGTAGACGCATGGTGAAGATCCGAAATCCGTGGTCGTCGTACGAGTGGAAAGGACCTTGGGGCGACGGCACCAAGGAGTGGGACAAGCATCCATCCATCGCGAAGGAGCTCGGGTACGAGAACAAAAACGATGGAATCTTTTGGATGGAGTTTGATGACTTCGTTGAGTACTTTAATCAAATTTCCGTGTGCGATCGCACGACCAAGAATGATTTGATGCTTCATTACGATCAAGACTTCCCATGCACAGGACCCATCAAGGGCTGCCTCGGCGGGTGCTTCTGTTTCTGGGTCGGCTGCCGAGGTCCTCGAACCATCTATTGCGGGCACGAGTCCACGGAAGAGCTGCGAGAGGCCAGGGCTTGCGGATGTGTCAAGGTTGGGAACACTTAAATTATGCAAGTCAAAGACTCGTCAGTGACTGGTAACATATTCGCGTCGCGCCGCGCTTATCATGTAATATACGAAGTCTCGTTGAATTTCAAGGTGCCATTAGAACATGTCGTGGTTACGTTTCTCGTCGTTTCTTATCAAGGGATGTTGTACGTGCCCGGCTTATCGAACACGTATTCTTTCTGTTCGTGCTTCTTCACGATAAATCCTCGAAGTGCGTCGACTTCGCGAATGCGCATTGAGCCGAAACCCTTCCCGGTGGGCTTCCACTCCCAGCCCTTGTTGTTCACTTTCAGCCCGTTCACGTTGATCACGGCTCCTTCGCACGCCTTGATGACGAGTGTACCGTCCACGTTGACGTCGTTCAGGTGGACCCCAGAGCCTTCGACGATCAGAGTACTCTTTGAGCCCAGTATCACCTTGCCAACTTTCGACTTGATCTCGTCAAATGTCGTACCAAATTCTGGTCCGAGCACGACGCGTGGGCCCATCGGTAATTTCATACCGTTGAATTCAGTGTCAATACTGGTTTCAGGGACGTCCGCACCCGTCAAACGAAGGAGATTCGCGCACGATTCATAAAACTCAAACTCACCGCTCGTAGCTGTGTGCGTCGGGCCATTTGACTTGAACTTTGCCAACCCATCCGCAGGAGAGTTCTTCACCGGACTGTAACCAATCCAGTTCGCGAAGACGGTGAAACCGACTTTGGATTTCGTGCCCAAGCTCTTGGGGTAATCTTGCATCATGCATTCGAGGCGAGTCGGGGACTTGAAAGCCGTCTTCGTTTCGTCCTTGTACTTCGGGTTGACAAACTCTTCGATCGAGCCACCCGTCTTACGCAGTTGCGCAGCGTATTCGGGAAGGCTCACGATAAGCTGGTTGATGTTACCCGGAAAAGGAGAAAATCCACTGGCATCATTCACGTCGCCCTCCGGGTTCGTCGTCGCCCGCAGGAGCGGATCAAGTTGGTTATATTCCACGTTGATCGTCATCTTGCGCCCATCCTTGTGTGTCAGCAAAGAGATGGCGCCGACCGCCTCCTTGGCTTTTCTCGGTACGCACAACGAGTTGAACTCGAGATTCATCGTCTTAGACACCCCGAGTGCGCCCGGGATGACGCGGAAAACGAGAGAGTTGGTGTCCTGGAAAAAGACCACCCACTTCTTTCCTTGGCTTTGCCACTTGGACAGCAAACCGCTCGTGTGCAATAACGCGTGCACGTCGCCATGACCGTGCGGCTTAAGCGCGAGCTTGTAAGGATCGCCCTCCTTTAGTGCGAGGTGCGCATCGTTATCGATCAGGCACGGCACTTTCTCTTGTTTCATGAGCGTGATTTGATCTCTCGCTGCGCCAAAGTAATTGTTACGTTCGAGCAAATCGAGCGTCATTGCGTGCGTGTCCTCCGACGTCATGATCGCCAACGGAATCGGCGTCGACTCCTTCGTCTCTTTCTTGGCGCTACCGAAGCATCCGCACCCATCATCTTCGACTCCACCGCTCGTCTTCGCCGCTCTCGCCTGCAAAGCCAAGATGTTCTTCACGTACAGCTCCAGGTAGCACGTGTCCGTCGCTCTCTCCACCGGTAGCTCAACCTTGATCCCCGAGTAACCCAATCGCTCGCCCAACCCCCCGGCGACGAGCACGAAGCACGTCTCGCCTACCTCGCCCATTCCCACGCCCTCGAGCTCGCGATGCCCGCTCGATCCGTACTCGACGTTTCGCCCGACCGGGACGCTCGGCGTCCACCCCTCGAACGGATTCTTCCCTTCCTTACTCGCCGCCAACAGCGCTCGCGCGTTTTCGATGTACTTCGCCACCCCCCCCGGGTACCCATCGTCCGCCGCGCGCAGCTGCGCCGCGAACGCGCGCTTGGCGTCGTCGTCCGTGCCCGGTTCGGGCCAGTGCGCGAGCACGTGTTCTTGGTCCAGCGCGATCATCTTCGCGAACAACGCGCCGTCTTCAGCCGTGAGCGCGCCCGCGGCGACGTGGGCGTCGACGATCGCGCGCGCCATCGCGGTGCCGTCGTCGTCGCGTCGACGTGCGCCGCCGCGCTCGGGCCACCGGGAACATCCATCTCGTGGATAGGATTCGACGTCGGCGTCGCGCGCGACCGACCCGAGTGTGCAAACAGTGTACACGTGCCTCGTCCTGTGTTGATATCGAAAATTCAAATATGTCGCGTCTGTCGCGGCGCGCGATCGTCACTCGTTGACGACCGCGCGTCGCGCGCGCGTCGACGCGCGCGCGGGAGAATCGGGAGCGGTGCGATGGGGTCCACGGTGGGCGCGCGCGGCGCCGAACGCGAACAGAAACGCGCGAAAACGCACGGAGAGGAGGACGATGCGACGGCGATGTCCATCGATGAACAAAACAAGGAAAACGTGAGCGCGAACGTGAGCGCGTCGGACGTGCGAGCGACCATGGGGAATTATTACAGGAACTTTTACCCGGCGGAAGCGTTGTTTAAGTGGCTCTCGCACGGGAACGACGAGCGACACGCCAAGGCGGACAAGACGTACGCGGGTAAGCGAGAGTTTTGCTTCGTACTCGATAAGGAGAACGGCGACGGGGAGATCTTCTGTCGGTATCAGTGCTTCGAGGACGCCGGAAGGTTTGCTCGTGAAGTGAGGAGCAAGAATCCGGCGCGGATCGAGTTCGGTCCCGTGATGAATGCGAAGCCCGCGCACAGGCACTCGGTGAAACTGCACTCTGTCGAGAGAGAGCTGGTGTTCGATATCGATATGACGGATTACGACGACGTGCGGACGTGCTGTAAGGATGCACAGATCTGTGGAAAGTGTTGGCCTCTGATGACGATCGCGATCAAGATTCTCGACGCGGGATTGCGACGAGACTTTGGTTTCAAGCACTTGCTCTGGGTGTACTCCGGGCGTCGCGGCGTTCACTGCTGGGTTAGCGACGAGCGGGCGAGAAAACTGAGCGACGAGGCGCGAGCAGCGGTGGCCGAGTACTTCGCGGTGGTCAAGGGTCAGGGTAAGTCGCGCAGGGTTTATTCCATCAACCCAATGCACCCGTCGGTGAAGCGGGCGTACGATGACGTGTTGAAGAAGTATTGGATTGAGACCTACTTGCCCGAGCAGAGGATCCTGGAGAACAACGCTAAGCTCGACCAGGTGCTGGATTTGCTCGAAGACCAGGAGCTCAAGGACGAGCTCGTGGACGAGTTCAACGGCAGCAAAATGAGCTCTGTCGAGCGCTGGCGCGTCATCGAGGAGCGCGTCATGCAGGCGAGGCAACCCAAGCAAGGAGTCAAACGCAACTACACGCTCGATTTCGCGCTGGAGAAGATCATTTTCTGGCACATTTATCCTCGCGTCGATATCGAAGTGTCCAAGCACATGAATCACTTGTTGAAGGGGCCGTTTTGCGTGCACCCAAAGACTGGTCGAGTGTGCGTGCCCATGGATCCGGCCAAAGCTGAATTTTTCGATCCCGCCGCCGTGCCCACCGTCATCGATCTCGATAATGGGAACAAAACGTTGGATGAGGCTATGAGGACTTTCAACGAAACGTTCTGGAACGCGGCTGAGGCTGAAAACAAGGAGCGGCTTACATCGTTGACGCGCGCGGCCAAGGCGGCGAACGCCACCGGAATGGATTTTTGATAATAGCGCTTGTAAATGGAATAAATACCTTACAATAATTACGTTTCGGGAAACGTCCAATCGTGCTCTCCGTTCTCTTCCGGAGCCGTGTTTTTGATCGCCATCAGTCGTTCGCTCGATCGCAGCACGTCTTCCCACGTCGGCGGCTTATTCTTGTCAAAGTAGACGTTCTCCTTCACGGTGGTGTCCCAACTCTCCCCCGTGGTGCTCGTTCCAAACTTTCGAACGCTTCCGTCCGGAGAAATGACCTCGCCCCACGTCCTACTGAAGCGCTCGCCGTCTTGACCGACGCGCCAAGTCTCTCCGCTCTTGCGCCCACTTCCAAATTTGCTGCGGCGCTCCTCCCACTTGTCGCCCCAACGCGTCCCCGAGCCCTCCGCCCACTTATCGCTCCATTTCAGCGTCGCACCCTCGCCGTCGTACTGTTCTCCCCACTTCTCCCACCAAGCCTGTCGCACCTCGCGTCCGCTCTTCTCCAACCCGCGCTCGACGGCTCCGTTGGCGTAGTATCTTTCCCACCACTTTTCTTGCCACTCCTTGCTCTGGGCGTCTCGCGCCCACTTATCCGCACTCCGCTCGATGCGTTCGAGCCCGGTGTAATCATCTCGACTGTAAATCTCCCGCCACGTCTCCCACCACGTCTCCCCGGTCTCGTTAAACCCGCTCTTCTCGAATCCGAGCTCCTTGTATCCGCTAAAGTCGCTCTTCGCCCATCGCGTCTCGCTCGACCCGCTTCGCCCGTCCGGACACTCCCGCTTCGTTTTCCACCATCTCGATCGATATCCACCCTCACCCGTCTCCACTCCTCTCTTCTTCGTCGTTCGCATGCCACTCTCATCATCCGTCGTCGTCTCGCTCGACTCGCCCGTCTCCGCCTCGTCCCTCCCGTCCTCCTCCTCGAACGCCTCCCACTCGTCCGCGATCCCACTGTCTCGCCTCGGCGGTCCGCTCGTCGTCTTTCCCGACGCTTTCGATCGCGCATCGTCTCCCAGGGCGCGTCCACGCACGCGCGCGTCGCCATCGCGTCGTCGATGCCGCTGGCGGTGGCGACGCGTCGTTCCGAATATCCACGCGTCGCCGCGCGCGGGCGTCGATCGGCGCGACGCGGCGAGCCCGACGCCCATCGCGCGACGCTCGATGGGCGTTTCGCTCGAGCGCGCGTCGCGTGCGGACGTCCAAAGCGGGTGCGACGGCGGGATGAAGTGCGGAGGCGCGCGATCGATCGATCGCGAGTAGATTTTTACGAAGGCGAGACGAGGCTGGATGAGAGAGGGTGAGACGGATGGAGCGCCTTTAGACGGATGTTATTTCTTACGTCTGTACTTGCTCTGGGACTTGAACGCGCCCTTGACCGACTTGAATGGACGGTTAGCGGTGGATGTAGATCCGGGCCGGACGCCGGTGCGGAGCTTACCGCCGTAGCCGGCGCCGCGACCGGAGCGCTGGGTGAAGTCGTCGTCCGGGTCGGCGGCGCGCGGCGCGCGCTTGGGAGGATTGGCAGCTTTTTTGACCATTCGAACCACCTTGCCGGCGGTGGCGCCCGTGAGACGGGCCTCACGCTCGAGGGCTTTGATGGATTTAACACCCTTGGTGACGCGAACGCCGCCCTTGGGGCCGTCGTCGGCGTCGACGCCGTGCTCCTTGGCGTAGAGGTTGCGTCTCGCGAGCTCGCGACGAGCTTTTTTGCCGGCGGGTAAGCGATCGGGACCGGCGATCTCCTTACCGCGCTTCAACGATTTTCGAAGTGATTTTCGATCCATGAGATCGATTTCGGCCGTCTCATTCGCCTTTACGGCTTGCTTTTGGACGTCTCGCTTCTCTCGTTCACTCTGGAACCACGTCTTCGCGGGACGCGACTTGATCTCCGCCGCGTGTTCGAGTAAGTTCGACGCCTTGTTCGCCTCCATCTCCGCTTTGGCAAGTTGTCGCTCGGTGCGCTCCTCGTAGTTGATGTGTACGATTTTCTCCTCCATGACTTCAATCTTTTTGTGCCACTCGGCGACGATGTTTCCGGGAACGACTCGCGCCTTGAGATTGGCCCCGCGCTTGGCCACAGTTTTCACTAATTTGCGATCTGACTCTTCCATGAACGTTAACGCCGTCCCTTTTTTCCCCGCGCGCGCCGTGCGACCGACGCGATGCAAATAACTCGCCAGAGTCTTCGGCGCATCGTAGGAAATCACCGCGTCGACTGATGGGATGTCCAAGCCTCTCGCCGCGACGTCGGTGGCAATCAAGTGTGTCACGCGTCCCGTTCGGAAGTCATCCAACGCGGCCAGACGCTGCGTCTGCGTCATATCTCCGTGAAGCTCGCCCGCTTTGACCTTGCTCAGACCCATGATGATCTTCAGCCTATGCGCCTGCTGCTTGGTTTTCGTGAAGACGATTGTCGATTTGTCAAATGAGCGACTGACAATGGCCATGAGAAATGCCTCTTTCTGCGCGCTCTGGTTCGGCTTGAGCTTCAAAACTTCTTCGATCAAGTGCTCCGGCGTCGTCCCTAACGTGTCAGCCGAGAGTCTCGCCGGGTTCTTCATCGAAAGACTCGCGAGCGCCTCGACGCCCGCGGTGAGCGTGGCGCTGAACAAAAGCGTCTGACGCTTCTTCGGACACTGCCGCACGATTTCCTTGATTTCCTCCAAGAAACCCATCTCTAACAATCGATCTGCTTCGTCCAAAATGAGCGTCGCCAAATCTTCTAGTCCGAAAGACTGCGTGTTCCTAACGTGATCGATGACGCGACCGGGGGTTCCGACAACGATTTCCGGTCTCGTCCGAAGCTCTGCGGCTTGAACGTTCGCCGACAGACCACCGACGACGAGACAGACGCGAATGTTCGTGTACTGCGCCAAACTCTCCGTCATCGAGTGCACCTGAACCGCGAGCTCGCGCGTCGGGACGAGACACAGCACGTACGTCGCCGCCGTCGCGCGCGGTCCTCGGTGCAACAGGCGCTCGAGCTGCGGAAGCATAAACGCCGCCGTCTTCCCGCTTCCCGTCACCGCCCGTCCGCATACATCTCGCCCCGTCATCGCGATCGGTATCACCGCCGCCTGAATCGGCGTCGGTTTCTTGTACCCAAGCGTCTCGCACGCCCGCGTGAGCGCCCTGGACAGGTGCAGCTCATCAAACGCCTTGGCGTCAAAAGTCGTGTCACCCCTCGCTCCCTTCACCACCGCGCGTTCGGTAAACATCGCGTCCTCCTCCGAATCGGACGACGCCACGTTCGTCGTCTCCTCGACGTTTTTCGCCTTTGCGTCCGCGCTCGACGCTCTTCGCGCCGCCGCCGCGTCCTCCGACGCGCTCTCCGACTCCTCCTCCACCGATTCTCCCGATTCCGAGCTCCCATCGCCCTCACCCGATTCTTCCGATTCCGAGCTCCCATCACTCCCACTCGACGTTCCCGACACCGCTTCCGAATCCATCTCCGACGCGTCCGAATCCTCGTCGTCGCTCGCGTCCGCCTCTCCCGGAAGCGGCGCGTCCTCGCTCGCGCTCCCGTACGCGCTCTCGCTCCCCGACCCCGACGTTCGCCCCCCCCGCGCGCGCCGTATCTTTTCATCCACGCTCGTCGCCCCTCGCGCGCGCAGTTCCCCACGCGCCCGCGCCGCGGCGTCGCCAAAGTCCCACGGCGCGGTCCTCGCGCCGCCGCGCGCGCGATGTCCCACTCGATGCGTTTCCCGCGCGCGCGCGCCGTCGTCGTCGACGTCGAAGGCGAAGGCTGGATTAAACGCGACGTCGTCGTCGCTGGACATCGCGCGCGGCGATGGCGTTCGGTCGCGCGCGACGTCCGGCGTTGGGCGTCGACGGGTGATTCGATGGGTCATTTGATGGGTGATTTGATGGGTGATTTGATAGGTGCTTGTGCGTTGATGGGTCATTCGATGGGTCATTCGATGGGTCATTCGATGGGTGCGCGTTCGATCGAAAGCGCTCGAGCGGGCGACGGACGCGCGCGCGCGAGGGCGACGGGGACGATGTCGACGGCGCTCGCGCCCATGGGCGCGCACGTCGCGCTCGGGATTTGTTACTTTTTAACGGCGCAAAAGACGCTGGACATGGGATTGGTGGACCCGCGGGCGCAGCCGCTCACGGGGATGATCTACGCCGCGGACGCGCTCTCGGCGTCGATGACGCGGATGCTGGGGAGTGAGGGGTCGAGCGCGAGGTCGGCGTCGGGGGGGGGGGTCGGTGTGCCCTCGACGGCGTTTTTGTTGCCGGTGTTTGATTTATTCGGCTTGACGTGCGCGTTCGAAGCGATGCGCGTGCTCGGCGGACCGCTGTATCAAACCTTGAGCGGGATGTTGATCCCTCTGAGCGCGTTGCTCTCTGGAACGTTTTTGAAGCGTAGGTTTTCGACGAGACAGATGATGGCGATCTCGTTGGTGATTTGCGGGTTGGCGGTGAAGGCGCAGGACGTGCGACGCGCGGCGGCGGCGAGCGGAAAGCCGGTGGACGTGCGAGGAATTCTCATCGCGAATCTCGCCACGGTTTCGTACGGGTTTCGAGGGCTAGTGATGGAATATCTCTCGTCGAGCGGGTCGGGGATGAGCGGGAACGCGCAGACGATGTTGATGGGGACGTGCGGTTTGGCGGCGTTTTTGACGTACTCGGCGTTCACCACGGCGCGCGACGCGGATGGGATGATTTGGGCGTATTACGACGCCAAGCCACGGGTCTTGCGGGACGTCCTTACGATTATCTTGGGTAACATGCTCGCTCGCGCGTTGATGGTGAAGATGATGATGCTCGTGGTGCAGCGCGCCGGGGCGACGCAGTTGGCGCTCTCAAACGCGATTCGATCCGTCGGCGTCATCGCGTTCTCTCACGTCTTCTTTTGCGCCAACGATGCGAGGCAGTGCTTGAACCGAAATGGTGCGATAAGCGCAATCATGGTCGTCGTCGGCGGTCTCGCGTACGCCCTCAGTACTCCGCCGAAGACGGCATCGAAGACGGCATCAAAGCGCGTTGCGCGGACCAAATCGACGACGAAACAACCGTCGAAGAAATCCGAGACCGCGCGCGCGCCCTCCGTCCGCCGTCGATCCGCCCGACTTGGATAAGATTATTCGTCTCATTAACCCGAGCGGTGATGGCTTGTAATACACGCCACGCGTTGATGCGTCGAGCGCGTTTTCAGCGTCGCGCGCCGATTCGGTCTCTCGTCTTGATCGCGCGCGCGCGCCAGCCAGGCTGGAGCGCCTCACTCCCAGACGCCCGTCGACGCGTCCCGCTCGCGCTCACCTCGACGAACGAACATGAAGGCACGCACGCGCGTGACGATCGCGCTCGTCCTCGCGCTCACCGCGTGCGTTGCGCGCGCCGGCGCGAATGATGCTTTCCAAAACGAGGCACCGCGCGCGCGACGCGACGTCACGGGTACCGACGTCGCCAACGCGCCCAGCGCGCCTCGCGGTCGCGCGCTCGCCGACGCAGAAGGCTGGTCCGTGGGTACCGCGACGTGGTACGGTGGTCCGGGCGAGGACGGTGCCGGTCCCGATGGCATGTCCATCTATACCGGAAGTTGTAAATTCGGGAAGAACATTCCGAGTCGCTACGTCTCCGCCGTGAACACGGACGGTGGGTACGATTACGGCCTGACCGATTGGTGCGGACAGTGCTATGAGGTGATGTGCGTGAATGGACGCCAGAGGGGTCTGTCGGAGAGCCTTCTCGGACCGTGGGCTGGATGCGCGCACGGAAGCGGCGGGAAATCGATATCGGTGATGATAACCGATAGTTGTCCGTGCAATCATCCGAACACGGAGAGTAACAAGCGGTGGTGCTGCGGTGGTGAAGCATCAAACCGGCATTTTGATTTGAGTTATGTGGCATTCGACGCGATCGCGATTCGTCACAGAGGTATCGTCGACATTCGGTATCGCAAGGTGTCGTGCGATTCCCTGGGCGAAAGCAAATATTACTCGTGATTCGCGATTCGCTCGAACGGAGAGAGAGTATTTCCAAGATGTTTCATTCGCGTTGTTTATCACGCGCTGTTTATCACGCGCTCGATTGTGATTCGTTTCGATGATTGTTGATGCGACGTCGCGTTCGCATTCGTTGCGCCCGTTTGCGCATCTTCCACATTCATCGGCGCGTCGCGTGCTTGAGGGGATCGACGACGAGATGTCACCCCGCCGTTTGATAGACACCTTCATGCGTCGCGCATCGACGTCTTCCGCGTCGACCTCGTTCTCGTCGTTCGCGCGTTGGTCGTCAAGCGCGGCGTCGCCGCAGCGTCGCTTTGCCGTCGTTGGGAGCGGTCCCGCCGGTATGTACGCCGCGCTTGAGCTTCCGCGCGCCTTCCCGGGCGCGCGCGTCGACGTCTTTGACCGATCGCCTGCGCCGTTCGGTTTGGTTCGATACGGCGTCGCCCCCGATCACGCGGAGACCAAGTTGGTGACGAACAAGTTTCACGAGACGTTGACGACGCGCGACGATGTGCGCTTCTTCGGCAACGTAGAGTTGGGCACGGACGTGAGCTTAGGGGAGCTATACGACAGCTATCACGGCGTTGTGCTCGCGTGCGGGACGAATGGGGACCGATTGTTGGATGTTCCGGGAGAGTCAGAGAACCGAGGCGTGGTCGGCGCTCGTGCTTTTGTCGCGTGGTTCAACGGCGATCCCGAACACGGACCGTCGAGCGCGACGCACTTTGCGATCGAGGAGGCTTTGATGAATAGTGTGGATGCGCACGTGGCGGTGATAGGGGTGGGGAACGTGGCGTTGGATTGCGCGAGAATACTTTTAAAGGATGCAGAGGCGCTCGCGGGGACGGACATTTGCGAACACGCGTTGGAGGTGTTACGAGCGAATCCGGTGCGTTCAGTCTCACTCATCGGACGACGAGGCGTGGCGCAGGCGTCGTTTTCGCCCAAAGAGCTTCGAGAACTGTTGAATCTTCCGAGAGTGCGAGTGGTGATGAGCGACGAATCCCTCGAGCTCGCGCCCGAGGACGAGCTTGAACTCAAGGAGAGTCGACCACGAAGACGCGCATACGAAGCCTTCGTCAAACGCGCGAGCGAGGGCGAGTGCGCGACCGCTGGCGGATGCGCGAAGACACTACACGTGCGTTTCCGATCGAGCCCGCTCGCGTTCGGCGGCGATGCCGGCGCGCTGCGTTGGATGAAACTGGGGAGGAACGAAATTATCGGCGAGCCGGGTGCGCGAAAATCTGTCTCCTCGGGCGAGACAGAGACCGTGCCCACCGCGCTCGCGCTGCGATCGGTGGGATATGCCGCGAATCCGATAGAAATGCGCGTTCAGGATACGTCCGCAAGCGCGCTTCGATTGCCGTTCGACGGGCGTCGACGCGTTGTTCCAAACCGTTTCGGTGCCGTGACGCGAGACGCCTCGAGCGACGCCGAGGAAATCCCTCGCCTGTACGTCACCGGTTGGCTCAAGCGCGGCGCCACGGGGATCATCGGCACGAATTTAACGTGCGCCGAAGAAACGATCGCGAAGATGAGTGTTGATTTCGCCGAGAATCCACCGAGCGACCCTATTGCTTCAGGCGTGGACGGACTCCTCTCCGATCGAGGCGTCCGCGTCGTCTCCGCCCGCGATTGGTCCGTCATCGACGCGCTCGAGCGCGGTCGCGGCGCCGATCGTGGAAAACCGCGCGAGAAATTCGTTTCCATCGACGACTTCATTAACGCCCTCGACGACGCTACGTAGCGGTTGACATGTAACATTAGTCTGTCGCGTCGCTTTGCCAACCGTTCTCCCACGCGCCCCCACGCCCGCACACACCGCCGCGCTATCACGCGATGCACGCATCCACGCCGCCCGTGTCAACGATCACGTCTCCCCCGCTCGGTGTGGGCGCCTCCAAACGCTCCATAACCGCTAAAAGCGTCGTCAAATCGCACCAGACGCTCGATTTGGCGCCGCCGCGTCGACATCTCGCTGAGATTTCAATCGCGCGCGCGTCGGTCACGACGCCCCCGGAGCGCGCGAAGGCGTCACTCACGACGTCTGTGACACCCTTAGTGATGACACTGTCGGCGTGTGCGATCGCGGGGACGTACGCGGTGGTGCGAGCGTCCGACGCCGCGCGCCGGGCGAGCGACGCCTGGGCGGCGGCGGCGAGCGACGCGTCGAGCGCGGCGCGAGAGATTGAAAAGCTTGCCGTCGTGGCGACGACGGAGTTGCCGTCGACGCTGGACGCGATGGAACAGAGCGCGTGCGAGGTAGAGCTGTTAGCGAGCGAGACTCGGGAGATATTGGCGCGATTGGACGGCACAGAGTACGTGGAGAACCTGAAGGCGGAAATCGAAGCAAGGATGAAGGATCCGACGAAGGATTTCAGGGATCTGAGCGATGATTTGAGTGAGTACGTGACGAAGATGACACGGGAGCTAGGACAGGTGATGAGCACGGTGGGGATATATCTGGACGATGGTACTTTCGACGACGACGTGAAGGAGATGTCGACGGAGGAGAGGTTGATTCGGAGGAAGAGCATCAACGAAGCCGTTGCGGCGGCGAAGGAGACGACGGAGAACGCAGCCGCGTTGACGACGAGGTTGCAGGAGGGGGCAAAAACGCAGGGGAGAGATCTTGCGGAGATCGTGGGGAAGATCGCGCTCGCGAGCGAGGAAGTATCCAAAGCAATGAACCGACTGGGCGAGGCCACATCTGGGCAGACGGGATTCGGACGCGAGCGAGAGAAGAAATGAAAGAGGCATCGACGTCGTGCTGTACCTAGAGCTGTAATTGAAACACCGCACATCACAACAAACGGCGCGGACGCGGCGGACTCCACACCACCTTCTCTGGCGTCTCTGTGGGCGTGAGGAAGAGGTCGTCGGTCGACAGCGTCGAAGCTTGCTCGGGCGACTGCAAGAATCGGGTCACCGGAACGCGTTCTACAGTCGTCGGTCCGGACTCGATCAAACGCGTGAACTCTTCTCCGAACGTGTCCCAGTACCAGTCTAAGAACAGGTTGTGCGTCACGCGTTTGCTCACGATCGCTCGCTCCATATTGTGCCGCAATTCGACCGCGTGGCACCATCGATCAAAGTAACGATTGAGCAAGATGAACTTGTGCTTCGCCCTGTGCTCGTGGAGATACCTCGAGATATGACGCCACGACGAGCGCCATATCGTGAACGCTCTGCGCATGACGTCCTTATCCGAGCGCTGGGTGATCGCCTTGATGACCATGGACCCCCTGAGCGTGCGCTCTCGCGCAGCACGGTCCGTGACGTCGCTCCATCGATAGAACGCCATTCGAACTGTTCGATTCTGCCAACACTCGAATGTCTTCATCAATCTGCGAGTGAACACTTTTCTCTCGAACACGCGCTGTTTCCACAGTTCAAACATCTCGAACGCGATTTTCTGACGCATTTTTCTGATCGCTCGGAGCTGGAGGTTTGCCACCGTCTTCCCGTGTTTCGTTTGTGAGAACCAGGCAAAGAAGACTTTTCTCATCAATTCGAGCGATTTATCGCGTACACCGCGCCTGTGCGCCCTTGCGGCTATCACGCGCGTCTCACGCCATTCCGTTACGGTCTTCACCCACGTGTAGAAGTATCGTCGAGCGAGCTTTACGTCAAATCTCGTGCGAACAATTGACTCCTTTCTGCGCATTGTCGCCATGTGTTGAGCGCGTCGCCGCCAGGTGTTGAAGGCGACGCCAAGACGCGCGACTTCCGTGCGCATCATGAAGCGAACGACAGATAGACGCTTCTTACGCGCGCCCTGAACGTACATCTTCCAATCGATGAATAACCTGTCGCGAATCGCGCGCGATGACGATTGTATCATGCGATTGACCGCCTTGAGCTGTACGCCCCGGATGCTCTCTCGCATTTCTTCCGACAATGTTGCGCGCATGCTCGTTATCTCCTCTTTGTGTCGCACAATCATAGTCTTTCGAACCGTTTCCACCACCTGGACCGTTTGCACGCTCATCTGCTCGAGCTTTGATCGCGCTGCTTGTACTTCGTTCATCCAGTTTGTCTTCGTTTCCTGAAGCTCCTGAGCCAATTCGGCACGTTCCCGCTCAAGTGCGTGCTCGACTTCCTTCCTCGCCTCCACTGCTTCGACCGTTCGCACGCTCATAGCCTCAAGCTCACCTCGCACTTCCTGCACTTCCTTCCTCCAGCTCGCTTTAACCAACTCAAGTTCGTGCGCTAACTCCGTCAGCTCGCGTTCGAGGCCTTCTCGCGCGTCGATCTCGCTACGGAGCTTCCTTTTCCATTTCTCCGCCATGGCCGCGGAGATTATCTCGGGCGCCGACTCCGCCGGTTTTGCGACCGGCACTGGCGCTGAATGCTTCTTTGTAACGCGTTGTTCTTCCTTGAAAACCTGTTTCGTGACAAAAACCTCCTTCGCACCTTCCATAGAGGTTCGCGATGCGTCCATCTCGCCCGGACTCGGCGGAGCCGCTAGTGGGCGCTGAACCAACTTTGATGGCGACTCGGGATCGCTCTCGTTCGCGCCGAACTCCACGTACTCGAGATCATCCGCGTACATATTCATATCGTCCAACGCATACCGCGGCAAGAACTCGTTCGGGACGACGCTGACGATTACATCCAGCGTAGCGTGTGGAAACCGTCGATTCCTGAATTTCATCGCCTGTCCGCTCTTTGCGCGCCCGTGATCAACCTCCACAAGCTCCCACTGCTCGCACACACCAAAATTTTCGCTATAGAAACACAAATCGCTCGCTGCCTTGCGCCTTGCCTGTAATAATCGACCACCCGCGGCGTGCGAACGAAAGCCGTGATAATCCCCAAACCGAAGCACCACCAAATGCGTAGACGCATCTCTCGCCGTCAATCGCAACGCGTCCGCCTCATCTTTCCCACCAACTCGCGCCGCGCCGAACTCCAATACCTGTCGTTCTCCACACTCTATCGGACGATCATTCGCCCGAACCGTCCGCCCCAAACCGTCTTTCGCCGCGAACCATCCGCCGTGCGAAACCGCGCGCAGCGCCACGCACGTCCCGCGCCCCAAACCGCGCGCGTCCAGAGTCGTCGGTTCTCGCACCGCCGACGCACCCACTCTCCGCCAGAACATCGATTGCCCATCCAATCTCTCCGAATCACCGGAGTCAACGTCCTGAATCCCTCGTGTACTCCCCGGGACCACCGCGCGACTCCGCGCGCGTTCCGCGTTGAACCTGAACTTCAATTTCTCGTACGCAGCCTCGTCCTCCGACGCGCTCGACCACCCGTCCGGTGCGTCGTCCACGCGTCCGTGCTTTCGCATCGATTCACGCGCGCGTCGAGACATCGTCGCGAACGCGCGCGCGAGCGCGTCACGACGACGTCTGGGGCGGTGAAAAGTTCGTTGAACTTGAATTGAATGTTCGTTTTCACGTCCATGGTTCCACGAGTCGTGACTGCACGACGTTGGGACTCAAGGTGGAGTCGAGCGAACGGAGGCGTCGGGATGATGACGTGATGTTCGATTGCACTCTACGCGTCCGCGGTGCGATCGGCGAGTCGAGAACTTCTGCGCGCGGGCGAGGCTTGGGTGGCGGTCGAACCGGGGGTCGGACGGTCCGTCGTCCACGCGCGCGTCGCTTTGCGCGGCGTCGGCGAGAGAAACGCCGGGAAGGATGATTTCCCCGTGAGCGGACGCTGCGCGCCGAAGAGAAGACTTCCGGGGGCGCTCGGTTTGGGCATCGTTGTCGTTGTCGATGCGTCGGCGTGCGCGGGACGACGGACCGGGATGGCGCCGAAGGGTGACGCGTATGGCGTCGATTCCGGAACTTTTAAGCCAGACTTGGTCGTCGGGAGCATCGTCGCGGGTGACGACGGTGCATCGCTCGGTTCGTGCGGTCGAACGAACGTCAACGGTCGCCCCGGACTTCCAAGAATGGACGCCGAAGCGAGCATGGACGTCGCTTGATCGAGCGACGATGCGCGCGCCTTCTGCGCCAGCTCGACAGGCGGCTTCAAAAACGGAATCTCGCCCTCGGTTCCAGGCTTTCCGCGTAAAACGGCTTGGAACTCTCTCTTTTCGTCCGCGAGCGCCATTGCGTTCGCTGTTTTGTTCAAGTCTCCGTCGTTCGCGCGATCGACTACGAGATCGCGAGGTATCGCGGCGTCGGCAAACAACGCGCCTCCGATGTCCGCCACGAGCGCCTTTTGCGGGATCGGCAATCGTGCCAAGCACTCTTGTAAGCGTGCCTCCAACTTTCCGGCGCGCTCGTCCACAAGACGCCCCTCATTTCGTGCGCGCGAGAACAGACCCGCTGCCTCGAGCGGACGACCGCGGTTCAGGAGATAAACAATGCCGAACTCGACCGGGATATCCTCTCGTCGGTCCCACAGGAGGTCGAGCAAAAGTTTTTCCGTCGCGTCGTTGAATGGAAGTGCGAGCACTTGTTCCAGGCATAGTTTCTCAACGCCGTGATCCAAGAGCAACCGTACCAAGTGCGTCCCAGCCTTGGATTCTCGAAGTTCTGGGAACGCGTTGAAGGCGTCTCTGACGCACAGAAACGCCTCAGAGATGAGACCGCACGCAAGACGAATGGAAACCTCTAGACTCATCGTCTCCGCGTTAGGCGACGACGTCAACGCACCGCGAGCTCGCGAAACCATCAACGCCGTGGTGGGACGTTGTCGATTCGCCAAGCTCGCGATGAACTTGACCGGAAGGAGGGGATGCGCCACTCGAGGCAAGATTTCACACGCCTCGTCGAGCGCCGCCTCGCTCTCGAAATCGTCGAGCAACACCGCCGCGCGCGTTTCCTGGTACAGTCGCGGATGAATTCTCGCGCGTCGCGCGTACTCCATCGGTGATCCGTCGTGCGGAAGACCCGAATCGAGCAAAAAGTACAGAAACAAACAGCGCTTGGCCAGGAGCGCTGCCGGCCCCGCGCTTCCGTCGACAAAGATGCTCTTCGCCGCCTCCGCGATCGACTTGAACGGATACGCCGGTCTATGCTCACCCACACCCGCGAGTAAATCGTCCAAGAAGGTCGTCCCCGGCGACGTCGCCGCGCGTCGTCTCTGCACCGCGCCCGCCCAAGCCGCCGGTCCACCATGCCTGCCTCCTGCATCACTCATACCTTCCCTCGCCGCCCACAGTACCGCCTCGCACTGCAGTTCTCGACACACCACCGCGTCGCGAACTTTCTGTAACCGCTTCGTCTCCTCGGACCCACCAATCGCGCCCTTACCGCTCGCGTCCGCTCCCAACGCCTCAGCCGCCCTCGCGCACGCGTCCAGCGTCCGTGCGCACGCCTCTGCGCTCTCCTCCCGTCCCCCGCCCGCGTCTAAAGTGCTCTCCGCTCGTCTCAAACTCTTTTCCACCCAGTCCAACACGCATCGTCCGTCTCTTACGTACGCTTCCGTCGCGTCGTCGCTCGTTGCCTGACTATCGCCGCACACCTCCTCCGCGTAGTGCGTCGCCGCGCTCGGCGTCCCTCCTCGCGCGCACGCGTCGAAGATTTCGTGCAATCGATCGACGTCAGCCGCACACGGTGGGGCATGGAAATCGCGCTCGTCGACGCACGCTTGCGTGAGTACGTCCGGACAATTCGCGTCGCGCAACCGCGCGTGGATCTTCCGCAGCGTTGGAATCTGTGCTAAACTCTGCGGCGGGAGCACGGCGAGCTCGTCCAGGGCTCTGTCGAGGTCGGCGTTGAAGTGCATTTTGTTATCTATCGCTTTTCCACCTGGGTTCGGACGCGTTCGTGATGACGGCGCGTCGCGCACTGTGGCGGCGGGCTCAACGGCTCTCACGTTTGGAAGCGGCGTCGTTTGTTCACGATTGTATTAGATTACAGCGAGCTTTGGCGACGGTTTACAAGTGATCGATGACATCCTTTAACGATTTACCCCCGATCTTCGTCGTCTCGAGCATAAAGTTTTTCCTACGCGCTTCCATGAGCTGCGCCTTGATGCGCTTGTGGTCCTCTGTGTCCGGCGGGATCTCCTTCTCGCGGTGTTGTCTTAATCGATCGGTGCTCTTGAGCTGGGTGCCCAGCATGTGATCGGTGTTCTCGGGGTGGGCGTTCTCGTCATCTTCGGCCTCTCCTACGTCGCCGTCGAAGTTCTCGGGGGTGTAGCGGTGTTCCTCGTGCATGTGTTCGCCCTTTGGCGTCACCCGATGGCCGTGGTGCGTCGTCGCGTGCCGGGGCTGCGGCACGAATAAAGTTTTGTCGGTGGAGTACCCGAAGAGCGTCAAGGTCTTCTCGGCGATTCGCGTTTGCACGTCCACCAGGGGCGAGTTCGGTCGGTAGGTGAATTTTTCGCGATAGATGGTGAAGCGCTTCAGGTTGTGCATCACGTGCTGATGGCTTCCAAATTCGTTTGAGATTTTCGCCGGAAGCTTGAGCTTCATCGAGAGCTCAGAGACAACCTTTTGGGCGGCTTGGTACTTCTCGAGCTTAACCCCGTCGGCACCACGTCGGAAGTGCTCCATGTCGGGCTGCACCAGGTCCTCCGCGCGTAGAATCATGCCGTAATCAGCAAGCGGACCTTTGAACAAGGCACCGATTTCAAAGTTGATCGCCGTCCAGTACGCCGTCGTGCGCAATAAATCGATCACGTCGTCCTTTTCCACGTCCTTCAGCGACGCATGCTCGGAGAGGTGCATCCACTCCTCCTCGAACTTCATCGTGAGCTCATGCCATCGCTCCTCGCCGAAATAAGCTTGTTGAAGGTCTCGCTCTTTCTCGTGTAAATTCCCGAGCGGCAGCGTCCGCGGGTCTCTCACCAAGTGCACGTACGTCACACTCGGCCCGTAGACGTCGCGAAAGATGGGAATGAGGTACATCGCCAACGGATCCTTCCATCCCCATCGCCCGATCTCGTCATCGTGATTGATCCCATTCGTCGTCAGCGACGGGTGCAACCACTTCTCTTGCCTGGCGAACATATCGCACAGATGTCGCGCGACGTCCACCTGCAACGACATCGGCATATCGTCCGGCTCGTACACCACCCGTCGACTCCACGCCATGATATCCACGATGATATCGTCCAACCCGCTCGCCCGTTCCGCCAACGAGTTCCCGTCGTCGTCCGTCGGCCCGAACGTCACCGCCTTGGAATCCTTCAAAAACGTCTCCAGCGGCTTCCCGACCCCCCCACCGTCGCCTCCGATGATCACCGGCTTCCCAGGTATCTGCGTGCACTTCATCTCCGGGTGATCCCTCGTCAGGTGCGCCATCCACGCCTTCGCGCCGAGCGCGCGAGCGCGCGAGACCGCCGACGCGCACAGCGCCGCGACCATCATCCATCCACGGCCGATGCGTTCTCGTCGCCCACCGCGCGTCGCGCGCGTCGCCCACCGCGCGCGCGCGCGGCGCGACGAACACATCGCGCGCGTCGTCGTCGTCGTCGTCGCGGTGTGCGACGCCCGTCGAAGTCGTCGTCGTCGTCGTCGTCGTCGTCGTCGTCGTCGTCGATGCCGGTTCGGCGTACGCACGAGTCCTGAGTCCTGACTCGACGGATCGAGTCCCCACTCGGTCTGTCGAGTCGTACCTCACGACCACGACCGACGCCCCGACACGCGCGCACACATGGGCCTGGGCGTCGTTGAATACGACGCGTCCCGTGGCGTCGTCGTCGTCGTCAACACATGGGCATCGACGGCGTTGAATACGACGCGTCCCGACGCCCACGGCCGCGCGCGCGGTGCGAGCCGTCGAAGAGCGCGCACGTCGGACCCGTGGACGCGCGCGTGCGGCGAACGACGCCGAGGGCGAGGCAGACGACGCGACGGACGGATGTCGAGAGTGGGAAAACGAGCCGGCGGCGGGGCCGGTACGACGCGACGGATGGCGACGTGTTGACTCGAAACAGCGGTGGAAGCGCGCGAGAGGCGAGGGATGGAGCCGAGGCGCGGTTTCCGTACGATTTTGGGTTCGAATTTGCGGGCGGTACGACGTGTGGGACGTCGGAGATGATTTCCATGGCTTTGGAGACGGCGAGCGACGGGCGCATGGCGCGGTTGGAAAATGTGCTGGCAAATCGGACGTTTGACCTGTTGCCGGTGATGGAGGGCGTGTACGACGTGGGAAACATGTTGGCGGTGTGTCGATCGACGGAGGCGCTGGGCATAGGGTGCGCGGCGATCGTGTCGAGCAAGGGGTTGAACTTTAAGGCGAGCGGGCGGACGTCCGGCGGCGCGCTGAAGTGGCAGCGAGTCGAGCGATTTGATTCCACCACGGCGGCTTTGCGCGCGGCGAAATCTCGCGGGATGCGAGTGTTGACCACGGAGTTTGAGGGGGCGTATCCGATGTCGCATTATGATTGGACGATTCCCACAGCGGTGGTGTTCGGGAACGAAAAGACGGGCGTGAGCGAAGAGGCGCGCGCGATGTCCGACGGCGGCGTGTTCATCCCAATGTACGGCTTCACGGAGAGTTTAAACATATCCGTCGCCGCGGCGTTGGTGATGAGTCACGCGGTGAGCGACCGAATCGCCCGTCGCGGGTTTCACGGCGACTTGTCTGACGAAGAGAAGGAAATTCTTCGCGGCGTGTACGCGTCAAAGTTGATTCCGCACTCGCAGCGACAAGGGCACTTGGAGGAGTTGGTGAAGCGGTTCAAGATGCGCGGAACTGACTTCTCTGTGCTCGACGCGCTGAAGGCAGACGTGGATGACGAGGAAGTCGACGAGAACACGTTGATCGAAGCGTTGGGCGTCAAACGCTTGGTCGGACGCCGGACGCCGCCTCGCGACAAGGATCTAGGAAAGGAGGGGTGATTATTTGTTTGGTATACCGGTACCGGTATTCATTTATTGTCTTCGTATTGATGAAATAACGAGTTGTTGTACACGCGCATATTGGTTTCATTGTTCTTTTTATCTGCGTCTTCTTCTGCTCGCGCTGCTTTTGTTTTGTGTCGCAGTCGGAGGCGACGTTTCCGCCGGCTTTCGCTTCTTCTTGTTGTCAACCACCGGTTCTTCCTTGACCTTTTTCGTAGGTTCCTTCACGAGCGCAGGCTCGACCGGCGGCGGTACGGCCTCTTGAACGGACGTTTCCGCAGTGGGCACGACGACAGGAACCGCGATCTTTTGCTCGGGCTCCCTCGGAGCTGGTCGGAAAGGAACGTACGGAATGCCTTGCGCTGCGCAGCACTCGGGGCACGCAAATTTGACGTTTTCGGCGTTCTCATCCTCTTCACCTGGCGCCGGAGGTTGCATTCCGATGCACTCGTAGTGGAACCAACCGTCACACCTATCGCAGCAAATCATCGGTCTGAGAGCGTCGTATGCGCTGCGGCACACGCAGTACAATTCGCATCGCTCGCCCAACTCCTCAAGTTCATCCTTGAGATACAGCGGTAAAGATCGTCCCTCTTGAAGCAACATCTGCGCCGCTTCGATGGGAATCGTCTTGTCCTGCACGACGGCAGCCGCGCGTTCGAGCCAAATCTGCCCGGCAACTTCCAACGCGTGCGCGCGGTCAGCCAAGGGATCGATGCCAGCGCCCGGACACAGACCCGCCGCGACGGCGGATTCCTTCAATTCATGAAGCTTTACGAGCCGCGGGAACGGCGTGCCAGTCATCAATCTCGTCGCTTGCTCTCTCCACGCCGGACCACACACTTCACGCATGAGCGCCAAAGTCTCCTCCACCGGTTCCAACTCCATTGCGAGCGCGCCCTTCATGCCCGCGTACACTTGCAGAGCTGGGTCGACGTTGTCATTTCTGGAAACTTCCATCGTCACGCCCATGTCCATCTCTTGCTTCATGGCCGGTGGCAACTCGGTGCCCATCATCTGTTGCTGTTGCTCAATCTGATGCTGTTGCATAATCTGCTGCTGCATCATCTGTTGCTGTTGCTCAATTTGCTGCTGGTCGAGCAGTGGTGCCTTGGTTTGCTCGCTCGATCCGTTCCCATTGGACGCAGACTCCACGCTCGCCTCCTGCGGCATAGACGGTATGAACCCAGAGAGCTGAAGAGTCGCATTCATGAGCCAATCGTTGGCACCTACCTTGGTCAGCTCGTCCTCGTGTTCCTTCGTCATCTGCGCGTGACGATCCATCATCATCAGCACGTGAAGAATGTGAGGCCTGGAGCGAACGGGCGCCATGTGAATCTGCGCTTGACACATTGCGAGCTGCATCGCGAGCTGTTGCAGTTCGTTGAGCTGTTTCGTGACGACTTCCGTGATCTCGGACGATGTTTTTGAGATATTGAGCGCGTGAGAGCGCTGCGTCGCCGCGAACGTCACGGCTTGACCCATGAGCATGACTTGCTGCAGAGGCGTGAGTGAGGGGTTCGGATTCGGATTCTCCATAGTCGCCGTGAAAGCGGCCTCGGCGATCCGCCGCGTACGCTCCTCTGCCTCGCGCGTCGCCGCTTCCTGAGCGATACGCGCGGCGTGCTTGATTGCATTTTCGTGTGCCTCTTTCATACTCTTGCGATGCACCGTCTTGCGAGCCTCGAGTCTCCACGCGTCGTGCGTGTTGATGAGCTGGTTCAAAATCGCTTCTTCGGGAACCTCGCCTGGGAATCGTTGCGCTTCGGTGAGCAGGTCTCTCAAAAGCATCACGTTCGGTCGGTTTGTGCGATGCACCGATCGATACGCATCCAAGGAGAGCGCGCTTGCTCCACCGCTCTTTGCGACACACGGCGGACAGATGTAGTTGTGCATCGTCTTCGCCATCGTCGGAGTCACATTGATGCACTTCAAGTGATACCAGTCCCCGCAGTCGTCACAACCGACCATTTGGATACCGCCCGCTTGTCGACAGAGGCAGAACTGACCCTCCTCCGTCTCTGGAGGCTCGCCAGTTCCGGTGATGTCCTCTATCCCAGCCTTGACGGATTCGAGAACGATCTCGAGCATCTCCGTGAGACTCTTCTCTGTCTTCTGAGCCGACTCACCCTGCTCGTTAGACCAAAGAAGCGCGTTGAGCTTTTCCGTCCAGGCGGTCGCGGCGTTGCATGCATTCGTCAACGCCTGCCTCTCTGAACATTTGAAGGTCAAGTCCTCAACCTCCGCCAACAACTCGTAGAGCTCATCAATCGATGGACGAGGGCGCCCCTCGGCGACGCTGTTGAGGCACTTGCGAACGGTTTCGACCCACACGGCGTGATCGGCCAATGAAGCCTCCAAGTCTTCAACCTTCGAGACGTTCGCCGGAAGCGCCTTGCCTTCAGCAATTAGAGCATCGATTTCATCCGGCGACGCGCTCGGAGCCAGACGTCCGTCCTCGAGAGGGGGCGGGTCAAGTAAACGATCAGCCTTCTTACGCCACTCATCGACGATGGTGTGTCGCCTGACAACTTCATCGACAAGGTCTTGCTTTAGATCTTGGAGCGAGTCTATCTCTTCCCTCAGCTCGTCCAACACGGTGTCTTCGACGAGCTTCGCCTTCGGCGCAATAATCTTGGAGACGCGATCCTCCCATTTGAGCGACCTAATGCGAACCTTGAGCATCGCCATCGCCGGTAACTCCAGACCGAAATCTTCGTGAGCGAGTTCGAGCTCTGTCAAGGTGACTTCCGCTCCGTCATCGCGCCAGCGCTCGATGGCGTCCTTCGCTTCCTCTTCCCATTCTTCGGCGGCCTCAACGCGCTCTTCGAGTATCTCCACCTCCTTCACAAACAGCTTCAGTGACTCGGACTCCTTCATGAGCTGTTGAGCATCAGAAAACGGTGGAATCGGATTCGTAACGCCGCGACGAGTCAACTGCTTGCCCTTCAAGCACGGTTGAGCTCGATCCAACCAAGATTTTGCCACACTCACGGCCTCTGAAAGAGCTTCGAATCCGTCCAAAACAATTGGAATAGCGTTTCCTTCACGAATCACCGACGTTGCATCGTCTAAAGACGGCTTGTTCTTGCCACCGAGAGATTTGACTATCGCCGCCGCTCGCTCGTTCCATTTCTTCGCCGTCTTGATGTGCGTCTCGCATTGCTGCAGAAGTGCCTCCTCATCCGGTGCAACCTCCTTGTCGTCTGAATCTAAGAATTCATTACCGGTTTTCACCGCGGTTTCGAGCTCAGCCAAGGGACATTTCTTGGAGAAGATCATCTCCTTCAAGTTATCAATCAATTCTCGGACGACGATGCGGTTTCGCAACCAGTCAACTTCGTCAATGTGGACGGAGAACTTTTCACCCTCCTCGAGCAATAGACGCATGTCTCTCACCCGCGATTGTGGATGATCACTCGCGCGCGCGCGATCTGCCCAGACCTTGACGGCTGCGATCTGGCGTGCGAGATCATCGACCTCATCGAGCTTGGTGGATAACCCCATGCCTTCCTTGAGAAGGGCCTCGGCGTCTTTGATGTCCACCTTTGTGACAAACAAGGACTCTGACTTAGCGCGCCAGAAACTCAGTTCCTCTATGGCCTTACGCACAGTCAGCAACTCGCTCTGCTGCACTGGCAAACCGCTCGCTTCTTCGTACAACACCTCGATGTCCCTTGCATTGGCCAGCTCGTCTCGCTGCGCAATCTGTCGTCGTCCCGGCAACGCGCTTCGCACCTTTGTTGACCAAGCGCCAGCCTTCGCGATAGCATCCTCGAGCTTTTTATACGACGGAACCTCCACACCAAACCGATTCGCTTCGCTCTGCAGCGCCGTGCAAGCGCGAGGCGCTGGGTTCGGCTCCTCTGCGAGCGTCGCTTTGATGCGTTCCTCTAACTTGACGCCCGAAGCAAGCAAATCACGGAAAGGTTGCGTCTCAGCCTTCGGCATTGGCACCGGTGGGTTATCGAGTAGCTCTTTCAATCGATTGAGACCGATTCGAGCCGCGCTGCTGTCATCGTGCGCGGCCTCTGCTCCGCGTCCAGAATTGATTCGCTGTTTGAGTGAGGCGAGACTCGTTTGCCAAGCGATAGCGTTGACAACGCGCGAGTGCGCCTCGCGAGCCACACTCATGTCCGACCCACCCCAGGCGAACTTCTCGCCGTCTGTTAAGAGTTTCTTCAGCTTATCAGCGGGAGGCAAGGGGAGCTTATTCAGATCGTCGCCCACTTGCTTCACCCAAGCCTGCGCTTTCTTCGCGTGGTTCGCACTCGTCGTCGTCTGACTGAAATTGGCATGCTTAGACTTAAGGCTCGCGAATTCCTTCGATGGAATCGCCTTCTCTGTCTTCTTCACCAGCTTCTCTAACTCTGCGATTGTTTGACGGTAGAACATTCTCCTCGAACTCATCGCACAATCGCAAAGACCCTCGGCGTGTCGCAAGCAAGCCTTTTTGCTTGAGTCGCAAGTCTCACAGATAACGTAAGACGAGTACGTGCAATGGCGACACTCGAAGCATTCGTCGCTCACCGAGCTCGATTCACCGTCTCTCGAACGAAACTTTCGAGACGTACCTAATCCACCCTCTTCGTCCTCCGCGGATTCGATCTGCGTGCACATGAACAAGCCGGATTCGATGAGCTTGGCTCTCGCACTGGCCTCTTCTGCGTGCACGCGAGAAATCTCCGGCCATAGGTGCAGAGCCACGTTCGCGCTGGGATCCTCCGCCGCCCTACAAATCAACTCTTCGTGGCTAAATAACGCGGGGCGGGCTTGAATGCGATCCTTCTCAACGCGCTCGGAACCGATGGCGAGCCACTCGGGTGGCGCGTAATTTACGCTCTCTGTGCAGTTCAATCCACAGTTGAAAGTCGCGTAGTAAGCTCCCGGAAACGTTATGACGTACTCGCCCGGATACTGTTCGAGCATGTACACGGGAACGCCTCGCGATAACAGCGTCGTCGGCGAGATCATGGTAAAGACGCCTCCTAAGTCGTTCGCGTGCGCCTCGTAGACATCTGGTAAAATTGTCTTGAAGCACTCCTCAAACTTATCGGCGGCGCTCGCCGGAACGCAGTACCACGTCTTCGCGGCACCCCAGTGATTGTAATTGATCCCGTACAGACCATGGCGCTCTTGACGCCAGGTGGTTGAGCTAAACGTGCTGCCGACTTCGAGAAATGGAGTCGTCACACCGGCGACGTCATCCTTGAGTGCCCCGAGCACCGACTCGCGTTCGCCCTCGGCGCGCGCGACGTTGTTCAAGTTCCACGGTGATTCAACCCATTGCTTGTAATCTTCAGCGTCGACCCCGTCCATCTTCACCTGTGGCGTCTCGTTTCGTCTTGGGAACCCGCTTCCGTGCTTCGTCGTGTCGATGTTTGTCCCGCACTTCACTTCGCACACGTCGTCTGCCGAGCTCGCGTCCTCGACCATTCGCCAGAAACACTCCTCGATGACCTGCATGCTGATCCCCGTGCGCTTGGCGTCCTCGCCGAAGAACGCCGTGTCGAACTCTATGCACGCCTCGTTGAACGCTCCGAGCGTAAACGTCGTCCCCTCGTCCGCGCTCAACAGCTCGATCTCGCGATCGATCTCCTCGCACTGCGCGCAGAACCACTCCCCACTCGGTACCTCCGTCATCTTCGGCGTCAGGCAGTACATGTGCGACCTAATGCGCGTAAAATTCGTCGTCAGTCGTCGATGCGTCGCCTCCAATCCTCCACCCCCAACGTCCTCCGAGTCATGACTCTTCGCGTAACCGTCGCCTCGACTCCATCGCCCCACCGACGCGCTCGCGACGGCGACCACGCGACGCCGCGCGTTTGATTCGACGCCTAATATTCCCCCCTTTGTACATCCCAAGCGCGCTTCGTCGAAATCAACGCACCCTCGATCGCATCCGTCGCACAAGATCATCGCGTCCTCGTCCCCCGGGGCGCCGCACACCGCGCACTCGGCGTCCTCCCCGTTCCCGTCGGCGTTTAACTCGTGCGCGATGTGATCCAGACCCTGCGCGGCGAGATCATCGGGGAGAATAATGTCAGTCATCGCCGCGCGCGGTTTGAATCGCGAATGCGGCGTTTCCGTGGACGCCTCACGCGGTTCGATCGCGTCGCGATCGAGCACGAAGTCGGATATCGCCCTCGCCGCGCGCACATTTTCCACCTTGACCCGCATCGGGGCGTCTCCGCTCGCGCCTTGAACCAGACCGATCAACGCCTCGATCACCTCTTCGTCCGCCGTCGTCAACGTTTTCGCGTTCGCGACGTATTCGCTCGCCAATCGCGCGTCTTCCTCCGCGCGCGTCGCGCCTTCGTACGCGGCGAGCCAGCGGTCGTACAGCCTTCTCGCCGCGTGTCCGGCTCGACACCCCCGTCCGTGCGCCCCGATAGCCTCCGCGACGTCGCGCCACATCGCGTTCCCCTCGATCTTCCCTCGTCCACCCCTCGATCGCACCGCGTCGTACAGCGCCCGCAGGTCGAAGCGCCATCCGCCCAGGCGGTGCGCCCGCCACGCCGCGCCGCGCGGCGCCTCGCTCGACCTCACGCGCGCACAGAACCGTTCAAATCCATCCCTGAACGGCACCGTCGACCCTCCACACGCGTCTCTCGCGCACGCCCCGAGCGCGCGCACCGCTTGCGTGCGCGCACGGAACGTCCACAGCCGCAAATCCAGGGCGAAGCCCGACGCCCCCGCGCGCGCATCGCGCCATTCATCCGTCGACGCGCGTCCCGTCACCTTTCCGATCGACGCCTCGCGCGCACCGAGCGCGCGCAACGATACCACGGCGTCACCCACCGCGCGGACGTCCTCGCGCGCGATCTCGGGCGCGCGCGCGGGCCCGCGCATCGCCGCGCGCCCGTGTGCGGGGCAGTGTTCGCGCGGTCGCGTTCGTGGGTGTTTCCCTCGACCTCCCCGCTCGGTCGGGGACGATTTCCCTCGCGATCTCCATCACGACCCGACACGTGGTGATTTCAATCACCTTCACCACCGATCGACGGTGATGTATTATTAACCTTTCGAGCGCGCGCGACCGGTGTCGACGCGACGTGCTACAGGGGTCGACCGGTGACATACTGGACGACGTCTCATCGCCGTATGTCCTCGACACCGGTGGCGACATGTCGTAGTAGCAGTCACGTGATGGGTATCACTGTCACTATCAGAAAACGAATGGGCTTGACGTACACGCACTATGAAATCACCATCTCCATCACGACATCGTGCGTTGAGATCACGAGCACGACCCATCGACGGGGATGGACGCAACCGAGTTCTCAAGCACCACGAGGTGATTTGAATCACGAGCACGACCCATCGACGGTGACGGACGCAACCGAGTTCTCAAGCACCACGAGGTGCGTTGAGATCACGAGCACGACCCGTAATCACGAGCACGACCCGTTGAATTGTTGAAGGTGACGGACTCACCCGCGCGCGCGGCTGTGATTTCACGACGACCCCGCGCGATGGCGCGCGCGCTCGGACGGGCGATCGACGACGCGTGGACCGATGGCGTCACCGCGCTCGCGTTCGGCGCGTCGTCGGTGCTCGCGACGAGCTGGGACGGCACGGCGCGGACGTACGATGTGGACGAATCGGCGACGTCGCGAGCGACGCGGGTGACGCTGCCGTCGCCGGTGATGTGCGGGACGTTCGTCGGCGCGGACGACGGCGCGCACGTCGTGGGGACGCTGGATGGGGGAGTGACGTTGATCGATGGGAAAACCGGGGACGCGCGACGCGTCGGCGCGCACGACGGGGCGGTGACGAGCGCGGCGTACGACGACGCGGCGCGCGTGTTGGTGACGTGCGGGTGGGATAGGAAGATAAAGTGTTGGGATCTGACGAAGGATGCGAATGGGCGGTGCGTGAGCGAGACGGAGACGGTGGGGAAGTGTTACGCGGGGGACTTGAGGCACGGGCGATTGGTCGCGGCGACGAGCGACGGGCAGATTTTGGCGTACGACGTGAAGGATTTACTCCGAGGCGGGCGCCCGATGGTGAACCGGCGATCGAGCGTGCGGTTTCAGACGCGCGCGATCGCGTGCGACGCGAGCGCGTCGTGGTTTGTGAACGCCACCGTGGAGGGACGCGTGGCGGTTGAACGCGTGGACGACGAAGAGAATGAAAAGTCTCGGTTCGCCTTCAAGTGTCACCGATTGAAAAATGAAGACGGGAGCGCGGGTGAAGTGATTTATCCCGTGCACGCGCTTTCGTTTCACCCACTGGGCACGTTCGCCACGGGTGGTGGGGATGGGTACGTGAATTACTGGGACGCCGACGCGCGAAAGCGGCTCTTCTCCACTCCGAGGTACCCGACATCCGTGAGCGCGCTCGCGTTCTCGCCGTGCGGCACCATGCTCGCCGTGGCGAGCTCGTTCGCGCACGAAGAGCGCGAAAACGCCACCCCGATCGATCGCGTCTACATTCGAGAGGTCAACGCCGAGGAAGTGACGCCGAGAAAGCCGGCTCGATGACGTAGCGTCGACGGTTGTTAACAAAACGTGTGATTGTATGAGCGACTCATCGGCACCGCGCCGCACTCGACGACGCGTCGCGTCGTTGTCATGACCACCCCACGCGGTGTCGCGCTCGGGCGCTTCGTCGGGCGCATCGTCACCACCGCCGATCGCTCGTGCGTCGTCCGACCCAGCGCTCGCGCGTCGCTCCGTCCGTCGCCGTCGCGTCCCGCTGGACTCTCATTCACCCTCGAGTCGTCTCGCTTAGAGCGTCGCGGACGCTTCGTGAGGGCGCACTCCTCGACGAACACCCCTCTGTTCGACTATACCGCACTCGTGGCGTCGACGAGCGAGATTAAAGCCCTCGCGACGCCCGCAAAGGTGGACGCGGTGTCCCAGCAGGACGCGAGCAGCGTCGTCGTCGACGCGCGCTCGATCGATGGAAAGATCGGGATCAAGGTGAGCTGGCACCCCACGTCGGCGCACGTCGCCATGTGCGCGCCGTTTGGTCGTGCGGAGAAGGGGACGAATTTAAGCTTCGGTGAGGTGGCGACGAACGCGTTGAGAGGAAAGGTTTTGCTGGACGCGCGGTGCGGGACGCCGTGGGAGCGGGCGATGTCGTTGTCGTTCGGCGAGCGCCCGGGAGGGGAGGTGGAGTACGAGTTGATATGTGAGATTATGGGGGCGCAGAGCAACGCGTTTTTGATCGACGCGCAAAGGGAGCGGGCGGTGGTGGCGTGCGGATATCAGCCGGGCGAAGGACGAGCCGGCGTCAGACGGTTGGCGACGGGTAAGGCATACGCACCACCTCCGACGGCTCCAGGTATAGATCCCCCTGAGGGGGTGAAGGATGGTGCTAGAGGGTTCGCAAGCGTCGTTCAGGGTGTGGCGTCGACGCGGGATGAGGGGGAGAGATCGAGATTGGACGCGTGCGTCGCTCGAGCGTTTCGAGGTGTATCGCCGGCGCTCGCGCGAACGCTCGCGCGATGCGCCGGTCTTCCGGACGGCGCCATAGTCGGTGACGTTATAGATAGCGAGTGGACGGCATTGTGCGATGAATTCAATAGTTGGATAGAGAGCGTGAGTAACGGCGATGTGCCGTCGCTCGATCGCGCGTCATGGTGCGAAGACTTTGGACAGTTGTTGTTACACGTGAACGGCACGGGGACGCCACTGCCACCTCGTGCGGATGATCTGAGCGTCGCAGGCGGTCCTATTGGCGAACTTTTTGGTGGGGTATACGGTGATGCCGGAGATAAGGACGTGTTCGATCGCGAGCGATCGAGAATTCTTCAAGCTGTGCGCGCTCGATTGAAGAAGCTCGTCTCAAAGGAAGCCGGATTTCGCAAGCAGTTGGAGGCGGCGAGCGGACACGAAAAGATTCAAGAGCTCGCCGATGCGCTGATGGCGTACGCATACAACTATGTCGCGGGTGCGAGCTCGCTCGAGGGTCAAGATTTCACCACGGGCGAGCCTGCGACGTTCGCGGTAGATCCTGAAAAAGGTCCGGTTGGTACCGCCGAGGCGCTGTACAAGAAGACGCGCAAGCTGAGACGCACCGCCGACGCTGTCGAGCCGCTCATAGAAGAGAATGCACGAGAGATGGAGTACTTACAACAAGTCGAGTTCTCCATCGTCGAAGTGAACTCTTACCGATCTCGAGATGATTTGCTCTTCATTGAAGAAATCTGTCTGGAGCTCGAGGATGGCGGTTTCATGAAACCCACCGGCAAGGGCGCTGAGGCGAAGAAGCGCGCGCAGACAAATGGACAGGTAGGTAAGAAGGGAAAAAATCAACCGAAATCGGGCAAGGCTGCGCGCAAGCAGGAGCTCATGAGCGCCGTTCGCGTGTACACGGCGCCGAGCGGTAAGGAGGTGTACTGCGGACGAAACTCTCGCGGAAACGAGGCGGTGAGCCTCCACCTGGGCAAGGAATCCGACGTCTGGTTCCACGTCCGCGGCGCCCCCGGTGCGCACGTCATCTTACGCCAACAACCGGGGGATCACGCCTCGGACGAAGACATGCAATTCGCCGCCGACGTCGCCGCGTTCCACTCCAAGGTGAGAACTGGCGGCAAAGTCGACGTCAGCTACTGCTCCCCCAAGCACGTCCGCAAACCCTCGGGCGCGCGCTTGGGCATGGTCACCATCTCCAACGAATCCGTTCTCATCGCGAGGCCCGATTCCGTCGCGAACGTCTGCGAATCCGGCATGGATTAGCCACTCCGGACGCCCCGCGGTCCATCCGCGTCCATCCAAAATGTAATAGCCGCAGAAAAGGGAAATCGGTGACGTTTCTAATGACGTCGATGTTTTCTTCGAATACCCCCTATTCTGGAGTCACGACTCAAGAGATGCACACACGTGACGTCACCTATCGACGTCACAACCGCAACACATCCGGCGGCACGCGCGCGCGCGTCGTCACTTCAGCACACGCTCGACCACTCGTCGACCACCGCAAACAGCAAAACACTCACACAAAAATGTTTACCATCGCCTCCAAGTCCGTGACCGCCCAAGCGCGCGTCACCAAGCGCGTCGCGCTCAAGCGCAGCGCCCGCATGATGCGCGTCGCCGCCGAACCGTCGGACAACTCCGTCGGCAAGGACGTCGCGGACGCGAACGCCGAGTGGGCGCAAAAGGGCGAGCAAATGAACGCCAAGCAATTCTCCGACGCGATCGACCCGGCCGACGGTTCGATCGCCGAGGCCGCGCCGCTCGGGAACGACAACTCGATGCTTGACAACGTCATGGTTGCCTTCAAGGATTCCCGAGCCGTGGAAATCATCAACGGCCGCGCCGCCATGGTCGGTTGGATGCTCGCCCTCGGGGGTGAGCTCTCGTCCAACACGAGCATGATGTCCCAAGTGTTCCACGAGCGCACGTTCACGCTCGCGGATGGGGTGACGCGCACGTCGACGTACCCGGCGGCGGGCTTCTTTGAAATTTTCATCGTTGTCATGCTCTCGCTCGCGGCGTCTCTCGCCCCGTCGCTCAAGAAGAGCTCGCCGAACGGCTTGAACGAAAAGCCGGAAACTTTCGGTCCGTTCAACCCGGACGCGGAGATGACCAACGGCCGCGGTGCCATGATCGGCTTAGTCGCGCTTCCGCTCGCCGAGAAGATCTTCACCTCAGGCAGCGCCTTGTTCTAAATGGACAGAGCTCACCGAGTATCTCTTCGCTGCGTGATATGTCACGAGACGCAATAAAACGACGAGCGAAGGAATTTTTTTCATTCATAGTCTGATTCGAACGAACACACCGAGTTCGATTTCCGACAAGTGTAATACTATCCGCGCAGATCGCACTTTTCTATCAAGCGTTGACGCTTCGTTACGACAAAACAATACCTAAGATTCCTTTCGCGATAGTGCGTGCGCGGCGCGAGCTAAATCCGCAATCTCCGCATCGCTCGCCCCGCGCTCGCACGCCTCCTCGAGCTCGTCCACCGCGCGTCGCACCCAGAGTCTGCGCGTGCTCGCGCGAATCGGCGCCGGGAACTCCTCCTTCGATTCCGTCACGCGCTCAATCGCCCAAAACCTCTGCTCTACGTACTCCTGCTCGCACATCACCATCCTCTCAATCTCACTCTCCGTCAACGCCGCCGTGAGCACGACGTTTATGTCGCACGTCCCGTTCTCCGCCGGCGCCTGCACGCGCCGCGCCCAGTTCATCGTGCTCGTCGTCACAAACGTGAACCGATCCCTCGTGAGCTCGATCCCGACGTCGCGCTTCACGTGCCTGATCCCAGCCTCCTCCACCGACTCCCCGCACTTCATGCGCCCACCGACGTACCACCAATCTCCGCGCGCGGGCTCGTGCGCGCGAAGTCCGAGCAACACCTCACCCTCGGCGTTCGTCAATAAAACATCCACGCACGCCTTGACCAGCGTGTCCAGCGCGCGCGCGTACTCGGCGTCCTCCAAGAAGGTGTCGTTCTTCGCGTACGTGCCCGTCTCAAAGTGCGCGTGTTGGAGAAACATTGCGCGCGAGGAAGTCGCGATGGGCGCGACGTGGGCGTCGACACCGTCCGGATCGACATTATCCGTCGCCTCGAACGCGAATTTGCTCGCGATGGGCATCAAGGTAGGGTGCGCGGAGAACCTCGGGGGGAAGATCGCCGTCGTCACCGGTTCGAACACCGGGATCGGGCTCGAGACGGCGCGGATGTTGGCGGATTCGGGCGCCAAGGTAATCATGGCGTGCAGATCGGTCGAGCGCGCGAGAGAGGCGGCGAAGCGGGCGTCGAGGGATGGGAAGAACGACGTCGAGGTGATGGCGTTGGATTTGTCCGACGCCGAGAGCGTGCGGGCGTTCGCAGAGGCGTATAAATACGAAAAGTTGGACATTTTGGTGAACAACGCCGGGCTGAACGCGTCGAGCGGATACCGAGGGCCGAAGACGACGAAACAGGGGTACGACATATGCATGGGCGTGAATTATCTCGGACACTTCATGCTCACGGCGCTGTTGATGCCGAAATTGATGAAGAGCGACGACGCGCGCGTCGTGGCGCTGAGCTCGGTGACGACGTGGTTCGGATCGAACAAGTATCACTACTACTACAAGGGCGCGAGCAAGACCAAGGGAAACTACGGCTCGAGTAAACTCGCGTGTCTGGCGATGACGGTAGAGATGCAGCGACGGATCGACGCGGCGTATCCGAACAACAACGTGTCGTGCGTCGCCGCCGATCCCGGTTTTGTCGCGAGCGACATTTGGAGAGACTTCAACCCGGTTGTCCGAAAGATCATGGGCGTCTTGGCGCTCTCGCCCGCTCAAGGAGCGATGACGAGCGTGAACGCGGCATCGCTAAAGTCGATCAAAAAGGCGACGCTTTACATGCCATTCTCGATCAGGATGTCCAAGCTGTTCAAATTGAACAGAGGCGCTGCGTACACCTTTGGCATGCCGCTCCTGTCCAAGATTTTCGCTGGTTTCGGCGCCGACGCTATGGCGCCACGCGCCAAGAATGCCGAAACCAACGCCGCGCTATGGGATCTCAGCGTACAGTTCTGCAAAGATAATGGCCTCGACGCGAAGAAGTGCGAGGCACTCAAGTTGTAATGGGAGCATACGTTCTCTGCTAGTTACACGTCGCGCAAAGTCTCTCACATCTCTACCGTCCATGGAATCTCCTCCCCGGCATAGAACGGCACCACGATAGTGTCGCCGAAGTTGTACTCGTTCGGAACCATCCACGGCTTCTTCACGAGCGTCACCTTTTCGGTGTTTCGCGGAACGCGATAAAAGTCGGCGCCATTGTGCGACGCGAACGCCTCGAGCTTATCCAGGGCACTGACGGACTCGAATGCCATAGCGTACAGCGGCAGCGCGGCATGCGCGGAGAAGATACCTGCGCACCCGCACGCGGACTCCTTCGCACCTCTCGGGTGCGGTGCGCTGTCCGTGCCCAAAAAGAATTTTTTGCTCCCACTCGTCGCCGCTGCCAGGCACGCCTCGCGATGCTCCTCTCGCTTGAGCACGGGAAGGCAGTAAAAGTGCGGCCGCAGTCCGCCCTTGAACAGAGCGTTGCGATTGAAAAGAATGTGCTGCGGCGTGATCGTCGCCCCCACGTTATCCGGAGCCGCTGCAACGAACTCCGCTGCTTGTCTCGTCGTGATGTGTTCCATGACCACTCGGAGCTCTGGCGCGCTATCGAGCAGAGGGATCAGAACCTCCTTGATGAACTTCGCCTCGCGATCGAACACATCTACATCTGCGTGCGTCACCTCTCCGTGCACCTGCAGCGTCAATCCGAGCTCGGCCATCTTCCTCAGGGCTTTTTCAGTCTTCTTCACATCCGTGACGCCGAACTCGCTGTTCGTCGTCGCCCCCGCCGGGTACAACTTGTACCCTCGAACGATCCCGCTCGCCGCAGCCTCTTCCACCATCCCCTCTGTGGTATTATCTGTCAGATACAGCGACATCTGCGCCTCGAACGGTTCGCCGCTCGCCTCGCGCGCGCCCGCCGTCGCCGCCGCTTGAATCAGGTCTCTGTACTCCTTCGCTTCTTTCGCCGTGCGAATCGGCGGCGTGAGGTTCGGCATCACCAGCGCGCGCTTGAACACGTTCGAGGTGTGCGGGACGACGTCCGCGAGCCTCGAGGGATCTCGCAGGTGCACGTGCCAGTCGTCGGGGCGCGCGAGGACCAGAGACCCAGAGCTCGAGCAGCGCGTTGTCACCGCGGTTCGACGACGAACGCGCGCGCGGGCGCACGCGCGCGTGACGACGACGCGAGCGACGATTGAGGCGGGCATGCTGACTGAGTGGCGTGCGGGCGACGCGCGGCGCTGAGTGCGGTTGCTCGCAGGGAGGTCGCGGGTGCTTTCCAGAGACGCGTGCGTTGGTGCACGAGCGTGCCAAGGTGATACAGCTGTTACACGTCGAACGAGCGCGCAAGTGACTCGATCGTGAGCGATATCGCTCGATTATTTTTGCCTGTCGCGCATGATGCAGCATCCGAAGATGCTGTCAAACAGGGAGACGCTTCTCCCGGAGGACGAACCGCCGTTGGATCCATTCCGACCGTTCAAAGCCTGCGAGTTCGAGCGACTGAGCGAGTTCACCCCGCGGGCGACGACGTCAATCACGGGCTGTCCCGTGGTCGTGTTGCCGACGATGGGCATGTCGTCCTTGTACTGCTCAAAGTCTCTGTCAAAAGCTCCGTTAGCAATGCCCGCCTCTTTCTCCAGCGACGCGATGCTCGCGTTCAACCGCGCCTTGCTCGACGCTAGGCTGTCGTTCACGGCATTAATCCTCCCAGTTACGCTTCCGATCTCACTGAAACGACTTTCCGAGCGTCCATCCTGTCGTCCGCCACGATTGCCCGCCCCTAAGTCGAAGTCCACGGAGGACATTCCAAAATCAACGCTCTGCACGTCATCTAGGTCCCCGACGCTCGCCCCGTCGTCCACCGTGCTCCCATACATCATGGACAACCCAACCAACGAGTTTGCACCGTCATCATCGTCACCGTGATTCGAGTTATGATCGCTCCCGCCGCTCCGCGCGTTCCACTTATCGCTCCTCGCGTGCTGATTTTCCCCTCTGTCGCGTCCCTGACCACCGTTCTCGCTCCCGATCGACCTTCCCGCCCCCGTGCGCTTCTCCGCGAACGACTCGAGCTGTCTGACCAGCTCACCGAGCTCCCCGTCCTGCCCGTCGTCGCCGGTGAAGTCGTTTCCTCCGTCGACTCCGCCATCCACCTGGAATTCTCCCAAAGCCTTCTCCGTGAGCTCCACCGCTCGCTGCGTCGCCGCGCGCGTGTGTTCGAGCCTTCGGGAGACCACGCGCGCGTTCTCCGCGGTGTGCGCGAGGTCGGACGCGCGCGCGGAGACGACGCGGGACATGATCGGGACACGGCGTCGAGTGCCGACGCCGTCGCGATCGCCCACCGATCGATCCATGTATTTTTTTTTCCATCGGTGAGGGCACCTTTCGATGTATTTTTGATCGGTGGGCGTCCCACCTTTGGGTTCGCGCGCGCGCGCAGAGCGCGCCGCGGTCGCCCGCGCGCGCGGTTTCGAGGCGTTCGCGAGCGACGACGATGGCGGCGTCGCGCGCGGCGACGACGGCGACGGGCGCGGCGACGCGAGGCGCGAGATGTGCGTCGAACGCGCCGGATTCCTCGAGATGTCGTCGTCAATCCTTGGTTTCTTCGCGTCGAGCGTGCGAGCGTCGTCGGAGGTCTTCGACGGCGGCTGTGCACGACGGTGTTGACGTCGCGTCGTCGAGCGCGACGGAGGCCGACGTGGGCGACGCGCGACGAAGGGCCAAGGCGAGACTCGTGGACGCGTGCGTCGGGACGTATCGCGGCGCGCTGACGACGGCGGACGATCGATCGGCGATCGCGGAGGCGCAAGGCGCGCTGGAAAGGATCGGGGACGGCTCAGAAACGATTGATTTCGATGCCTTGGACGGGAAATGGCGGTTGGCGTACACGAACGCGTCGGACGTGCTTGGGTTGTTGATTGCGAGTCGAACGACGGGCGTGCCTGAGGTCGGGGACATCTTTCAATCATTTTCGTGTAAAAATGGCAAGAATGAGGGGATCACGAACGAGATCAGACTCTCCTTACCGTTCATCCTGAGCGAAGCCAAGCGAGGCGAGCCCGGGGGCGTTGGGCTGCGCGTGCAGGCGAGTTATGAGGACATCGGGCGGCGACGACTGCGTTTGACGTTTCAAGAGGCCAAGGTGAGCGAGATCAACATCTCACCACTCGCCGAGACGCTCTTGGCACCCGCCATCTTACCGCGAGGGAGCTTGAACCACCAAGTGCTGATGTTTATAAAGGAGTTGGAGCTCAAGTTCCCGCTCAGAGGGGCGCTGACGTCCATTGGCGGTGGCGAGCCGTCCGGTGGCGCCGCTGTCGGGTCGTATCACCTCACGTACGTGGACGAAGACGTTCTTGTCGGGCGCGCCCAGGCCGGCGGAGTGTACATTTTTACGCGCGCTGAATTATAGTTAGAGCATCGCTTTTTAATTCTTTCGCTTCATCACTTTCTATGTTGTACTAAGGTGGTTCTCTACCCGCGCTTGCGCATGTTCACCCCAGCGCGGAGGACCTCGTCCACACAGAGCAGCTGCGTAGCGATGATGGGCGCCGAGTGAAGGATCTGCTGCTTGACGAGAAAGTTGTCGTAGATTCCACCCATGATGGGATCAAACGGTTCGCCGATGGTAATATCGAATCCCACGACGTTGCCTCTGTCGTGTTCCTCCTGCATGTCGATGATGGCGTCTTGCGGATCGTACCCGCTGTTCTCCGCCAACGTCTTCGGCACGACAAGCATGGCCTCCGCAAAAGCCTCGACACCGCGCTTAGCGCGACCCTCGACCATCTTTGTGACGTTCTCTCTGAGGTGCTTGTTCAGAGCAACCTCAAACGCACCCGCTCCCGGAATCACAGACTTGTCGGTTAATACATTCTTGACCGCGCGTAAGCCGTCTCTCACCGCGTCCTTAAGCTGAATAATGGTGTGATCGTTCGAGCCCTTGAGCAGAATCGTGCATGACGTCGGGTTCTGGACCTTTTCGACGAAAGTGTACTTTTCATCACCCAAGACATACTCGTACACCTCACCGGCGTGGCCCAAAATCTCTGGGGAAAGCTCCTCCACTGAGTTGATACACTGACCACCGCACGCGAGGACGAGACGTTCCATGTTTCTACGCTTCGCACGACGAAGACCAACGATGCCCTCCTTGCAGAGCATGTCCAAGGAGATCGGGTCGATGCCCTTTTGCGTGATCACGACGAATCCCTTGTCGTTGTCTTCGCACACTTGTTGCTTCAGAGCGATAATCTTGCGTACGGTCTCGTCCGTGTACGAGCGCTCGGCGGCCACCATTCGCTCCCGCTGCTCTGCATCCGTGTACATAAACGTCGAGTTCACCTCAGAACGCTCGTACTCTAGACTGATGTTGCACGTCAACACGTACGCGTCCTCGACGTATCGCTTCATGTCTGGATGTCTCGTCCCGTGGTCGAGCACTAACCCCTGAATTAACTTCGTCTCGTCGTCCGTTTGGTGCTTCATGGTCATGATCTCAACCATATGCAAGTCGATCGGCTGCTCTGGCCTGGAGATGCACAGAACGGCGTCGACGACGATCGCGGTCAACTTGTCCGCCAACTCCTCTCTCAACTTTGTGCGCAGCGCTGTGCGCGCGACGCAGAGCAACATCTCACGATCTGGCTCCTCGATCCCCGGTGCCGCCACCTTAAAACTCTCCACAAACTTCAACGCCTCCTTCTTCGCCACGTCGAACCCCTCGACGAGTACTCTCGGGTGAAGTCCTTCGTTGATGTACCGTTCCGCCTGCTTCAGCAGCTCGCCTATGACGAGTACCGTCGTCGTCGTCCCGTCGCCTGTGATATCATCCTGCGCCACCGCCGTCCGCGCGATCATCACCGCCGTCGGGTTTTGAATCTGCATCTCCCGCAGCAGTACGTTGCCGTCCTTGGTCAGTTTTAATCCTACGAACGTAAGGCAATTTCCGTCAGTCAACGCTCAGAGTCAACGCGTGCTGGATCTCAGCCTCATCAACTCCGTCTTCGCGTGCACACGCTGCACCGTTCACCACGCGGGATGGCACGAATCAACGAAGGATCCTAAACTTACCTCCCGCCCCGTCGACGAGCATCTTAATCGTTCCCTTCGGTCCTAAATTCGTCTTCATCACGTCCTGCAGACCCTTGGCGGCGTTGATGTTCATGAAGAGCGCGGCGTCGGCGTTCATGAGCTCGGCGTTGGGGTTTATGGACTTGAGCGACATTGCGACCGATTTGCGTAGGTCGACGCGGTCGTTGATAAGTGCGCGGACGTTCTGGCACGGCGCGGTGTGAAGCGATGGATCGACGCGCTGGATGTTAAGAACCGGTTCGAGCGCCCGAGAGTTGACTTGATTCAGAGCGTGATCGATAGATGCGATCTATCGATGGGACAACGGCCGAAGGTCGATGCGTATCGTTTAATGCGAAATGTGACGTTAAATCGTTCATAATACACAGCGCGCGCGGTTCGGCGGGACAGATGACTGCTCATATGCAAAAATCGACCGTATCGGTTTCGCCCGCGACGGAGCGGTCCAGATCGAAACCGGGATTGGCGAGGCAGAGCATCATCTTCACCACGGAGCACTCTATAGTCATCACTGGTCCCGATCTTGCGCCCACGGCGAGGGCGCCGAGACCGGCGGCGTAGAGCTCTGGTCTGAGCTCGCCGCTCTGACACTGCGTTGAGAGGTGGACACGAAGACCCTTTGCCGTTTGCTCTGTGAGCCAGGGGATGAGGGATGAGGGAAAGTTACCGACACCGAACGCTTCTAAGACAATGCCTCGAACGCCTCTTTCGTAGACGTCGCCGTACGCCGCCGCGATGTCGAGCCCAGGAATCACCGGCACTCTGATGACATTCGGATTGACATCGAATCGAGGCGTGTACTGCTCCTGACGCGGGAGCAATCTCGCGTGGTTCCAATCCACGCCGACGCCCAAACGCGCGAGAGCTGGATACGACGGGCTCGAAAACGCCGCGTACACCGTTGCGCTTGTCTTTTGCGCGCGATTCCCTCGCAGAAGTTTCCCGTTGAAACAAATAGCGACTTCGTAAAAATCAACCACCCCTCCGCAACTCTTCGATCCCACGATGCACGTGAGCGCGTCCAATAAATTTTGCCTCGCATCACTCCTCGGGTACGCGAGCGGTAACTGCGATCCCGTCAACACGATCGGCTTCCCGAACCCCTCGAGCATCAAACTCAACGCGCTCGCTGTGTACGCCATCGTATCCGTACCGTGCGCGATGATGAACCCCCCGTAACTCTCGCGCTTTTCGTGCAACGCCAGTCCCAGCGCTTTCCAATCCCTCGCGTCCATCTCACTCGAGTCCTTATTCATCAGTACCACCACCTCGATGTCCGCCAATGACGTTAATTCCGGCACCACGTCGAGTACGTCCAATAGGAACTTGTTCGAGCCCAGCGCCCGGTACTTCCCACCCCCTCGCATCGGAACCGGTCGAGGCGACGCGCACCGCTCGTCCTCGGCGAACGACTCGGCGCCCATGCCGAGCGTTCCACCGCAGTGAAACATCAGCACGCGCGGCCGGGGCGCGAGCTCGGGGCGCGCATCCTTGGTTGGTCCAGGGAGTAATCCGAGCGACCGCTGTCGACGCAAGTTTTCGACGGATTCAGGGCGCGGGATGGCGCCCGGGGCGAGACCGACGGCGGAGTCCACTTTTTCGGGGGCGTCCATTCGATCGGGTGAAAAGTCGATGAAGCGTCGACGAGTGCCGCGTCGCGACTTGCCTCAAACTCGGTTTGGATGACAAAATCGTGAGCTACATCTAGTGGTTGTGCAAGACGGCTAAAGCGGCTTCGTACGCGGCGAACGTGACGGCGGAATTCGGAAGAACGCGTAAGACGTTCGGGGCGAAGCCGCGGTAGAGTCCACCCACACCCTCTCTTCGCACGGTGAGCGCGAGCGCTCGAGTGAAGCGAGTGTACGAAGGCGCGTCCGCCGGTCTCGGAACGTCCTGACGTTGCTGCATCCGTGCTCGAACGACTTGAAAGGGGTACGTCACGGAGACGGCGACAAATTTCGACGTTAATCCGAGCGCGCCGGCCTCGGTGGGATTGATTAATCGCTTCCCGTTTCTCGGGTCTCGCTCGCGTCCGCTCGCCAGGCGCTCTCGAAGCCACTCGTACGCCGTCAACTGCACTGATCCGTGCGAGACGAGCCACACGCTCGGAACGAATCCTTTATATAACCCCCTCACCCCCTCCGTCCTGGCGATCGTCCAGAGCGCGTCGAAGAACCCCCTGTATCTCCGCTCGCCCGCCAAGTCCAACCCGCCGACGCCGCCCCCTCGCTGCAACTGCAAACGCGTCTTCACCACCCATATCGGATTCGTCAGCGCCGTGGTCACGATCCCCGCCTCCGTCGCCGCCAACACGTTCGCCCGCATCGTCACCGCTCCGCCTTCGTCCCGCCCGAACCGCTCACCGTGTCGCCTTCGCGCGACGTCGTACCACGCCAAGTACGCGCCCCAGCTCGCGGCGCTTCCCACCATCGCTGGCACCGACCCCGCGAACGCCCCTCTCGCCCCCTCCACGCGCACGATGTCTCGAAACGTCTCGTACGCGCTCGCAAACACCGCGCCACCGCTCGGGCGCGCGTCCGTGCGCACTTGCAGCCGCGTCTTCAGGACATCGAGCGGTTGCAGCGCCAACGCCCCCGCGGCGCCCGCGATCGCCCCGGCGAGCATGTGCGTCCGCGACTCCGCGGTCGAGGACGACGATGACGCCGCGCGAGAGCGCCGCGGGCGATCGTCGCTGGACATTCGACGCGCGCCGCGGTGTCGGCCGTCGTCCACGCGCGGGGGCGACGCGCGCTATGTATTTCTCTACAGTATGAGAACCGCACACGCGGGTGTCGACACGGACGCGCACGCTCGGACACCCGACCAATACTGCGCGCGCATAAAGTCTATGTAAAACGTGTACGATACGGATAACACGCGCGACGCCCGCGAGGGGCGGCGCGTCGTCGTCACTTCGCGACCTTCGTGCGGTGCGTGCGCCTCGACGACTCGACGCGAATGGCGACCGCGGGCGACGCCGGGGCGATGCCCCGGCGTCGATCGACGCCCCGCGCGACGCTGGACGCGCGTCGCGACCGACGGACGTCGCGAACGCGACGATGGATCGATCGGACGCGTCGATCGGCGGCGGCGAACCGATCGCGTCGACGACGGCGTCGTGCGCGCGTCGCTCGGGTCGTGATGCGGGACGATGGATGATGGGATATTCTCTGCGTCGTTTCGAGCGCGCGCGCGGGCGAACGTTGGACGAGGGACGCGCGGGGGGGAGCGATTGGACGTCCGAGACGACCGGCGGCGCGACGCCGCGGGGTTTCATCGCGGCGCGCGCGGATGTTTGGGCATGGCGCGCGGTGCTCGACGCGCGTTCGCGCGCGCGCGACGATCGATGGGTGTCGGGGGAATGTTGTGAGGGCATCGCGCGCGTCGCACGGGCGACGACGCGTTGAGCGACGCGAGACGAGCGTAAAGACTGACGATCGATTATTTTTCTGATGCGCAGTGTTAAGAGAGATTCAACATGTCTGAAGGCAAGGAACACCTTTCCATCGTCATCTGCGGCCACGTCGACTCTGGTAAGTCGACCACCACTGGTCGCCTACTGTTCGAGCTCGGCGGTATCCCGGAGCGTGAACTCGAAAAGCTCAAGGCTGAGGCCGATGCGCTCGGCAAGTCCTCTTTCGCCTTCGCGTTCTACATGGATCGCCAAAAGGAAGAGCGTGAGCGTGGTGTGACCATCTCCTGCACGACCAAGGAGTTCTTCACCGAGAAGTGGCACTACACCATCATCGATGCCCCGGGTCACAGAGATTTCATCAAGAACATGATTTCCGGTGCCGCCCAGGCGGACGTCGCCCTCCTCATGGTCCCGGCCGACGGTAACTTCACCGTCGCCATCCAAAAGGGTAACCACAAGGCTGGTGAAGTGCAAGGCCAAACCCGCCAGCACGCCCGTCTTCTCAACTTGCTCGGCGTCAAGCAGCTCATCATCGGTATCAACAAGATGGACTGCGATATGGCTGGCTACAAGCAAGAGCGTTACGAAGAAATTCGCAACGAAATGAAGAACATGTTGATCAAGGTCGGCTGGAAGAAGGACTACGTCGAAAAGTCCGTCCCGGTCCTCCCGATCTCCGGCTGGAACGGTGACAACTTGTTGAAGAAGTCCGAAAAGATGGCCTGGTGGAACGGTGTCGACGTTGAAGGCTACGACGGCAAGGGCGCCAAGTTCCACATTGACACCCTCCTCAACGTCCTCAACGACATGGTCGACCGCCCGGACCGCAACACGGAAGCGCAAATGCGCCTCCCGATCTCCGGTGTCTACAAGATCAAGGGTGTCGGTGATGTCCTCGCCGGCCGCGTCGAGCAAGGCCTCGTCAAGCCGGGTGAAGATGTCGTCTTCCTCCCGACCCACACCTCCTCCAACCCGTGCGGTGGTAAGGTGTTCACCGTCGAAATGCACCACAAGCGTGTCGAAGCCGCCGCGCCGGGTGACAACGTCGGTATGAACATCAAGGGTCTCGACAAGCTCAACATGCCGCGCACCGGTGACGTCATGATCTACAAGAAGGACACCTCCCTCGCCCCGTGCAAGAACTTCACCGCGCAAGTCCAAACTTTGGACATCCCGGGTGAACTCAAGGTTGGCTACTCCCCGATCGGTTTCGTCCGTTGCGGTCGCTCCGCGTGCAAGCTCACGGCGCTCAACTTCAAGGTTGGCAAGGAAACCGGCGGTAAGAAGCTCGAGTCCCCGATGTCGTTGAAGTCCAATGAAGTCGCCGAGTGCGTCTTCGAACCGGTGCACCCGCTCGTCGTCGACTCCTTCAAGAAGTGCGAAGGTCTTTCCCGCATCGCCTTCTTGGACGGTAACACTGCGGTCATGCTCGGTAAGATCACGAACGTCGAGTACAAGGCCATCTAAGCGTCGCCTGAATGTCACACATTAGTTGGTTAGCCAGAGCAACGTTTTGTACACATCGCCAGTCAAGACTTTTATCCCAATATGGTTTTGAAGTGTAACGGAGATCTCTATTACAAATACAACGTCACTCTTCGTCGCTCATTTTTACGTTGAATGAATTAATTCTCGGACCTTTACCTTTAATTTGCGTGTCGTCGATTATCGCGAAATGGGCGCGCACGCCCTTTCGAGCCACTGCAGCGTCTCACCGGCGACGCGCGGGTGGATGTTGTCCCACACCTTTTGATGGTACGCATTCACCCAGGCAATCTCCTTATCGCTCATGATGCCGAGATCCATAAGCTTGGTTTGAATCGGAATCAACGTCAGGACGTCGAAGCACAAGAACCCGGTGTCGCCAAAGTTGTGCTTGGTCTCCGCTTTTTTGACTTGTAAAAGCGTCTCGATGCGAATGCCGAATGCGCCGTCTTCGTAATAACCCGGTTCGTTGCTCAGAATCATGCCCGGAACGAGCTCAGTCATGTTACCAAACCGTGGAGATATGCCTTGCGGACCTTCGTGAACGTTCAGTGCGGCGCCGACGCCGTGTCCCGTGCCGTGTCGATAGTCGAGCCCGTTCGCCCAGAGGTGAGAGCGAGCGAACGCGTCGAGCACGAAACCCTTGGTGCCGGTTGGGAAAACCATCTGGTCGAGCGCGATGTGGCCTTGTAAAACGCGAGTGTAACACTCCTTCTGGTGCGCACTGGGTGTGCCGAAGTGCACGGTTCTCGTAACGTCCGTGGTGCCGCACGCAAACTGTCCCCCACTGTCGCAGAGCAAGAGGCTGTCTTTGCTTATCGTTCGAGCGCTCTCCTTGGAGGCGCGATAGTGCACGATGGCGCCGTGCGGGCCCTCTCCCGCGATCGTCGGGAAAGATTCTTCGACGAAACCCTTTTGCTTGGAGCGGAATTCGAGCACTTTCTCGCCCGCTTCGTACTCGTCGATGGTTCTTCCACTGGAGATTTCCTTTTCAATCCAGCACCAGAACTCGGACATCGCAGCGCCGTCCATGAGATGAGCCTCGACCATGCCCGCCATCTCGGCCTCGTTCTTCACCGCCTTGGCGATGGGTATCGGGCACGTTCCCTCTTTCACGGCGACAACGACGGACGATGAGGAAGCGTCGTTCTGCGCGTCGCTCTTTGTCGCCTTGGTCGCCTTTCTCACGGAGTTGCCATCCTCGGCGCTCTCAAGCATCGCGATGGACACCTTATCGATGTCCATCCAGAGCTTTTCGCCGCGAGAGGCGGCGTCGTGGACGTCTCGTGACATGTCATCATACGGTTTGATGGTCACATTGGCCGCTTCGAGGTGCGCTTTCACCGGTGCCGTCACCTTGTCCAAGTCAACGTAAAACGTTGCGTCGCTCTCGCCAACCAACGCGTACGACAGCGTCACCGGATTACACGGTGCGTCGCCCCCACGAACGTTGAGCAGCCACATGACGTCGTCCAAAGAACTCACCACGAGTTTATCCACCTCGTTCTCGCGCATCTTCGCTCGCATGTCTTCCAATTTCTCCTCCACGCTCTTCCCCGCATACTCGAGCGGATGCACGCGAAGCGGTGTCTTCGCCGCCGCCGGTCGATCGCTCCAAATCTTATCCACGAGGTTCTCCTCTAGGCTCACCAGCTCGCAACCGACCGCCTTCAACACTTCTCTCAGCGCGCGCGCTTCGCTCACTGAGTGCACGTTCGGATCGATCCCGACCCTGCCACCGTTCCCGGCCAATCCAGCTTCGTCGCCCGCGAGCCATTTTCTCACATCTGGCGTCCCCTTCGTCCCGCTTCGCATCAGCGTCCATGCCTCCGCGAGCTCGTCCTCGGCCTGCTTAAAATACCGCCCGTCTGTCCACAATAACGCCTTCGTCGCCGTCACCACGCACGTACCGGCCGATCCGGTGAAATCGCTCACGTACCGTCTCCGCTCGAAAGCCGCGGCGACGTACTCGCTGAAGTGCGGATCCTGACTCGGGACGATCACCGCGTCGATGGACACCTCTTTCATCACCGCTCGCAACGCAGTCAGCTGCGGCGTGGTCATGGTTGCCTTGTCCGCGTCCTCGATCGTCGCCTCAACGTCGGAAACGGCGTTAATCGACGCGCTTCGGGTCGGTTTTTGACAGAAGGTTGACTTTTTATCGATTGTGTTTCTTTGCTCGCTCGTGTATCTCGACGTCCGTCTCGCGGCGCGCGCGAAGACACCGCAGTTGACTCTGGAGAGCATGCACGCGCGATGGAGCGAGCGCTCGGGTGCGACGCGCGGGTGACGCGGAGTGAGGAGGAGGTTTGGTGGACGTGGGCGTGGGCGTCATGAGATGGGCTCGTCGGACACACGTCTCCAAAGGTCGTTCGCCGTTACATTCACGCATCTTCATCGTTCGTTCGTCTCTAACATCTTTCAAATATTTTGTACAGCCGCTCGAGGCAGGCGATCTGGACCACCTCGCCGGAATCAGCGAATCGCCTCGGCGGGAGAAGTCGGCGCTTCATCGCTGGGAAGACGACGAGGCGGGCGACGCGAAGCGAGGGTGATTCCTTCGTTCCGTTCGTGTCGTCGTCGTCGACGTCGTCGTGCGCGCCGTCGATGGCATAAAACGTACCGAGGACGCGAGCGAGGGCTTCGAAGCACGCTTTTTCATCGGTCCAATCCACATCCTCGGCAAGCGCCAAGACGAATTCGGGAAGCTTGCCGATTTCCGGCGCGTATCCCGGGAGCATCACAGGCAGGCCCGATATTCTTCTACCGTCGTCTATGACTATTCCGAGGTACTCCTTCAACATGTCAGCCTTTTCGGCGAGCATGTCGGCGATCTTCTCGGCCACCTGCTCCATCGTTCCATCAGCGTCGTCCCAAGAATTGGGCTCGGCGAATTTATCCTTGAGCGCGCACAACGCGAGCTCGGGAATCGGCGCTGGTCGCTCGAGCGCTTGAGACCCAAAATTCGCGAAATTCCGAAGTGTTATCTGATAGAACATCTCCTCGCTGAGTTTCACCGCGTCCACCATGTAAAGTCGCGTCTGATGTTGCATCAACCACACGCCCTTGCGTCCGTCCACGGCTCCGACGAGCGTGTGATTCTTGATGATCTCACCGAGTTCTCTGTGCGCCGCGTTCGCAATCTGTTCGTTGAGCTCGCGCACGGACGTGAGCTCGCACACGTACGTGTCATCCGCCTCGACTCTTTGTCCGCGACGCTCTCGAACCGCTCGTCGAACCTCTTGGATCTTCTCGTGCTCCTTGCCCTCTGAGTTCATCGCTCGCTGCAGGTATGCGTCCAAACTTCCCGCCGCCAAGTTAGCGTCGGTTCGTACGAGCTTGTGATCGCCCCCCGCTTTCTCTCTCTGCGTTGTCTTTGGCGTCTTTGCCTGCGTTACCCCAAAGCCGTCGTCTCGCACGCTGTTCTCCTTGTCTCCGCTAGTCTCGGCGTTCGCGCCGCCGCCGAGTCGCTCTGCGCCCGGGAGGAGCGTCTGCACCGTGAACGACCGCGTGGAGTTCGTCGCGAGTAAGATTTTCTCAACCTTGCTCTGAATCACCTCTACGATGGCGTCTTGATGCAAGAATTGTACCTCTTGCTTGGTCGGATGCACATTGACATCGACGTCCTCGAACGGGAGCTGTAGGTGCATGAAAATGAATGGTTTCTCCGCCTTCGGGAGAATAGCCGCGTACACCGACTCGCACGCGCGTTTTAGCGGCGCGCACTCCACCAAACGAGAGTTAATGAATAGAATGAACGTCGTTCGCTTCGAGTGGTAATTCCCCCCGCTGATCAATCCGTCTATTTTAAGCTTGAAATCAAACTTTTTCTTCGACGTTGCTGTGTCGAACTCGAGCGTCTTCAAATCCTTCGCCACGGCGGGTCCGTAGATGGCCTGCAAGCGCTCGACGCGTGACTCTGCCACCGGGGCGTGTAAAGTCGTTCGTGACTCCCCTTGCTTTCGACACGTAAACGCTACGTCCGTTCGCAGCGCCGCGTACCGCTGTAACACCTCTAAAATTTTTGCGTACTCCTCCGAAGCGCTCTTCAGCGCCTTTTGCCGAGTCACCACGTTGAAAAACAAATTCTCCACGCTAATCGTCGTCCCCGGTACCCCCGCGCATGGCTTCGCGCCATCTCGATCCATCTTCCCGTCTGCGTACGAGCACCTCGTTGCGTGCGCCGCCCCTCGTGCCATCGTCGTGCACGTCACGTGCGCGACGTAACTCATGCTCGCCAGCGCCTCGCCTCGAAACCCAAAACTCGCGCACGTCTTCAGGTCTTCGTACGTCTCAATCTTTGACGTCGCGTGTCGCTCGCACAACAGCGGTAAATCATCCAAGCGAACCCCGTGTCCGTCGTCCTGCACCGACAACAACCGCTTCCCCCCCTCCTTGGCCTGCACGTGTATCGTCGACGCGCCGGCGTCGAGCGCGTTCTCCACCAACTCCTTCGCCGCGTTCGCCGGTCGATGTATCACCTACGACGACGTACGATCACACACACGCGTCAGTTCGGTCGACACCACGCGCGAACCCCCGACTCGACGGTCTCGTTCGTCCCATTCATCCTCCGCGCGCGTCGTCCGCGTCACCATTCAAAAATCACATCCGCGTCGCGCCCCCATCTCTCCCTCTCCCCTCGCGCGCGTCCACGCGCACCTCTCCCGCGGCGACGCGATTCACCACATCACTCGCGAGGCGTTTGATCGCCCGTCGTCCGTCGTCCATGCGCGCGCGCGTGTGCGCCCGTCCGAACGACCGCACGACGCCCACGCGAAGTCCAAAGGTGCGTCCACCGGTGACGCGGGGCCCGTCCAAAGGCACGGCGCACCTTTCAAAAACACCGCGCACCTTTCGCGGTGTCCTCGAAAGGTGACGCGCGAGGTCCCGCGCGCGCGTCGTCCACGCGCGACGCCCGCGCGACGGGCGCGCGCGCGATCGACGGCGACGGACGCCCACTTCGCGCGGGCGTCCATGCGCGCCCTCGCGCGCGCGCCCCAGGGCGTCGCGCGCGTGGAATCGTGGAATCCATCGACCCGGCGGCGCGCGCGACGGGCGTGGACGTCGCGACCGACGCGGCGTCGCGCGGCGTCCACGCGCGACGACGACGACGGGCGCGAGGTCGAGGACGAGTTCGATCGCTTCGCGCGCGCGGTGGAGCGCGCGGGAGGGACGACGACGACGCACGCGCTCGGGACGCTCGCGCGCGCGCTCGGGACGTCGAGCGACGGCGTCTTGGCGAGCGCCTTTGTCGGGTGCGCGACGTCGCACGGGCGCTACGCCGCGCGGGCGGAGATTCGATCGATCGATAAGACGATTGAACGATACGATGGACGCGTGCGAGAGACGCTGGCGCGGGCGCGGGCGTCGTTGGAGGGGGGGGGGGCGAGCGCGCGGGCGCGAGCGTGCGGCGAACGCGTGCGCGAGGCTGAAAAGGCGACGTCGGCGCTCGTTCGGGCGACGTTAGGGGAGAACGCGCTTGAGGAGAGGGATTTACTCTCGAGTGGGGCGATCGGGGGGGGAGGGGTCCCGCGCGCGGCGACCGGGGCGATCGCGGAGGCGGTTCCAGAGAAGTGGCGAATGGCGTGCGCGAACGCGGGGGCGTTTGTGGAATTACGAGGCGCGACGTTGAGCGTTGAAGAGTGGGCGGCGATTCGGACTGTGTTCGAAGCTATCGTACGCGTCATGGATGGCGACGAGGCGAGCGCGAATTTGGTCGGAGACGCCAAGGTTTGGACGGCGATGAAGTCGCTCATTGACGACTCCACGACGCGACCGAGGCGGTTGTCCCAGGTGGAGAACAACGCGAGATACCAGAGCGCGCTGAGCGAGCTCGACGAGGCGAAAAAGGCTTGGAAGGAAGCAGATAAGGCGTATAAACTCGCTCGACAGCGCGTGAAGCGAGCTAGGCACGACGTGCATCGCACGCGAAAGGCGGTTCGCATCGAGTACCGATAGTGTTTTTGTAGTTACACGATTTTGCGCACTTCGCAGCACCAGTTCCCGTGATCGTAGTACGACGCCTCGACTGTACACCACGGAAGTGCGTCGAATAGGCGAGGAAGCTCGCCTTTGGTGTACACGTGGCAGTATCGCTGGTACACCACTGAACGCTTCTCCGGATCCGCCTCGCCGTGCGTCGGCGCTCCTTCCACTCGCGATTGGCGCTCACGCTCCTCGTCCGGCGATACCCCCTTGACCTTGACCTTGTTGTGAAACGGAACGAGAACGTCTTGACCCTCAAATTGATGTCCAGACACCCCGCCTTTCTCTTGCTCGAGCGCCCAGGCGTAGAAGAGGGCGACGCCGCCCACCTTGACTACGCGCATCGTCTCCTTTACGAGCTCGATTCGGCGCTCGGGAGAAGAGATGTGGTGCAACACAGCGATGTTCAACGCGTAATCGAACGTGTTCGATCGATACGGCAAAAGAACTGCGTCAGCGACCATGACCTCGTAGCCGCTGTCTCGACAGATATCGATGAGACCTTTACTAAAATCGCTCCCGAGCGCGACGCTCCCGCCCTTGACCACCTCAGGAATGTTCTTTCCGTTTCCGCACCCGATGTCTGCGACGAATGACCCGGACGGTTGTTTCCGAATGAACGCCTCCACGCCGGTCCACGCGCGGTATCTCGTCCCGTGCCACTGTTGAGCGACAATGTCGTACACCTTTTGTACGTGCTCGCGCTCCACCTGAGGCATCACCGTCACCTTGCTTGCGGCGTCGATGAAATTTTCTGGAACAACGCCGCACGCGCGCTTCGGCGCCTTCTTCACCAGTTCCATCGTCCTCTCGGTGTCGGTTGTCTCCTCGACCGCGCGTGGTTGGTGACTCGGTGTCATCGACGCGCTCGATCCTACATCTCCCCGCTTCTGCTCCTTTCGAAGTTGTTTCTCCTTTTTCCTCTCCTCTCTCGCCTTCTTAATCGCCGCTCGCTCGGCGACGATGCGTGCACGTCTCACCTCTTCCTCCGACACCGCTTTCTCCCCCTTCGAATCGGACGACAACACCTCTCTTCTCTCTCCTCTTCTCTCTCTGTACATCGCTCTAAACCGCTCCGTCAGCTCCGTCTGCGCCTCTATCGCGTCGCGCTCCGTCGTCGCGTCCATCCTTCGCCGAAAGGTTAGAGAAATTCTATCTGCGCTCACCGGCGGAATGGCGTGCTCGTACTCATCCGCCGCGGCGCCCTCCATGCGCATCGCCGACCGCGCCGGCAGAACCACTCGAATCTCCTCCCCCTCGCGCGCCTCCCCGTCCACCGGCGTCCCTCCTTCCGGCCAAATCATCCCTCGTCCGAGCGTCATCGCCTGCGCGCTCGCTAACGAAACCGTCACAAACGGCCGAGCGAACAATGGATTATCGATGTGCGGCGGTATCCACATTCCTCGCTCGTACACGTTAATCGTGCATGAATCCATCCTCTCATCCTCCGTGATCACCCCTCTCGCGATCAACGCGTCCACGACGTCGATTAACGCCTTCGGCATCGACGCCACTTCGACGTCGGCGTCCACTCTATTCGAGTGCGTGTACGTCCCGTACTGCAACATCTCCCTGCTCTGCGACCGCGCCGCCCATTTCGGCGGTACCGGTGCGTGCGTGCGTCCAAGAAGCTCCCCTCGACGGCCTCGTTCGAGCTCTTCGCGCGTCCACTCGAGCGCGGCGTCGTGTTGCGCGCGTGAAATCGCGTCGAGCGTGAGCGATGCCCCGATGCTTCGACACCGCTCGACGATCTCACACCGCGCCTCCGCGTCCGTCATGCCGCGTGAACGTCGCGACGACTCCCGCGCGCGTTCTCACCGAACGTCGCGCGCGCGCGTCGACGCGGCGGCGTGTGCGGCGTCGCGCCGCGCGGCCGCCACCCGACGTACGTACTGTACGAACGTTTCGCCCATGTGTCTCCGCGCACGCCGTCCACGCGAGCGTTTCGAGCGTTTTCACCCGCGCGTTTCACGCCGTCGACGCGCTCCAGCGCGCGATGTACGTCCTCGAGCGCGGGAAGCTGGTTGAAAAAAAAGTCACGGAAATACTCCCCGACGCGCGACGCGCGCGCGAGCTCGGAGACGCGGCGCGACGGCGATGGACGTGCGACGCGAGCGGCGGTCGGTTTTGGACGGCGTTGGCGCGTTGGACCCAGACCACGACGACGGTGGAGATCACGGTCGCGCTTCCGAAGGGCACGCGGGCGAGAGACCTGCGGATAACGCTCACGACGACGTCGCTGACGTTTTGGGCGACGTGGAGCGGAACGGTCGACGCGTGCTCGGGGGCGCTCGCGCGGCGGTGCAAAGTGGATGAATCGACGTGGTCGTGCGACGGCGACGAGTTGATGATAATTTTGGTCAAGGACGACGGCGGCAGAGACGGCGTGCCGTGGCAGGTGCGTGATGTGCCGTGTATATCGCGATCACGTCGACTGACGGATGATGTTCACAGAGCGTTTTACGGGGTAGTAAGGGTGCCAAATCCATCCAGGACGTCTTGCGGGACATGACGCACGCCGACGAGCCGTACGCCGCGTCCGACGATCTCGATCTCGAGACGAAATCTCTGTGCGAAGACATTCGCGATCGTCAACGCATGCTCGCGAACGGTGAACTCCTCGACCCGTCGCAGGACGTCGATTTCAAGATCGGTCTCGGTCTTCGATGAGTCTCGACGTCGCCTCCGCCCTCAGCCGTCGCCGCGCGCGCGCCTCACTCGTCCATCGCTCTTCCGCGATGTCCATCGAACTCGGCGGCGTGGACGTCCTTCCCGCCGGCGCCTTCGACGTCGACGGCGTCGCACGCGTCGTGCCGACGCGGTACGGTCCGATCACGGTGACGACGCAAGGCGATCCGTCCAAGCCGGCGCTCGTGACGTTTCATGACGTCGGATTAAACCACCGAACGTGCTTCCAGCCCTTGTTCGTGTGCGCCGGAAGGCAGAGCGACTTAGTGAAACGGTTCTGCGTGTATCACATCGACTATCCGGGGTGCCAGGACGGGGCGGTGGAGTTTCGCGAGGACGACGTCCCGAGGACGCTGGACGCGCTGGCCGAGCAGGTGGAGGACGTGGTGAAACATTTCGGTTTACGATCGGTGACGTGCATGGGCGTCGGTGCGGGGGCGACGGTGATGGCGTTATACGCGGGACGGGCGGGTTCGAGGTGCGAGGCTGGGATTTTCGTGTCGCCGAGCGTGTCGAGCGCGCGGACGATGGAGAGCGCGCTCGGGTACGCGTTTCAATGGAACATTCGTAGACACGGGTGGACGCCGTGGACGTTGAAGCACGTGATGAAGCGAATGTTTAGCTATCGTGGCCTCGGTGGTATGCGGGAAGCGTTCGAGAGCGATCTGGCGAAGACGGCGCGCAGGGAGATTAGCGAGCTAAACCCGCGCGCGGTGTTGGCGTTTTACGAGTCGTCCCTGGCTCGATTGAATAACGATGCGATCTACGAAAGTTTGGACATCGACGCGTTGATCTTAGCGGGAAGACATAGTCCGTGGTACAAGGACTCGATTGTGATGAATTCGTTGATGAACACGGCGAAGACGGCGTGGGTGGAGATGGAGGACGCCGGAACCGTCGTCACCGTGGAGGATCCGAGCGCGATGCTCTCACCGCTCAACCTCTTCATTCAGCGTCTCGCGAGCGAGGGCTTAGCGTGATGCATTTTTCCTAGCTTCTAATGACATCTACAACTACCTATGTTGATCTAATCCGTGCTAAAATTACGTCTAAAATCTTCCTCTGTGACCCACGAATCTTTCTCTCTCGCGTCCTCGACGAGCGAACGCAAATCGTCCACGTCGCATCGCGACAGCGTGTCCGATGACGCCAAAAATACCAAGGAATGCTTCGCCCGCGTCAGCGCAACGTTCAATCGACGACTGTCTGAGAGAAATCCCACGCGAGCCTTCGTGTTGGATCTCACTGCCGAGCACACGACGACGTCTGCCTCGCTTCCTTGAAAGCTATCGACCGAGTGCACATCAAACCCTCGCAGACCGCGAGCGGCGAGAGCGGCTCGAATCTTTCGCACCTGAGCGCTGTAAAATGTGATGACGACGATCGAAAATGTCGAGCCCCGGCGGATAGCTTGGATCGCGTCGCACACGGCTTCTGCCTCTGCGTCGTTTCGCTTGCTCATCCCGCGACCGCCGTATTCAACGCCTCTCTTGACGTCAACGAAGACGTACGGCGGTAACCACCGAGGAAAGTCGAGCGGTTGTTCTCGTTCGATGACGTGCTCGGCGTCCATGACTCTGCCGCTGTAATACCGCGCTGACGGCCAGCTCGAAATGCGCGGGTGCATTCGGTACTGCGTATCCAAAAGGTTCGCCGCTGAGTCGTCGAGTGACATCAGGCGCTCCATGAGACTCCTCGCGTGACCGAGTCGGCGAGCGAGCTCGGAGCACATCGTCGCCGGCAACTGCGCCGGATCGCCCACGAGTAAAACCTTTCGAGGAAGACGGAGAAACGGTATCGCAATCTCAGGTTCGAGCGCCTGCGCGGCTTCGTCGACAAGCAAGACGTCTGGCGGTTCCATCGATTGGCATAGCGACTGCCCAGAGCTCGCAAGTGTGCAGAAAACCAGCCGAGCACGATGGAGCGCTTCGCGCACAAAGTCTTCCACTCGATCGCCACGATCGGACCCGCATGAGATGGCCGACATCACCTCTTTCCCTAGCTCGAGCGTCTCTGAGGCGGTGCCTGAAACGCTCTCGAGCGCTCGTAAGCCGCGCGCGATGTCGCCCTTGATGAAGTCTGGGGCGACCACCTGAAGTCGTTCCCGAGTCGTGCGCGCGCGCGCTCGGACAGTTTTGAGAGCATCGTTGTCGTCGCGCCGTTTACCGAGCGCTTGTAGAGCAGATTCGAGCGGTAACGCGATGACACCGCATCTCCTGTAGACAAAGTAATCCAAAACACCGCCAGCTCCTTGTATCGATGACGCATCTCGAAGTGCGTCCTCAACTCCTAAGAGCGCGCAGCGGTCGTCGTGAACTAAACCACACGTGCTTAAATAAAGTTCCATCGCCACACATACCGCCTTGTTGCTCGGCGCGCACACGAGCACGCGTTGATCGTCTCGCATCAATCGTCGAAGCAACGCGACGACGAAACGCGTCTTCCCACATCCAGGCGGCCCCTGCACCATTTGCAGTGCGTTCGAGTGCGACGCGTTGAGAAAACGTTGCATCGCGCGACGCTGTGACGCATTCAAATCGTCGTCGTCACATATTTCCGCGTCGTCACCGCCTTGGACGGACGCATCCATCAAAGGCGTGTTGTCCTCGTCTTCCGAATCGTAAAATTTCACGTGTGTGGCTCGCTTGTGCCCTATGAGCTGATGCGCGAACGCAACTTTCGGGCGAAGATAACAGGCACACACCATGCGTTGGTGCACCAGTAGGGAATCAAGCGGTACAATTTTCAGATCGAACGACGTCGTACTGCTCTTTGGAAAATCGCTCGCGCGTACCCACAACGGAACCGAGCTCATCGTCGCCTCGCGACTCGCCGCCACGAGCGCCGTTGTCACCGCGCGTCCGCCCTCTCGATACACCATTAACGCCGTCCACGGTCGACACCACTCTTCCTGAACGTCCTTCCCGCCTCGAACGACGCGCGCGGTGAGTTCGACGAGCCCGTCCGCGACGTCTCTTCCGCGCTCAGCGACGACTCGGAACGCATTCGATTCGCTCGCCCCGGCCGCCGCTTTCGACATCGTCGCGCGCGCCTCCTCGTACGCCAATTCCTCGCACGCATCGTACCACGCGTTCACGTTCGCATACGTCGAACGCGCCTCGAGTAACTCGCGCTCACCCGCGAGTTTTCTCGAGTCCAATCGCAGCGCCTTCGCGTCCCAACGCAGCGCTCTGCGAGCGAACGCCCGCGCGGCGCCGCCCCGCGTGCGCCTCTTCTCCTTTCTCCTCGATGGAATTCCTCGCTCGAGATCTCGCGTTCGGACATCGTCTTCGTCGTTTCCATCATCCTCGCCCTCGGTGAGATCGTCGAACGACGATCGCGATCGACGCGCGTTCCGAGGCGTCGCGAGCGGCGCAAAGCCGTCGACGAGCGACCGCGCGTTAAACGCTCTGGCAAGCGACTCTCTCGATCGTTTCTTGAAATTTTTGGACGACGACTTTGAGTGAGCGTTCGCATCATCACCAGCGTCTTCTGACTCCGCGACGTCGTTCGTGGCGTCCACCGTCGTCGCCTCCGCGTCGTCCGTGGCGTCGCGTTGGAAATCATCAAAATCACGCATCCCATCCTCGCGTGTCGCTTCCTCCGTCGCGTCCGCTCTCGAATCGCTCAAATCATCCCAATCTCGTCCCCAATCGCTCTCCATCGCGACGTCGAGCGCGCGACGCCGTTTTACGTCGTCAGAGCGTCGCGCACTGAAGGTTTGGATAGTCAACCCTCGACGCTCTCTCTCGCCGTACCGCGCGATGTCTCTCGCGGCGTTCATCGCCGTGGACGACGAGCGCTCGGTCGCCGTCGTGCGAGCGTCGAAAGCGACCGCGGGCGCGTCGGAAACGAGCGATCTGTCTGAGATGTGCGCGAGCGCTCTGGACGGACGTTTTTGCTTCCCCGAGCGCGCCGAGGGAGCTGATGAACCGTCGAGAAGCGCCACGGCGGAAAGGTTTACGTTTTGTCTCACTCGAGCGAACGGTACGCGCGTTCTTGGACGCGTTCGTAGACGAGGACGGATCGCGTGCGCGGCGCTGAGCGAACGCGCGTGGTTCGAGTACTTCGACGACGCGTTGGCTGGATGCGAAGACGAGGCTCTGAGGGTGTTGTCGTTGGTGGAAGGAAATGGTGAAAGTAGTTCGAGCTCGTGTTTGGTGCGAGAGATAGATGCGGACACGGCGTTGGGGGAGTATCTCGATCGGGCGTTCGGGACGGGGGCGCCGCGAGCGGGCGAGACGCGGAGAGTCGGGATACCGTGGAGCGCGTTCGCGGGCGTGGCGACGCGGAGCGTGACCCTGACGGCGCCGGACTTGAAGAAGGAGTTTAACGGTGGGATCAAGTTTACGTCGCTGTTGGATTGTGGGCACGTGGACGCGGTTTTGGCGCTCTTTGCGGCGCTCGTGACGGAACGCCGCGTCGTGCTCACAGGGAGTCGATTAGAGTTTGTGAGCGGAGCCGTGCACGCGGCGAACGCGGCGCTTTACCCGTTGTCGTGGCAGCACATCTTCTTGCCCGTCCTTCCGGAGGGGTTTCTGGATTATCTCACGGCGCCGATGCCATTTTTGATTGGCTTGCACTCATCGCTCGTCTCCGTGATGAAACGACTTCCGTGCGACGACATTTTTACATTGGATCTGGACACGGGAGAGTTCACATACTTTGACGAAGATTTGAGGTCGATGCCGGCTGGGCCGTTCACGCTCCTCCGAGTCGGGTTGTTGCGAGAGATGGAGAAGTCACGCGGGCAGGACTCCCAGGCGGTTGCGCAAGTATTTCGCACGTTTTTCTCCTCCGTCTTAGGGCAGTACAAGCAGCACATCAAGGGCGTTGTCGCGCACCCACCGCCAAAAGATGCTATAATATCCGATAGTCTATGGCTCGATCAGGACGAGTTCATGGCGACCAAGCACGCGGGGATTCTGGCGGCGATGCGCGGGACGCAAATGTACGAAGTCTTCGTGCGACAGCGCCTGAATATGTGTGCACAGGTGGCGCGAAAGACTGGGTTCGTCCCACTCGGTGACGAGATCGTCGACTTTGATCTGGAAGAACCCGACATCACGCTATCGGATCTCATGATGCGCGGACAGGCTTTGGGCGAGCAGTTTGCGTCGGCTTCATCGCACGCCCTCTCCGAGGCGAGCAGCGTGTTCAAGTCAACCGTGGCCAAGGCGAAGTTGGCTTACAGCTCGTCGAAGACGATCAAGAACATGCGTGAGGCGTTCACATCGAAGAAGAGCGAGCTTGCGGCATCGATGAAAAAATTTAGCAAGAAGAGTTCAGAGGATTTCGCCGCCAAGTGGGCGGAGTGGACGGAGGGTGACGCGGACGGCTCGATAGTGAAGAGCTTATCGTTCGATGCCGGGCGCGCGTCGCCGACGACGTCGGCACGTAAGGGCGCAGACGTCATTCATGGCGCGCCCGCGCCTACGTCTGGATCGGCGAGCAAACCTTCGCCGTCGGCGTCCGTCGAACAAGCCGAACCCGAGCCGAGCGCGGCGCGCGCGGACGAGGTGACCGACGTTGATACCGTCGGTAACGCGCTTCGATCGATCGACCTCATGTCGTTCAACGATGCCGCGGACTATGCATCGTCGCCGACACCGTCTAAACGACCGTCGACCGCGCCGACACTCGCCACGCCAAATTTTCTCGACGACTAGACGCGCGTCGACTAGCACTGTAACATTGCATCGCAACATCGCTAAAACTACTTAAAACATACCCTCACGGCATCCCCGGCGTCCGAGTCTGCTTAATCATTCTTCGCTGCCCTGGTTCAAGATCCGGATTCTCCTCCTCCATCGCCGGAATCGTCGAGTTCCAAACGCTTTGCACGCCTCGCCACATCTTCCCGCTCCGCGGCAACACCGCCCATCGCAACTTCAACTCCACCGCCCGCCCGCTTATTCCCTCGTCCACCGTTCGTACGCCGTATTTCCCCGGAAATCGACCGCTCACTCGCATATCCTGCTTCGTCGTCGCCGTTCGATCCCAAACCGTCGCCTCGTTTGAAAGCCTGCGCTCCGTCTCGTACCCGATCGTCACCTGCGCGTGCACCGCGCGCGTGTTCCACGTCGCGCAGTGCGACAGGTCGTAGTCGATGTCCAAGGTGACGTGCAATTCGTCGCTCCCGTCTTTCCGTCGAACGATCTTGTCGTGGGAGACGATTGAGATCTTTGGTTCACTCAGCGTCGGGATTGAACTTCTCGGTTGGCACTGGGTGAAACGGTCGGTGAACGACGCACACGCGGCGATCACGCTCAGGGCGACGACGGCGAGGGAGAACAGGGCGTTCGCCCGGAGCCACCCGTTGTGGGCGGACATTACGAAGTCGCGAGAGGGGATTAGTGCGGCGAGAGGGACGCGCGAGCGTGATGGTTGACCGTATTATTGTACAAAGCGGCGGCGATTAGGTTGGTGAAGCGCGCTCGCGAGCGTTTTGGCGCTCCAAGTCCTTCAGTGATTTCTCTATGCGACGCATGATTTCTGTGTGGAGGTGATCTCGGGCCTTGGCGTTCTTCTCGCACCTCGCGCACTGGCGCGTGAGATCCGACAAATCGAGCGGTTCGCCGACGGTTACGTGCACGCGGTTCCCGACGTTGATCTGCCACTTTCCGTACGGTTTCACGTGTTCCATCCCGGAGTGAAAGAAAGGTAAGATGATCGGTCGCTTCCCACCGCTCATCTCGACGTCGCATAACAGTTTTGCCAATCCTCGTCGCATGCCTCCGAGCTCGCCATTCTTGCTTACGCGTCCCTCTGGGAACACGTGCACCCAATCACCCCTCGCTAATAGATTCGCCGCCGTGCGCATCGCCGGCTGCTCAACCCCTCCGCCTCTCTTGATCGGCAGCGCCTTCCCGCACAGGAAAAACGCCTCTCGTAAGCTATTCTTTGCGCAAATTTCATCCGCGCACAGCGTCCAACGCACGCCCGCGTGCGCCGACTCGCCCATGAAGAACGACCACGGAATCAAAGAACTCAGCACCCCGGGATCATCAAACGTTGAGGCATGATTACACACCGTCACCAATCCCTCACCGGACGTTCGATCGCGATCGGAGATCATTCGCTCGAAACGCTCGCGCCCGCTCACCACCGTCGTGTTCGCCGCGTCCAGGATCGCCTTCCCAGTGAGCGCGACGACGCCGAGGACGGCTTGGCGGCCGAGAGACCCCCACGGCGGGGCCGTTTGCATGACGTCGTCGTACAGCGCGCCACCGGACGTCGAGGGGACGTCTTGAGCTGGCATGACTGAGTGAACTCGTTGTTAGCCTGGCGCGGGTCGGGTCGGGACGCGCGGCGTCGACGTCTTTCGATCGCGTGAAGCGACGCGCGACGCGCGCACGCGTCGAGATCGGTGGACGATCGAGTGGCGACGTGGATCGCGAGACGCCACGAAGTGCGGGACTCCGCGGCGTCCCGGTTGAAGGCGGCTCTACAAGAAAAATTCGTCGATAATTACAACAAGGGATCAAACGTATCGTTCGTGTGCGCATCGTGCGTGATCATCGGATGCTCGTGCGAGCGAGCGCGCAGACGGTGTTATCACCGGCGCCGGAGACCTGGGACTTGACGCCCGGGAAGACGTTCCAGAAGCGTAACGTCTCGTCGCCGGCGCCGGTGACGATGGTCTGCCCGTCCGGAGAGATGGCGAGGAAGAGCACGCGCAGGGTGTGACCGGTGAGCGTCGTGAGCTTGGACATGCTGGGATATCTCCAGACGACGATCTGGTTCTGGCTGTATCCGTGCGTGCTCACGATCTCGTTGACATTTTTGCTCCACACCAAGTTGCACACCTGTGAGCCAGTGTCGATGCACTGCAGCGGTGTGTTCGTCACCGTGTTCCAGAAACGAATGCATCGATCGGCGGTCCCTCCTCCACTCGCGAGGAGTCCGTGCTGGTGCGGAGACCACGCGATGGCCTTCACCGCGGCGGTGTGCTCGCTGCATCGCAAGGTTGGCGACGACGAGTGCGAATTCCACACAAAGAGTTGGTTGTCGTTCCCACCGCTCGCGAGCTGTTGGTCATCGTACGACCATTTCAGGCCGCACACCTCGCTCTTATGCCCGAGTAGCTTGTTTGAGTAATCACTCGGCGATCGAATGTCTCGATTCAAGATGGCTCGGTCGCGACTTCCGCTCGAGAGCGTGTGCGAGTTCCACGCCAACGTCCCCGCGCGCGATCGGTGCCCGAGCATCGAGCGCGTCTTCTTACACTTAGCGACGTCCCATATTTGCACCTCTCCGCTGTTCGTGCCGACGCCCAGATACGTTCCGCGTTGCGTCCACGCCACCGAGCACACCGAGTCGTTCGGGGCGAGCTCGCACAGTTTGGTCACCTTGCTCGTGCACGCGCTCCACAGGTACACGCACGTTCCCAAACCCACGGCGAGGACGTTACTGGAGCTCCAGTCCACCAAATTGAGGTAAAAGTCATCCTGCAAGGCGGGCGCGTCGAGAACCTTGAATGGGCTTCTCGCGATTTTTCTCGGCGCGCGCCGGCGCGGAGACGCGAGCGTCATTCCGAGCGGCGCGTGTCCCACCGGACTGAGCGCGTACGGCGACTCTCCGCGATCGGTCGCGACTCCGTACGAACCGTCGTCGCGAAATCGGAACAAATTTCTCCCCGGACTCCCGTACGAGTACCCCGAACTCCCTTCGCTCCCCCTCGCCGAGGACGGCGTTCGCGGTCTGAACCTGGCCGAGCTCGGCGTCGGCGGCGGCGTCACCCCGTACGCCTCCGGCGGAGACACGTCACCGAACAACTCGCTCCGCAACAGCGCCCCGTACGCCGCGCTCGTGTCCTCGCGCTCGCATCCACGTCCGCCCGTCGTCTCCCCCGCCCCCCGCCCCCCACTCCCGCCCTCCTCCGTCCCCACCGGCGCGTCCTCATCCTCCCCCACCCCTCGTCCACGCCTGCGCCCATCCCTACTCCCTCGATCGACGGCGTCGTTCGTCGCCGCGGCGTCGAGCATGACCCATTCGCGCGCCCGGAACCCCGCCGACGCGCGCCGCGACGGCACGTATCGATCCAACGGCGTCGCCGCGGACCCGCGCGCGCGCGCGTCGCCGTCGACCTCGCGCGCGCGCGTCCACGTCTCCACCGTCGACATCACCGTCGACGAATCGACGAATCGACGAATCGACGAATCGACGAATCGACCGAATCACCGCTCGACGCGTCCCGTCGTCGACCCACGCCTCGGCCGAGGACCCGGCGAGCGTCGCGCGCGGGACCACCGCGCGGTTGGCGTCGTCGGCGCGCGCTCGCGGCGTCGGGCGTGGGCGTCGTCGGCGTCGACGTCTCGCCCTTTGGCCCGTCGGCGTTTCCGAGACCGCGACTTGGGCGTGGGTGGTACGTATAGTACACACGAAACACCCATCACGGGACCGATGACGGCCAGACCGCGACCCGGGATGCGGGTGGTACGTATAGTACATACGAAACACCCATCACGGTGTCATCTGACGGCCAGACCTGGGCATTTTTGGGTCACGTCGCGGGGATTTCCACACGTTCTCGACCACCCCGCGCCGTGAAGACGCGCGCGACGCCTCGCCCCCCCGCGCGCCCTTCCCCGCGCGTCCGCGCGACGTCTCGCTCCCCCCGCGCGCGCGCCGAGGACGCACCAATCGCCGACGCGGAGACAAAAAATCGCCCAGCGGTGGCCCGCGCGACGCGCGCGATATCGACCACTTCTCGGACGCGCGGACCGTATACGACACACACAATACCCTGTTCCTGGGACCACCCACGACGCGACCTCGGCGTCGACCGCGCGCCGCGCCCGATCGCGCGCTCGACGCCGACGCGTGTGCGCGACGCCGATCGCGCCCGGCGCGCGCGCGCGCGGTCGATCGGTGGTATTACCCTTAACCCGCCCCCGTGGGCGCTGGAGCGCGCGCGGGGACGTCGTGACGATCGACGCGCGTGACGCTTCGGTGATGCCGCGCGCGCATTCGAACGATGACGATGGCCACGGCGACGACGGCGCGCGCGCGACGCGCGCGGTGGGCGCGGACGGGTCGGAGGTACGGATTTTGTGAATGATGCGCGCGCGCGACGCGCGCGCGTGGACGCGTTCGGGATGGGCGGGAGATGGGATGGGAAAATGGCGGGAATTTGAATTTTACATGGAATAATCGGGCGAAAAAAGACGTCGTGGTGGTGGTCGATGTGCGCGCGCGAACGCGATGGTGCGACCACGAGCGGTGGGCGTCGTGGTCGGTGCGGCGGGCGCGGCGCGGGCGCGGGTGGGACGCGGTGAGGGGTGACGGAGGGACTGACGACGCGCGCGCGGGCGGAACGCAGGCGACGCGCGCGAGGACGGCGACGGAGCCGCGACGCGGACGCGGGCAGAAAAATGTACACGCGGCGAGTGGGACGCGAAACATGATGTCGACGTACGCCGAGTGGTATCGACACGCGATGGCGAGCGGGGAGGTGGTGCCGGTGACCGGGACGCCGTTGCCGGTGCCGGTGGTGGTTCCGGTGAACTTGATCGCGGGCGACGGGCGCGAGGGAGGAGAGAACGGCGAACAGGCGGTGTACGCGCATCCGACGTACGCGCACATGGGACACCCGGCGATGATGATGGGACATCCCGATGCGTACGTAGCGGAGGCGATGATGCCGCCGCGCGGCGCGGCGGATTACGCGGCGGCGATGGCGGCGCAGGCGGAATATTTCTCGACGATGCAATATCGCGCGGCGGCGGCGGCGGCGGCGGCGCAGTACTACGGGTACGCTCCACCGTACGGCGTGGACCCGTACGGTGCGAACGCGATGGACGCGTACGGCCCGAACGAGATGTCACCGCCGGGCGGACTGTACGCGGGTCCGAACGGACGCGTCGGGAATAACATGGATAATCAGTGGCGCCGCGCGAACTCCGATGGCTCGGGTGGCGGGCGCCATACGTATCACGGCAGACACTCCGTATCGGACGAGCGCGCGGGCGGTCGAGGGTCGCCGAACACAGTGTTCGTCAAGGAGATTCCGGCGAGCGTGAGCGAACGCGAGCTCGCGGAGACGTTCGCCGCTTGCGGGCGCATCGTGGACTGCCGAATGTGCCGAGACGCGAATTCCAACAAGTTTAGCTACGCTTTCGTGGCGTTCGAGACTGCCGATGAGGTCCAAAACGCGTTGTCGCTGGACAAGATGTCGCTTCACGGTAAGAACATCGTCGTGCGACGAAGCGACACGGCGGTCATCCCGGTGAATCCCTTGTTGCTTCCTCAGAACGAGGCGGAGTTGGAGAGTACGGCGAGGACGATTTACGTCGCCAACGTGGATAAGTCGGTGGATTCGGACGCGTTGAAGACGTTTTTCGAGAGACACGCCGGCGCTGTCAACCGTCTGCACTTGCAGGTGAAGAACGCCGCCGACGCAAACGTGGCCTTTGTGGAATTCGTCAATCTCGAGAGCGCGGCATCGTCGCTTCGACTTACGGGAAAACAGCTCGGTCAGCGCGTGGTCAGAGTGAGCGCATCCAAGACGCCGCTTCGCGTAAATCGACGGATGAGCGAGCAACGCGCGATGTCGTACTACGCAAGCGGGACGAACGGCGACGCCGCGACGCCGCCGGCGCCGACAAAAGTGTACATTTCAAACATCCCGAAAAACCTGTCTCCGGGAACGCTGCGAGCCATGTTTTCGGAGTGCGGCCGCGTCACGAACGTGGAGCTGTTGAACAATCCTAAGAGTAAGTTCCCGTACGCGTTCGTTGAGTTTGACGACGCCGAGAGCGCGAAGCGTGCTCTGAATTTTCGAGGTCGGGAAGTGCAAGGATGCGCAATCAACATTGAGCTCACATACAACAAGAAGCGCCGAGGCGCCCCGAGACTGGCGCTCGATCCGGTGTCGGTGGACAAGATGGAGCGCACGGTTTTCGTGACCGACATAGATCCAGATCTCGAACCGTCCTTTGTGCGGAGCAAGTTTGAGGACGAGTGCGGGCCGGTGACTTTGTTTTGGTACAAGGCGTTCGAAAAGGGTGAGAAACAGGCGTTGGCGTACATAGAGTTCACCGAGCTCAGCTCGGTGGAGAAGGCGTTGGATCAGTGTCGAACGCACTTTTTGGGCGAATCGAGGTTGATCAAGGTGCGCCACTCGCACACGCCGCTGGTGCCCAAGGACGATGACGAGGGGACGTGTTATTCACCCGCGTTGGACAGCCCCGTGAGTTCCACGAGCGGAGCAGAGGACGCGGGGAGCGAAGGAGAGAAGAGCAGTGTGGTTCGCGACTTGATAACGCCGATGGCGGCGCTCGCCCAGGATCCTGCCGTCGTCGACAAGGCGACGGAACGCTTGGAACAACTCACCGTGAACAATCCCGCGGCCTAGAAACTTTGTATTACAGGTATAAATATATTGTGTACGCTCATGTCTCGGATAGGCGAGCGAGAACGCCGTTCGCGTGCGCGAGACCGGTGACGATGACGCAGTCGACGTGTTCCACGGGTGGACCGTCGTCGGCGTCTTCGATTGTCTCGCCAGAGATGGGATCTTCCCCCGTCTCGGCCAGTAAATACCCCGCTGGATGCGCCGTGACGTCTCGCACGTCGTAAAGCTCACCTCCCTCGATCCAAACCTCGAGCTTCCGCGCTTTTGTGACCGGACGCGCGCCCTCTCGCACGCGCACGACGCGCGCGCGACGCATCGTCCGATCCACTCGAACCACCGCCGTTCGTCGATTCAGGTCCACGTCCCGTCGCGCCTCCCCCTCTTCTCCCACCGCATCGATGACATCGCTCGGGACGTAGTGCCGATACCGCGCGTGTAAACACCCGAGCTCGGCGCCCACGAGCGACCCCCCGTTCGCCTCGGCGATCCCATCCATGAGCGCGAGCCATCTCGGTTCAAACAGATTCAATCGTCGCTCCTCCCCCGCATCCAGCGCTCGCCCGAGCGTGAAACACCGCACCCGTCCTGGATCCACCCCCACGCGCGCCCGCGTCGCCGTCACCACCGCATCGGCGCTAAATTCAAACCGCGTCTCCATCGCGCCGTCCTCCGTCGCCGCCGCCGTCGCCGCCGCCGTCGCGCGCCTCACCATCACCTCGTCTCGCTCCATCCACACCGTCTCCACCAACGGACAAAACATCACGACGCACACCATCGTCATCGCCCACGCCACCGCGCGTTCACTCGCGCTCGCGTCGAAACTCCCGCGCGCCGCGAGTCCCAGCGCGATCGCCGCCGCCGCCGCGAATCCATCCGCGCCGAACGCCCGCAACGCCTCCACCACATCCACCCTCGTCCCTCCCACGACGTCTCGCCCATCGACCGCGTTCACGCAGTACCGCACGGCGCGTCGCCAGCGTTCGAGATCACACGTCGCGCGTCCCGCGAGCCGTCGCGCGGCGTCTCGGACGTCGACGCCGTCGTCCCCCAGCGTCACCCGCGCGTCCACGTCTCGGGCGGCGCGGAGCGCGGCGACGAGGTCCGCACCGCGCGCGCGCGACGTCGACGGCCCGGCGTGCGCGCGCGCGAGGGCGTCGACGCGCGCGCGGTCGAGCTCGAGGACCACCGCGCGCGGGGCGACGCGGGCGATGAGGTCGAGGACGATGGCCGCGCTCGCGGGGGCGGCGTGGGAGGTGCCGACGACGTAGTACTCGCACCGCACGACGCGGTCGGTGGCGAGTCGGAGGGGGCGGGAGACGCGACCGACGCCGGGGGGGAGATTGGGTGGGTCGGAGGACGCGGCGCGCATGACGGCGAGGAATGAAGATGGATTCGGACGTCGGTGATTACTGATGATGATGATGTGAACTATGGGACGGATGGATCGATCGCGCGCGCTCGGCGACGAAATCGTCGAACGTGACCTCCTCTCGCGGACGTCGAAAGTGTTCGTCGGCGTCGTCGTCGGCGTCGGCGTCGGCGTCGTCGTCGTCGGCGGCGCTCGGGCGACGGGCCGAGGCGCGGACGCGAGACCCCGCGCGCGTGGACGCGCCGGGACGTCTTCGATGGACGATGTCGTCGTCGTTTTCTTCGTCGGCGGCGGGGGACAAGCGATCGCCCGTGATCACGTCGAACTTTTCTCTTCTCGCGTCGAAGATTTCGCGAGCGACGAAGACGTCAAACCACAGTCGTCGCCACGCGTCGTTCGCCGACGTCTCGCACAGGCGCTTGTTGACGACGACGAACGCGTGAAGGATGAAACCGTAGCGCTCGTCCACGACGACCTCGAATTTCGGAGATAGGCCTCGCCACTTTTCATCTCTCGGTTCGGTCCATCCGTACTTGACGACGCGCTGCTTTCCGGATTGCGTCGACGTCGTCGACTCTACATCGCGCGAGGTGATGAAACGGCGCCAACGCGCGAGGTGAATCGGCTTGTTCAGCGTGATCTTTGACGTTTCCACCGAACAGTGCTTGAACGCGAGATGTCGCATGAGCCACAAGATGCTTCCCCCGACAACGGTCCACGCGCACATGTTCAGCACGAACCAAATCATCGGGACGTTCACAGCGTACGGCTGAATGCTCTCCACCGCCCAGCGAATATCGACGTACGATAGATACTGCCCCGAAAATCTGTCAAGGATATCGAACGCGAGCGTGCCAGAGAGAATAACCTGCGTGAGTTCGAGCGTGGTGCTGTTGCGGGCCTGCGCCCGGAACGCGTCCTCGAGATTCCTCGTCGTTCCCTCGATGGCTTCGTTGACGCGAAGCTTTCTGCGCGAGCCGATGACGTGCGTCATCTCTTGCAGAGACTCGAGATCGTTCCAACACGCCGCGATGATTTTCTCCAAGTCCACCGCTCGTCTCAATAGACGCCTGTGAGAATCGCTCAGAGTGAGGACGTCGAATAGGGTCTGCGACGCGTCGTCGCTCAGATCGCTCAGTCGTTCCCTCGATATCTCCTCCACCGCCTCGACTGACTCGACCAAAAACTTTTGGACCGCGTCCAGAAGCGTGAGCTTGTTCATATGATTCGAGATGCGAGAGCGTATTCGCGTGACGTTCATGGGATCATCCAAATAGTTATCGATGAGCTTGCGCGTCTTTTTCAGTTCGTCGCTCGCCGCGAAACAACTCGCATAGACGCTTTTGATGAAGACAGATCGCGCCTGGAGATCAGAGTACAACGACAGGAGCTTGTGGTGACGTTCAGTGCGCGGACCAAAGATGAGAACGCCGCGCGTACCAAATATCACTACCTCTTGTTCGTTGAGATCGTGGGCAAAGTACGTCGCGCCGATGACTTGCTTCAACTCATTCTCGAGCGCCTCGCCGTCCATGTACGCCGCCGCTGTGAGCTTTGGATTCGCGCGCTCAGCCATGATGCACACAAACTTATCCCGAGTGGACGGCGCACCCTTGAAAATGGTTTCCAGCATCGCGCGCTGACGATTGCTAAACAAGTTTTCCACCACGAGCGACGTGTCTTCGTGCGCATCGGAGAGCACGCGCGCGAGAAGATCGACGCTAATGTTATCCCTGATGCGGTTCGCGATGCCGTTCACCACCAGACCGTACGTCACGATTCCATTCTCGCGGAAGTTTATTCCAAAGTTTTCGATTTGGTGCGCTTTGTCCTTGTCTGTCGACATCGCCGTGGCGAGGAGATCCGCCTCGACGTTGGCGTATCGCACGTCGTCGGCGTCCAAAACCTTAATCTTGGTGAGCTTGGCGGCGTCGACGCCGACGACCATGTCAAAGTGCGCACGACTGCGCGTTTCCCCACAAAATAGCCCGCCACTCAAGCGCTCGCTCGTACCGAGGGCGGAGCAAAACGCCACCATCTCGTTTGAGCCCATGGGTACGTACTCGGTGAAGAGCACTCTGACCTCGTTCAGGAGAATTTGTTCGTCCAAGCGCGCATCCCGAATCGCTCGCTCCTGTTGCTCGGCGAGTGACATCCCCTCCAGCTTAAGGACGCGTCGGGCCTTTCTGTACCCCTTTTCAGGATTCGGCGCGAACGCCTCGTTCGAGAGGTAACTCCTGGGGATGTACGGCGAAGAGACGTACGGGACGTCCTCCACGTCGGTGATGGTCGAGCGCAGCGCGGGCGTCTTCGAGTGCGGCGACGGATCGTGTAGATAGAACGACTTTGTCTCTTGATCGAATCGAACGTCCAGTAAATTTGGATATCCGCACAAGAGTTCGATGCCCCGCCGGTCGCCCGGCGAGAGCGCGCCGCTCGCGACGCACCTCTGTAAGAAGTCGGCTCCCTTTTCCGAAATCTTTAGCAGCGTCGAGTGATCGTACGTCTCCGACGTCACTTTCAAAGCGGTGAGCAACCCGCGCTCGAGTAGATTGTCTAAATCATTCCGTCCGTCCTCGCTGATGTTCATGTACCGCGGCGTCGACCCGTACACGCGCTCCATCACCGGCGCGTAGTCGTACTCGAAGCATCGCCGTTCGCCGCTCGACACGATGCCCTCGTACATGAACACCAAAATCGGTAGCGCCCGCATCCACACCGTCCGCCCTTTCCCTCTCGCGTCCGCACCCCCCCTTCCACCGCCGTCGCCCGTGTACAGGGACACCATGTACAACAATTTCAACGCCTCGCGAGAATTCTCCGCGTCCCGGGCGTCGCCCGCGTCGCGCGATCGAATCCTCCGACGCCTCGACGTCGACTCACCGTCCGAAGACGTCCGTGGACGCGCCGCGACCCCTCCTTCACCCCACGCGTCCGCATCGTCGTCGTCGTCGTCGTCCCACCGCGCCGAGCTCGTCGTCGTCGTCGCCTCGTCCTCGTCCTCGTCGTCGTCATCCGTCCCATCGAATGCCCCCGTGGTCGCGATCTCGACCCCGCGCATCACCGACCCCGCGCGTGATCCCGGCGCGCGATCGACCCCACCCGCCGACGCCGCGATCGTCTCCCGCGTCGCCGCGCGTCGTCGTCGTCCCGGTCGACGATCGCGTCGTCGTCGTCCCATGTCGGCGTCACGAGACCACCCACGCCGCACGCCCACGCCCATGACATAGGCCGTATACACACACAGTACACACACCACGCCCGCGGGATGCCATCGACGCACCCGTAAGTTTCACTGATGGATACGACGGAGAGATTCAGTCACACACAGGCGTGTGCGGTGTGCATATAATCACACACGGTCGCCCGATGAACCCTCGGGGCAGACACCGACCAACCCCGGTTCGAACCCGGGTGAGCGAAAAAAAAAAAACATGTCGCGTCGTCGCTCATCGTCTAGTGGTTTAGGACGGTCGGCTGTTACGCCGTTGCTTTTTGTCGTCACGTCGGCGTCGCGGAGATCGTCGCGTCGGCGTCGGGCGACGGTCGAGGCGAGGGCGCGCGCGGTGGCGTGACGTCGGTGCGGGACGTCCTCGGGCGCGCGCGATGGGCGCGAGGCATCGCGATCGTCTGGGTGAATATGAATCGTCAGACGCGCGTCCGCGCGCGGGTCGGCGTCGGGCGACGCGCGGGGGCCACGGACGGCGTCGGGCGAGGTGGGCTACGGTGGGCGTCGCGCGAGGTGGGCTACGGACGTCGAGCGAGGTGGGCGTCGATGGCGACGACGAGGTCTCGAGGATCGAGGGGGGCGTCGGCGTCGGCGTCGGCGTCGTCGTCGTCGAGATCCGTCGCGTCGTCGAAGTCGATCTCGTCGAGCGCGATGAAGCTCTCCATCATGCGCTCGCCTTGATTCAAACCCATGAGTTTGAGGTCGACTAACGCCCGTTCGAGGTTGGCGTCGTCCACGAAGTTCCCGGCGAAGGCGACGGTGCTGTCCAAATTGTGCACCGCGTGCGGGGCGCCGCCGGGGACGAAGAGTACCTCGCCGGGACCGAGATCGACGTCCCATCGCGCGGCGTGTTCGCTCAGTCCCGAAGCGCATTGCTCTTCGAGCGCAGGCATGGCCGGATCGAGCGTTCCTCGCAACCAGCTCGGTCGCAAGAAGGGGGTGGCGTCGCGATGAAACACCGTCCATCGCTTGGTGCCGCGAATCATGGCCATGAAAAAATGCCCTTGCCATTGATCGACGTGCAGCGTCGATCGCGTGTCCTTCGCCGCGACGAACAGACTGGGCCACGAGCGACTGAACGCGGTCAGCCGCATCGTCCGCTGCACGTAATCGTGCGCAAAGTACTTTGGCAAAAAGATGGACTCGGTTAAAGTGGGCAATTTTAACGGCACCGAGACGTCGTACAGATAGCTCCCGGGCGACGCGTCCTTCGTGACCTCGTCGAAATACTCCCTCAAATCCACCACATCCGTCGACGCGCACGATGCCGTGGAATTCCTGTGCCCGTGATCTCGCGTCACCGCCACCTTTTTGTTCCCCGCGCGTCGCGTGAGCCACGCGCACCGCTCGCCGTCCGCGCCGTCCTCCGTCAAGACGTCGCGCAACCCAGTGATGACCACCGGGACGTCCCGACGGACGTACTCGCGGCGGAACCGCGCGCACGACAACGACGAACAGTGCTCGCGCGGGACCGCGCGCGCGCTCGGCGCGGCGCACGTCGACGTTTTCGATGCAATTTTTCTGGCGGCGTCCTTCGCTCGTCGCGCAATCTCCAGGGCGTATTCGCGCTTATTCGCCTCCGTGAACGCGTTCGCACGTTCGATGAGCACCGCGTGTTCGTCTTCGAGCCGAGCGATCTCGAGTTGGGCGGCGTAGGGCATCGATGGAGGGACGACGACGCGCGGGACGAGGTCCGCGCGCCGCCGTGTGCGGGTCGCTCGGCGTCACACGTCCACGCGACGCGACGACGATGGCGCGTTCGGGCTAAAAGTGTGTGTTACAGTATTTCAAACGACGTCACGCCGCGAGCGCTTTGCTCACGGCTTCGAACACGGCGAAAGTGATGGCGCTCGCCGGGGCGGATTTTATCAGACTCGGCGTCAAGCCTTTATAAAATCCGCGAACGCCCTCCGTCTTCGCGATCGTTCGCACGGCGGCGGCAAAGTTGACGTACCCAGCGGCGTCCACGCGCGCACCGTACGCGAGACTTCGCGTGAATCCGGCGATTTGGAAGCGCTTCTTGACGACGTCGAGCGGATGAACGACGAGGCGCGCGGCGGTTCCCGCGACGAACCCGCACGCGAAGTCATTCTCCCCGAAGACGTCGGGAAATCTCGTCTTCAACGCCGCGTACGAGCCGAACTGCACCGCACTCGCCGGAATAATCTCCGCGAGCGTGACCGAGAGTCCGGCGTACAGACCTCTGCGCGCGCCTCGCGCGCGCACCACCCCGCGCGCGGCGTCCAGGACATTTTCGTACACCTTTGGATGTCCCTGACTCGCCAACAACGTTCGCATGACGTCAAACGGATACGTCAGCACCGTCGCCACCGTCCCCGCGACCGCACCACCGACGAATCCAACCAACGGCGACCGCGTCGCCTCCGTCTCCCCTCGCCTCCGCTCTCGCGCCGCCGCCGCGTCGTTAAACACCCCCAGCGTCGCGAACTGTATCGCCGTGTACGGCACCCACAGCATCAACGCCGGCGCCGTTCCAGCCCACATCCCTCGCGCGCCTTCCTCTCGCACGATCGTTCGCACCGCGTGCGCGAGCCCGCGGTACTTTCCCGTCGACGCTTCCTCCAGTTGGACTTGCATGCGAATCTTAATCACGTCCAGCGGCGCCACGCACGCGCGCGCGGTCGCCCCCGCGATCGCCCCCGCGAGCGAGGTCGTCCACCCGGTGCGTCCGCCGTCGTCGCCGTCCGCGCGCGACGTCGGCGTCGCCGTCGCGCGCGCCGCGGTCGCCGTCGTCATGGCGGCGAACGCGGTGAGCGCGCGCGCGCGACGTCTCGCGCGCGCGCGCGCGGGGTCGAGACGTCGCGACGCCGTCGTCACCGCGACGCGCGCGCGCGGCATCGACCGGCGGCGCGCTCGATCGGGGCGGCGCGATGGGTGAATTCGGCGCGCCGAGCGATGGCGCGACGGCGCGTCGTCCGCGCGTGGACGCGGTGTTTTCGTGGTATTAAAAGATGACGTCGTTGTGAAAAAAGACCGAGTCGTCGTCGTCGCGACGGACGGTGACGGTGATATTACGGGTGCGGCACCTTGCCGGCGTCGATGGAGATGATTCCCGCGGGCGCGTCGGGCACCGGTTGCACGTCGCTCGGCCCGTTGCACGGAAGCTTGCACGAGAAGAGTTTTCTGCTGGTGGAGAGAATCCAGAGGCTCGTCTCGCCCACGGCGACTTGATCGATGGCACCGACCGCCGCGGGGATGTTCGCGGGGTCTAGTATCGTCACCCACGTCCCGCCTCCGTTTTCTTGCTTTCTCTTGAGGGTTTTGCTGTCCGTGAACAAGACGAAGCAGTCCGCGTCGCCGACCTCGACTTGCTTTGTGACGGCTGTGATTTCACCAGCCCACTCAGACTGAGAATGCATAGGAAGGGGGCTGCGATACAAGTTACCACCGGAGTTGACACCCCAGACGTGCGTGCGCCCCAAGGTGGTTTGTACCAGTCTACTTCCTTCGTGTCCCGCGGGAGTCCACTGGTTGGCACCGCTGACGGGACGTTGCCACACTTTATCGTCTGAAGTGACGCCCATCACGTCATCGTAACCAGCGTCGAAATCTACGATGGATCCACTGCCTCCGGCATTCGCGTTCGTGACGTATTTCCAGTTTGCGTCGCTGTATGGGTTTAAATCCGCGTTTCTCGTCCACGCGAGTTTTTTCGTGACCGTGTCAAGCCCCCAAGTGTTTTCGACGCCGGCGCTGACGATGGAAAAGTGTCCCTTGTACTTTTTCCAGATTTCTTTCATCGCCTTTTGTTCTTCGATGCCGTACACGTTATCTCCAGCTCCTTCGACGGTTGCGATGAGCTTGACCGTGACGGGACATTTCGCGCCGACGCACGATCCCCACGTTCCCGTAGCTTCGTACTCGCCGTTGGCGTTGAGCGTGATTTGACTTCGTCGCGTCGGCACTTGCCGGTTTCGATACACCGCTCCTCCAGCTTTAACCTCGGCCACACACGACCCTTCGCTCAGTACCGGTCGATGGATGTGCTTAAAATGTCGACTGTGTCCGAGTTCGAACATGCGCTCGCCGGCGGCGTTGACGAGGGCGAACCCGTACTGTTCCCCCAATTTCACATCCATCACGGTTGAATAAATCGCCGAAAACCCCTCTTGCGTGAGCGGGATGTTCCCCACGTCCCGGTTCGTCCCACCGAATTCAAACGGCGGCTTCCCCCTGAGAATGACCTCGGCGCCCGTAATGTCGTGCTGAAAAAACTCTGGCCAGTGCGCATCGATCGCGTCTTTGGTGATGCACCCGACGTCCACCGCGAACCGCGTGCGGACCATCGTCCTCCCGCCGAGTCGCCACGATCGCGCGCACGACACCGCGCCGAGCATCACCGCGGCCGCGGCGACGACGACGCCCGCGCGTCGCCGCCACGTCGTCGTCGAATCGCCCTTCCCGCGCGCGCCGTCGACGCCGCCGTCGACGCGTCCGGCCTCGATCGGCGCCGCACCGTACGCCGCCATGGTTTTCTTCGTTTCTCCCCGCGTTCGCGCGCGATCGTCGACGTCGGCGTCGCGCGGTGTCACGCGCGTCGCGCGATGGGTGTTCGGTGTTGGGTGTTGGGTGTTGGGTGGTCGCCGGCACGAAGTTTCGGGTGTTTTTCGGGTGCGACATAAAAATTGATCGATAGGCGGCTGTCCTTGTCAAAACGCTCAGTCCCGGGGGTCGACCTTGACCCCTATTCCGGTACCTCCTAAGCCTATTCGACCAGCCCGCGGCGCGCCTGCACAGACGCCGCTCGATTACTCCTGTGTGTAATACTTATACGTTCTTTTGGAGTATCACAATCGACTACGAGAGCGATAGCAACTGGGCTACGCGGGCGCGCGGTTCGCCAAGGCGCGCGCGTTGCTCGTCGACGACTTGTCCACCGCGACGCTTGGATCAAAGGGTCACAGGACGATTCCTGAATCGTCCATCTTGTGATCCATTTACCGCTCACCGATCAGGACGCGTTCGTTATCTAAATGATCTCGTCCTGCTCGCGCGACGCGTGTTTGCCTTTACGCGCATTCTCCACATGTAGAGCCCTTTGAAGAGAGGAAAGAGCCGACTCTTTCCATAAAAAATGTAGGGTATAGGGTTTCGGCCACGGATGTAGGGTTTAGAATCGCGACCCCCACGCCGCGCGCGACCTCGACGCTATCCATCGATATCCATCGCCGCGACGTCGCGACGACCGCGCGCGAGCACCGCGCGCGCGGGCGAGGGGAGGACGACCACGTCCTGGGCGCCGGCGCGTGGTGTGGTCGCCAGAGGCGGGCGGGGGGATCGGCGGACGCGCGATGACGATCGGGACGACCACCGCGCGGGCGCGAATGGGCACGCGCGAACGGGCGCGCGTGGGCGCGGATGGGGCGTCGCGCGCGCGAACGCGGTGGTCTCGACGCGTGGTCTCGCCCGCGCGCGCGTGGGAAGGGACGGGTGGGGTGGAGACGCTCGGGACGGTGACGACGCGGCGCGGGGATCGCGCGAACGGGACGCGGGCGGCGACGGGGAAAGACGCGGATGGAGGGAAGACGCTGGAAGAGCGCATCGCGAGCGGTGAATTCACGGTGCAGGCGAAGACTGGACCGTATAGGGTGGTCGCCGATGCGATCAGAGGGGCGATTCCGGAGAATTCTGGGACGTTCGGTCGAGGCGTCAAGGCGGCGCTCGCGAGGTTATCGCGCAAGTGGCGGCGGAGGCGATGTCGAAGATGCCGGTGGCGACGGGGGATATCAGAGAGATTGCGGGACAACCGGTTTTTGTGCCGCTGTATAAGCTGTTTTTAGCGTACGGGGAGATGTTCGTCCTCGCGATCGGGCCGAAGAAGTTTGTCGTCGTGAGCGATAACGCCGTCGCGAAGGAAATGCTCCTGACGCAGGCGAAGAGCTTCTCCAAGGGATTACTGTCGGAGATCTTGGACTTTGTCATGGGCCAAGGGTTGATCCCGGCCAACGGCGAGGTGTGGAAGATTCGACGCAAGGTGATCGTCCCGAGCTTGCACAAAAAGTACGTCACGTCCATGGTCGGCATGTTTGGCGACTGCGGGTTGAAGGGCATGGCGCAGCTCGCGCGGGCGGAGAAAATGGGTGAATCGGTGGAGATGGAGAACTTTTACTCTCGGTTTGCGCTGGATATCATCGGTAAGGCTGTGTTCAACTACGATTTCGATTCTTTGACCACGGACGATCCGGTGATCAAGGCTGTGTACACCGTCCTGCGCGAGGCGGAGTATCGAAGCGTGACGTTCATTCCGTATTGGAAGGTGCCGCCGCTTCGCTGGCTCGTTCCGCGACAGCGCCAGTGCCAGGAGGCGCTCAAGGTTGTGAACGACACCTTGGATGAACTCATCGATCGATGCAAGAAGATTGTCGAGGAGGAGGACGAGGAGTTCGTCGAGGAGTACATGAACACGGATGACCCGAGCATTTTGCACTTTCTCATCGCGAGCGGCGACGACGTCACGTCCAAGCAGCTTCGCGATGATCTGATGACGCTCCTCATCGCCGGCCACGAGACCACGGCGGCGGTGTTGACGTGGACCACGTTCTTGCTCGCGAAGCACCCGGATATCAAGCAAAAAGTGTTCGAAGAGGTGGACCGCGTCGTGGGCGACCGTAACCCCACCGTGGCTGACATGCGCGAGCTCGTGTACACGACTCGGGTGATCAACGAATCGATGCGTCTGTACCCTCAACCGCCGGTACTCATCAGACGCGCCTTGGAACCCGTGACGCTGGGTGGATACAACATCGACGCCGGCACAGACTTCTTCATCTCCGTCTGGAACTTGCACCGCAACCCGCGAATTTGGCCCGAGCCGGATGCGTTCAAGCCAGAGCGCTTCCCGATCGAGGGACCGATGCCGAACGAGTACACCGAAGATTACGCCTACCTTCCCTTTGGTGGTGGACAGCGTAAATGCGTGGGCGACCAGTTTGCGATTTTCGAGTCCATCGTCTCTCTGGCTATGCTCATGCGCCGCTTTGATTTCGAGCTCGACGAGTCCAAGCACCCCGACGGCGAGTGCGGGATGACCACGGGCGCGACCATTCACACCACCAACGGTTTGCACGTCCGTCTCAAGCGACGCGAGGGGCGAGGCGGCGCTGAAATGTCTGGAGCGGTCAGGGGTAAGGCATTAACCGAGTTGGATGACGTCGACGTCGTCAGAGGGTCCATCGACGCGCCGACGGCGAGCGCGGATGAGGTGGACGTCCTCATCGCCGAGGATATAGACGCGGGGACGGTGGAGAAGATCCAGCGAGCGACGAAGATCATCGAGGAGGAGGAGGCGCGCGCGCGTTAAACGGTGGTGTGGGTGACTACCCGGGTAGCGGGTTGATAGCAGCGAAGGTCAATTTTTAACACGAGGACGATGAGTTTTACTTTTTTTTGACGGCCGGCGAAAAAATAATTGGAATAAATCACAAATAATCGAACTAGTGCGTACACGTGTGTTAGCTGCTGATCAAATCGCCAGTTTATTCATCGTCGCTTCGATGACATCGTTCACGACGACCGTGGCCGTGGACGTTCCCGGATCGGCGGGATAAATAAAAGCGACGACGGCGGTGATGTCGTCCGCGCGCTCGTCGTTCTCTTGCCAACGCGTGTACGCGGCGCGAACGATGGCGTGCGCGGCGAGCTCAGCCGCCTCCGGGGCGTTCTCATCGTAGAACTTTTCTGCGATGGACATCGTTTCCGCGCTCGACATGAACTCGAAGACGCCGTCCGAGGCGAGGATTAAGCACCGCGTCGTAGGCTCTTCCGCCAAGTCGTACGTCGACATCTCTGGCGTCGCGGAGACCCCGAGTGATTTCCCCACCGTGTCCCCGATCGAGCGCGTGAACGCGCACCCGGGGAATCGCTGACCCGCCATGAACACCCGCGGTGGATCGTCGCAGTACTCGTCCTCCGACCCGGGTTCACCGTCGCCAAAGTCTTCGTGCGACTCGGTTTCGCCCAAAACCATCCCGATGGTGGCGAACGTCATCGCGCTCTGCGCCTCGACTCGCATCCGCTTTCGCTCATCCGCGCGAAAGCACGTCTGATCCCTCGTTAAATCCTTCACCTCCCACTTCTTCGTGTGCCGATTCCTCGGCGTTTGCCCTGGACCGACCTCGACGCCGACCACCGCGCGAGAGTCGCCCACGTTCCCCACGCGCACCGTCCCGCGCGAGTCAAAAAGCGCCGTGATCGCCGTGGACCCACTGAACGAGGCATCATCCCCGAGCGAATCACACACCGTCGCGTTCACGCGCTCGAACGTGCGCTCGTACCCCCCCGTTCCCATCGAAATCCCTCGAGTTTCTCGCTTTAAAAACTCCGCAAACGCGCCGCCGGCGATCGTCGCGCACGCCTCGCCGTGTTTCCCGTGCCCATCGAACACGCCGAGCAACAGTTCCCCACACGACCGCTCCAATACCACATCGCTCCCAAATTCATCGATGCTCTCCTCTCGATGCGTCAACCCCTCGCCCGCGACGACGACCCACGCGTCTTGATTCACGTGATCCTCCTTCCTCGGATACCATCCCTCCTGACACACCACCGCGACGCGTACCCCCCACCGATCACCCAGCTTCACCTCCCGCGCCCTCGAGACCTCTCGCCGGGTGACATCCATGCTGAACCGCCGCGCGCGCGTCGTCGGCCGGCGGCGCCCGGCGCGTCCATCGCGTCGCCGCGTCCCGAGGCGCGGTCCCCCCCGCGCGCGACCGCGCGTCGACGTCTCCCCCCACGACGTCCGCGTCCATCGCGCTCGATCCCACGCGCGCGTCCGAGCGCCCGCGCGTCGCGTCGCCCATCGCCCGCGGGCGAAACGTCCCGGGATCGAGCGCCATCGTCCTGTGCGGTGGACGCGCGTCGGCGGCGCGCGGGTGTCGCGAAAACACACGTCACTCGTGGACGCACATCACATCGGACGTTCACGTCGTGGAGTACGACTCGATCGTCCGATGTAACGCGCGTGATGCCGTCGAGACGAGGGTTCGGATAAAATATGAGAGATGAGAGACGAGAGATGCGATGACGGATGACGGATGAAAGATGCGGGATGAGAGATGAGAGATGCGGTCGATGCGGACGCGGACGTCGACGCGGGGTGGATGTTTGTGCGCACCGTGTGTTGCGTCGTGATCGGTCACGTTATGTATGGGTAAACAGTATGACCGGGGGTACTCCAACGTGTGTGTCACCTCGGACACGTTTCGGGATTCATCCAGATCGAACGGGCGCGTTTTCGCCGTCGTGGCGTTTTCGCGCGGAAATGCGCCCGTTCGATCTCCCCGTGGGGTGATTTCATCTCAAAAGGAGCGCTTCACGCGGTGTGGAAAAAAAATGTACGAATGGTACAACCTAAACCCTAAACCCTTGTATCGTGTATATGTATGATACATGGGCGTATGTACGATTGAATACGGAGACGTGCGATCCCCGCGTGGGACGGCGGCGCATCGCCATCGCCGTCGCCATCGCCGTCGACCGCGCACGACGACGCGCGCGGGACGATGGCGACGGACGTCGGCGAGGTACGCGCGCGCGCGAGGACGGTGACCGCGCGCGAGACGCGCGCGACGACGCGTGGTCGACGGCGCGACGGTGACGCGACGCAATGGTGGAGGGTTTGTGGACGACGATGGACGATCGCGCGCGACGCCGCGCGCGGGCGACGCGCATCGTGGATGGGGGCGAAGAGGATGTTCGCGCTCGGTGACTGACGGCGCGATGTCGGCGCGCGACGCAGTTGGCGAGCAAGTTGGACGCGCACTTGGTGCTGCCGTTGTTGGAGTTCGCCGCTTCGCGCGGGACGCACGCGAAGGCGGACGTCGACGCGGCGCGGGTGGAGATTTTGAAAAAGACACACATGTGTGATTACTTAGCCGACGTGAGCGGTGTGAGCGTCGATGCGGCGACGCGCGAGGAGGTGTTGAAGACGCACGAGACTTTGCGCGCGGCGGCGTCAAAGGCGGCGGAGTTCGCGAGCGACGGCGCGGCGATCAAGGCGATGCGCAGGGATAAGGGTGAGAACGCGAAGATCGCGGAGGCGAGCCATGGGATCACGAGCGCGGACGTGGAGGCGTTGTATACGTTTGCAAAGTTTGAGTACGAGTGCGGGGAGTACGCGAGCGCGTCGGAACACCTCGGAGCGGTGCAACTTCTGAGCGCCGACAGCGCGCGATGCGAGAGCGCTTTGTGGGGGAAGTTTTCGGCGGATATTTTGCTCCAAAACTGGGCCGCGGCTTTGGACGACATGAACAGATTGCGCGACGCGTTGGAGACGAACGCGAGCTCGAGCGCGTACGTGAAGATGAAGCAACGCGCGTGGTTGCTCCACTACGCCCTGTACGTCTTCTTCAACCACCCGAACGGGCGAAACTCAATCGTGGACGTGATGTTCCAAGAGCGTTACATGCAAGCGGTGCAGCAAGAGTCGCCGCATCTGTTGCAATATCTCGCCGTCGCGATTGTCGCCAACAGGAAGCGAAGAAACATGATCAAGGACCTAGTGAAGATTATTCAGAGCGATTCCTACCGCGATCCCGCGCTGGAGTTCATCCTCGCCCTTTTCGTGGACTATGATTTCAAAAAGGCGACCGAGAAGTTGAAGCAGTGCGACGACATGATTGAGAAGGACTTCTTCTTGATCGGCACCAAGGAGGCGTTCGACGAAAACGCGCGCGCGTACTTCATCGAAAACTACTGCCGAGTGAACAAGCGAATCGACATCGGTGCCTTAGCGTCGACGCTCGAAATGTCCGCATCCGCCGTCGAGGCATCCATCGTGACGCTCATTCGTCAGAACAAGCTCAACGCGCGCATCGACGCCGAGGCGGGCGTCGCGCACGTGCGCGTGGAGACGAAATCCATCAACGAGCAAATCATCGAAAAGACCAAGGCTTTGCTCTCAAAGACGAACGCGTTAACCCAGGCGGTGTTGGCCAACACGCAGGCGCAGGCGTTTTAATCCATCGTTACTTCGTCAGCCTCTTCGCGCGTCGCCCGCCGTAACCGACTCGCGCGTCGCCCGCGTCCCTCAGTCATCGCTCGCCATGCTCCGTCGATTCGCTCGCGCCTCGCTCGCGCCTCCCTCCACCTCGCGCGCGGTGTCGTCGTCCAAGGACGTCGTCCGATCGCCCTCGCCCTGGCGTCCCGTGCGCGACGAGCGCACGGGCGAGGTGTACTGGTGGAACACGCGGACGAACGAGACCACCGCGGTGGGTGCGCCGAGGCCTCGGAGCGACGCGCTCGTGGACGATCCGAATCACCGAATCACCGGTGGTGGGGGACGGGAGACGTTCGGGCAGGCGATCTCGGGAAGTTTCTTCATGGGCGCGGGGGTGGCGCTGGGTTTCGGAGCGATCGGCGCGTTGTTCCGAATGTTCTGACTCGCTCGAACGCGCGCATCGACGACCGGTGCGCGATGCGATTGTGGTGTACATATGCGTTACAGCGTGTGCGACGGCGCCACGTGGGGCGCGATTGAATTTAGCTCACCGGTCGCGCGTCGGCTGGAACCGCGCGTCCGAGGAGACGACGAGAGAGAGAAACTGAAACCAGACGGGTGAATCGTTCGTGTTCGCGTGGAATCAATCGCAGCAATCATCGGCGTTCCGCGGAAATCTCCGGGAAGGAGAGACTCGTCCTAGGACACTTGAGAACGAGAAGCCCGCGCGGGGCGGAGACCCCGCGCGCTCTTTTCATCGAGCGCGGAGTTCGCTTCATCGAGTAGACGCATCGCGCATGAGCTCGTTCAGCGCCTCGAGCGCGGTGCAACCTTTTCGATGAAGCACATCATTCATACGTGGGACGTACGCGTACCCAGTGCGATGATCTTCGTCCCGGTCGGCGCGGTCCCGGTCGGCGCGGTCCCGGTCGACGCCCGCGTCGTTCGGGACGCGCGACGACGCGTCCAGTCCGTCGACCCGTTCGACGTCCACGCGTCGACCAGGTGAGCGCGAATGCCGTACATCGTCCATGTTCGTCGAACGGCGCGTTGTTTTACGACCGTCAGCGCGTCGTTCGTGTCGTTCGTGATCAACCGCGTCGTCTCTCGCGCGCCGTTCCGGGACGCGCGCGCCCTTGGATGGAAACGCGAGACTCCCGTGCGGAACACGTGTAATCTCTGGGCAAACGTCACCGTACTCGTCGTGAATGACGCACATGGGTCCGACCGATGCGAGCGACGCGCGTACGCGGCTCTTCGTGCGAGGATGAAAAGCTCTGTCGACGCTCACGACGCTTCGCGACGCTTCGCGTCGTGTTGTGACGAGTGCCCACCTCGACACGCGCCCCTCTTTGGTGGATGACGGCGTGTGAAGCGTCGTGACTCTCGCGCGTTCGCTTCGTGAGATTTCTCGGGATCGTCGACGCGTCGCGGCGTCCGAGAGACTGCGGCGAACATTCTTGGAATGTGAAAAGACATTTTTCTACTTCAGGCGCGCGTCGACGTAGCCGAAGCGGCTCCTGGCAAAGATAAAAGCGTGATACGCGAGGGTCAACACGGCGAAGAACGCGATGACGACGAACGCGGAGAACCACTCCGCGGAGTGCACGCGCTTGGCGTTCGGTGTCGCCGCGACGGGACTGCCGATTGCCGCGACGAATCCGCTCGTCTTCTTCTTGCTCTTCTTCTTGCGCGTGCGCCCAGAGGCGGAGTGCTCAGAATCGGTCGCGTCCGTCGCCTCTACCTCGTAGGTCGTCAATAATGCATCGATTTCAGCCATTCGCTGCGCCTTCTTTCGTTCCTTTGCCAGCTTGCGGCGTTGCGTCTCCGTGAGCGTCGACTCTTCAATCGTCGGTGGTTCGATCGGCGCCGGAGACGGGTCGACCGCGTCTTTTTCTTCCGACACACATTCGAGCGTTTCCGTCTCCGGCGACATCGTCGTTTCCTCTGGCATCTGAGCGTCGTCCATCGCGTCCCCGTTTGAGCGTTTCTCAGCCTCGAGCGCCTCTCTCGCCGCCCTTTCAGCCGCCTTGCGAGCTTTTTGCGCCTCGCGTTTCGCCGCCTTCTCCGCCGCCGCCTTCGCCGCTTTAATCTCTTCCTGCCTCGCCCGCGCCTCCGCCCGCGCCTTCGCCTTCGCGGCTATTCTCGCGTTCTCCGCCGCCGCCTCCGCCGCCGCGACGTCATCCGCCGCCGTCGCGTCCGATTCGCTCGCCCCCGTCCCGTCGCTCGTCGACTTCTTCTTCTTCGGCTTCTTCTTCCCCTCTTTCCCCTTACTCGCCGCGCGCAAACGCACGGCGGCCTCTTTCGCCTCCTCTTCCAACAACGCCCGCGCGTGCGCGTCCGCCGCCGCCGTCGCGACCGCGATCGCCCGCGCCTCCACCACCGCCTCCACCTCCGCCGTGAGCGCCAGCCGCGACGCCGGGAGCCACACCCGCCCCTCCACCCCCTCGAACTCCACCCCACACGTCGGCGGCCACGTCGTGGTGTCCACCGACCGCACCCGTCCCGAACCCGTCTCCGCGACGCCGCGCGCGTCGAACGCCGTCACCACCGACCCCACCGGGAAGTACTCCGCCACGCTCGATCGCTCGGCGCGAATGACGTCCCCGGCCCTTCCCACGCCCGCGGCGTCGTCGACCAACCGCGCGTGGACGTCGCCGTCGTCGGCACCGCGATGGATGATTCTCGCGACGACCGGGATCCACCCCTCGCGCGGCCGCACGTGCGCGAGCGCGCCCTCCGGGAGCGTCTCGCGACACCCCGCGCGCTCGACCGCGGCGTCGGCCGTCGCGGGGCCCATCGCGCGCGCGCCCGTCGACGCGCGCGCCCGTCGACGCCCGTCGATGGATGTCGATGATTGTCAAAAGGTATCGAAAGGCGCGCATCGAAAGGCGACGAAAGGCGTCGAAAGGCGCGCGTCGTGCCTTTCGACGCCTTTGGCGTGACACCGTCGACGCCTGTCGAGCGCATCGACGCATCGGCACGCGCGCGCGCGCGATGTCGACCCGTCGCGCCGTCACCGGGGCGGTCTCGACCGTCGCGCGCGCCCGCGCGTCGATCGCGCGCGTCGTTCGCGGCGCGCGAACGACGGGCGACGGGGATTCGACCGATGCGCGCGCCGCCAGTCGATGGCGCCGAGGTGAACTCTCGCGCGCGGATGTGAACCCGTACGGGAGCCGCGCGCGGGGGCGGGTGATCGCGCGGGCGATCGAACGCGTCGAACGCGTCGCCGCGGCGACCGCGCGGCGCGCGGGGGGGCGGACGACGCGGGAAGACGCGATCGAGGGCGACGACGTCGACGCGACGGGAGACGCGAGGCGCGGCGCGAGGCGCGATGGATGTTTTCTCGAGCGGTGCGCGCGCGTGGCGCTGGTGGGGGCGCCGAACGCGGGGAAGAGCGCGTTGGCGAACGCGCTGGTGGGTGATACGGTGAGCGCGGTGAGTCGAAAGACGAACACGACGAGACGACGGGCGATCGGGTGTCGAACGGTGGGCGACGCGCAAGTCGTGATCGTGGACGCCCCAGGGGTGGTCGGGCGAGAGCACTACAGGAACGCGGCGCACGGGAGAAAGGTGGAGCACGCGTTCGAGACGGCGGCGGAGTGCGACGCGCTCGCCCTCGTTGTGGACGCGAGACGACAGCTCGAGCGGAGGGACACGAGGATATTGGACATCGTGCGTCGAGTGCGCGAGGCGATGGATGAGATTAGAGAGGACAAGGGTGCGGACGCGCGCGCGGTGTTGGTGCTGAACAAGGTGGACGACGTGCCGAAGGAACTCAGGGCGGGTCTGGTGAAGATGGTCGACGATTTCCAAAAGGCTGGGGGCGAGGGGTTCAAGTTTGATCGTGTTTTTCCGGTGAGCGCGCTCACGGGGGCCGGGACGCGAGCTTTGCTCGAATATCTCTTAGACACCGCTCCGGAGGCACCGTGGGAGTTTGACCCGATGAAATCGAGCGACATGACTGACGCGCAGCGCGCGTTGGAAATCGTTCGGGAGAGCGTGTACAACCGACTCAACGCCGAGATACCGTACGAAGTCGACATCGCGCACGTCTCTTGGGAGGATTTCAGAAACGGCGACGTACGCATAGAGCAGAACGTACTGGTCGATACCGCGTCACAGCGTAAAATTGTCGTCGGGAAATCGGGAGAGGTCATCGGGCAAATCGGCATCAGCGCCAGAGTACTCCTCGAGCACGTGCTTCGTCGAAAAGTGCATCTCATCTTGAACGTGCGTCTCAAGAAGAAGAAGAAGAATTACCGCATGTCCGACGACATCATATACGCGGAGAACTATTAGGGAACTAGATTTTTTAGTGCGCAGAAAATAGTATGTTGATTTTGATCGTTTGCTTTGTGGTGTGGATTAAAACTAAAACGTTTTTGGGTCGTCGTCGGTTCCGGTACCGGTACCGTTTGGGAAAGAATTCGTTGCGGCGAGATTAAGCCTCCAAAGACTTGGACACGATTTCGAACACGTTCTCGCTGAGTCCCTTCTTAGCGCGGATGCGCTCGAGCTGAGCGCGCATGGCACTCGAGCGAGACGGTTCGTACTTCTTCCATCTCGTGAACGCGCTCACCATGCGAGATGCAACTTGGCCGTTCAAGTCATCGAGTTTGATGACGACGTCGGCGAGGAATTCGTAGCCGGATCCGTCTGCGGCGTGGAAGTTCACGGACGACGCACAGAAGCCACCGATGAGGGAGTATACTTTGTTCGGGTTCTTGATGTCGAACGCCGGTCCTTCCATGAGCGCCTTGACGTTGGCGATGTTGTTCGGGAGGTTTGACATGGCTTGAAGGCCAAGCCACTTGTTCATCACGAGCGGATCCTTGTTCCACTCTTCGTAGAACTCGGCGAAAGCCTTGATGCGTTCGTCGCACTCTTTGTCGCTCAGCGAGTTGAGAGCGGCGATCTTGTCCGTCATGTTGTCGGCGGACGCGAAGCGCTCGTACGTCATCGCCGCGATCGCCGCGTCGTCCAAGTAGGACAAGTAGCCAATGCACGTGTTCTTGAGCGATCGAGCGGCGCGATCGGCGGGCTCGTTGGAGTACTTCTCGGCACTGTTAGCCTTCATCGTGGCTTCGAGATCGGCGCGAAGCTCGGTAGCGAGCGTCTTCATGACAAACGTGCGTGCCTCGTGGATCTTCGCGGGATCCACCGTTCCCTCGTCGAGCATGTCGCTGAGCTCACCCGCAGACGGAACCATCATCGCGCGCGCGATGAAAGCCTTGTCGGCGTTCGGCTCCTTGGCTCCAGCGATGATCGCACGCATTGCGGTCGTAATGGCGGCGTCCATCTTGTACTGACCGTCACCTTTGATCAAGTCCAGCAAGAGCGTGCGAAGAAGCGTCTGGCCGGCTTCCCAGCGGTTGAACGCGTCAGAGTCGTTCGCCATCAGGAAAACGAGATCGTCCTGCGTCAGGTTGGTTGTCAGCCGCACGGGGGCGCTGAAGTTACGTAAGATGCTCGGCACGGGCTTGGCCTCGACACCGGTGAACGTGTACGTCGCCTCGGCCTTGTCGAATCTGAGCACCGTCGTCGTGCCAACAGACTTGCCGTCGAGTGTGAGCTCCATGTCCTTCCCGTCCGGACCGACGAGACCGACGGCGACGGGGCACATCACCGGGATCTTCGTATCTTGACCCGGTGTCTTGGGGACGACTTGCGTCAAGCTGAGAGTGAACGTCTTCGCATCGGCGTCGTACGAGCCGTTAGCAGTGACGCGCGGCGTGCCCGCTTGCGAGTACCACGGCTTGAACGTGGACAAATCCGCGCCGTTGGCGTCGCTCATAGCGGCGAAGAAATCTTCCGTCGTCACAGCCTGGCCGTCATGTCGCTGAAAGTACAGGTCCATGCCCTTGCGGAAGCCATCCTTACCGAGAAGCGTCTCGTACATGCGCACGACTTCGGCGCCCTTCTCGTAAACCGTCACCGTGTAAAAGTTGTCCATCTTGATGTAAGACTCCGGGCGAATCGGGTGCGCCATCGGGCCGGCATCTTGCGCAAATTGCGCGGTGCGAAGCCGAGAGACGTCACCGATGCGCTTGACCCCGCGCGAGTTCATGTCCGCGCTGAACTCTTGATCGCGATACACGGTCAACCCCTCCTTGAGAGACAGTTGGAACCAGTCCCGGCACGTCACGCGGTTGCCGGTGTAGTTGTGGAAGTACTCGTGCGCGACCACGCCCTCGATTGCTGCGTAATCCGCATCTGTCGCACTCTGCGGCGTCGCGAGCACGAGACGAGAGTTGAAGATGTTCAGCGACTTGTTCTCCATCGCGCCCATGTTGAAGTCGTCCACGGCGACGATGTTGAACAGGTCCAAGTCGTACTCCAACCCAAACGTCTCCTCGTCCCACTTCATCGACTTGATCAAGCTCGTCATCGCGTGCGCGCACTTGTCGATATTGTGCTTCTCAGTGAAGATTCTCAGCGTCACGTCCTTGCCCGACATCGTCTTAAACTTGTCCTCAATCATCCCCAGGTTACCGGCGACGAGCGCGAACAAGTAGCACGGCTTGACCCATGGATCCTCCCAAACCGTGAAGTGCCTTCCACCCTCGAGCTCGCCGCTGTCGATCAGGTTTCCATTCGATAGCAACACCGGATACTTTGCCTTATCCGCCTCGATTCTCGTCGTGAACGTCGACATACAATCCGGTCGATCCTGGTAAAAAGTAATCCTTCGGAACCCCTCCGCCTCGCACTGCGTGCAAAAGTTCCCGCTCGACTTGTACAACCCCTCCAACGCCGTGTTCTCCTGCGGCTCGATCGTCGTCGTGATCGACAACTCAAACGGTTCGTTCGGAAGATCTTTCAAAGTCAAACCTTTCGATCCTCTCTCGTATCGCTCGTGCGCCGACCCGTTCACCGTCACGCCGTCCAACTTGACCGACTCATCCCCGTGCAGGAACAACTCCCCCGTCGACCCGCTCGCGGGCACCGCGGAGATGATGCTTCGCACCGTCGTCCCCTGCTCCCTCAAATCGAACGCCAGCTCAACCTTGGCGAAGGAATGACTCGGTGGTTTGTAATCTCTCAGAAAGATCTCCTTCGGGACATCCTTCGTGGTCTCTTGCGGCGTTTGTGTCGTCATCGCGCGCGTGTGGGTTCGAGGGCGAACGGCCGACGGTCTTCCCGATGGCTTGCGTCGATCGGCGCGAGCGACGACGCCGAGGGCGCGGGTGGCGACGCGGGAGACGCGACGCATGTGAATGACGTCAGTGGATTGTTACTTTTTCGTCAAAAATGCCAAGTTACGGGCGCGCGACCCGTCGCGGCGCGCGGGGAACGGGTTCTGGGTGATTTCAGATCGCTCACGACGCGCGGATCATGAAAGCGCGGTCGCGATTGTTCGAGGCTGTCTTTTCGTGCGCTATCGATGGGTCTAGAGCGATGTATGTTACATGTATTCGGGACGCTCACACGAGCGGAGCGGTCTCATCTTCGGCGGAAGTCGTTCGACGGCGGCGACGACGAGCGGCGACGTAACCGATGAGGGTGACGACGGAGGCGACGGCGACGGCGATGATGGTGACATCGGTATTGTGCGCGCCGCGCGCCGCGTCGACGGCATCTTGACGCTCGGCGCTGACGCTCGTCCCGGTGCGCGCCGCGCCCGTTGAGGAGAGATCGTACTGGCACTTTGACATGAACGGCTCGCTCACGGCGCTCAGGGTCGTACTCAGATCCTCGTAGGAGCTCTCGTGAGTCCCAAAAGGGCTGTGGTCTTCCTTGGCATCGGCGTAATATCCTGGGAGATATGTCTCCTTGTAGACGCCCGCGAAATGGCATGCCTGCGCGCCTCGAATCGACGCCTCTTTGAGCGATTCGCACGGCGTGTTGATTGCGCACGCGTCTACCTCATTCATCGCGCCCACGGCTTTATACTTTTTTAGCAGACCCGAGTGCACGAAGGCGCCCTGCTCGTACGTCGAACCGGCGAAATTTCCAGTCGACGTCCAGTGACCGTCCTGACCCCTGGACCACGCCTCGACCGGGTACGTCTTCGTCCAAGCAGTCATAATCTCCCGCCCTCTCGTCGTATTCGCGCATCCCCAGAACCCAGCGTTGAACTCGGAGCCCCAATACTCGTCCGGCGGCGTCATCGACGGGTCTCGCGAGTAGAAGAAATCCTTCCCGTCGAAGAGCTCCTCCGCGATCTCGCTAACGCTCCGAACCGTCGTCTCACACCGCGCACCCGCACACACCGACCGCGAATCGTGAAACGTCGCGTCCGAATCCACCCAAATCACCCTCGCGCACTTCAACGCCGCGTCCTCCAGCGCGCGTTTCGCCGCGAACACCTTCGCCCAATACGGCGGGTACGCGTCCAACGCCGTCGCCCCCCCGTCCCCACCGCGCGTCCCGCTCGCGTTCGACGACCCATCACCGTCGCCGACGTACGCGCACGACGCATCGCGCGCGCACAGCTCGCGCACGCGCGCCGTGAGCGCGAGCATCCCATCGTTCGCGTCGTCGCCGTCCTCCGCGCGCGTGTCGCGCTGCACCACGCACGTTCGACCGCGCGCGCCGCCGTCGCCGCCGTCGCGCGCGCGCCGCGCGTCCACGCCGCGCGCGCGCGCTCGAGTCATCGCCGCGCGCGTCGCCTCGCGCGCCCGCGCCGTGGTCTCGCGCGTCGACGACGATGGGTGTTCGACGGTGCGTGGGTGTTCGCGACGTCCGGTGCTCGACCGGTGCTCGACCGGTGCTCGACCGGTGCTCGACCAATGCGCACCTTTCGACGCCTTTCGAATTCGATCGGTGCGAGACGGGACGCGGAATTCATCGGCGCGCGCGCGGCGATGTCGACCACGCGCGACGATTACGAGCGCTCGAGGGCGGGACGAGACGCGCGACGGGTCGAACTCGCGATGTCCACGGTGCGCGATGCCGACGTCGAGGAGGTGCGCGAGGGGTTCGCGTTTGAGAAGAATTTTTACGTCGAGCACCCGGCGACGGCGCGTCGGTCGCTCGCGGAGAACGAGGGGACGATGAAGCGCATGGAGATCCGAGTGACGCGAGGTGGCGTCGACGCGCCGAAGTGCGTGTTGACTTTTACCGAGGCGTCTTTTCCGTCGTACGTGACGGAGGATCTGTTGCGAGAGAAGTTTGAGGCTCCGAGCGCGGCGCAGTCGCTCGCGTGGCCGAGCGCGCTGAGCGGACGGGACGTCGTCGCGGTGGCGGAGACCGGGTCGGGGAAGACGCTCGCGTACGTACTGCCGGCGATCGTGCACGTGAACGCGCAACCGGTTTTGGCGCCGGGGGAAGGGCCGATCGCGCTCGTGTTGGCGCCGACGCGAGAGTTGGCGTGTCAAATCGAGCTCGAGGTGGCGAAATACGCCGCGTCGAGTCAACTGAAGCACGCGTGCGTGTACGGGGGAGCGCCCAAAGGGCCGCAGGTGAAGGCTCTAAAATCGGGCGAGTGTGAGATTTGTGTCGCCACACCGGGACGGTTGATTGATTTCTTAGAGAGGGGCGTGACAAATCTCAGGAGAACGACATTCGTCGTCTTAGACGAGGCTGATCGCATGTTAGACATGGGCTTCGAACCTCAAATTCGTAGGATAGTGTCTCAGACGAGACCCGATAGACAGACTCTTTTGTTCACCGCGACGTGGCCGGTCGAGGTGAGAGAGATAGCGCGAACACTTGTTCGCAACAATCCGGTGGAATTTCGAGTCAGCGGCGCCGGTGATAGTTTGTTAGCGTCCAAAAATGTTGAGCAAATCGTCCACGTAATGAACGGCGATGAAGAGGACAAATATGAAAAGCTCATCGAGACACTTGAGCGAGAGATGGACGGCGAACGGTTGCTCGTGTTCGTGGAGACCAAGGCCTCGGTGGACGCGCTCACGCGCAAGCTTCGAGTCGGCGGTTGGCCCGCATTAGGATTACACGGCGACAAGGAGCAAAAAGAGCGCGACTGGGTTCTCAGCGAGTTTAAAAGCGGCTCTTCTCCGATCATGATCGCTACCGACGTCGCCTCACGCGGTCTTGACGTTGAGGGTGTGAAGCTCGTTGTGAACTACGATTTCCCGAACCGCGGCGGCGTGGAGGAGTACGTCCACAGAATCGGTAGGACCGGCAGAGCAGGGCGACTCGGCAAATCCGTAACGTTTTTCACCATTCGCGACGGGCGACACGCGAGAGGTTTGGTGGACGTCTTACGCTCCAGCGGCCAACGCGTCCCGGACGCGCTCGCAAACGCCGCCGCCGATTCGTAGTATGACTTCACTTCTCGCCGCCCGTGGTGGTCGAGCGCGAATCACCGCTCGGTAATAGCACGCACACAAACACGTCTAGTAACGTTCACGAAGCGCGAACGAGATGTCCTTCGCCAAGCTTTATCTCGCGACGTACAACGCGTCGCTGATCGCGGGTTGGCTCTCCGTCCTCGTCTTCGGTTTCTCCGCCCTGCGCGCCACCGGCGCCGCGTCCGTGTACGACGCGATCGAGAAACCCTTGGTATGGTCCCAGACCGCGGCCGTGCTCGAGATCGTCCACGCTGCGATCGGTCTCGCTCGCTCTCCCGTAGTCGTCACCGCGATGCAGGTGAGCTCGCGTTTGATGGTCGTCTGGGGGGTGTTAATTCTCGCCCCGGAGTCCAGAACGGCTAAGATGGGTGTCGTCGGGCCGTTGGAATTAGGCGTTCCGAGCCTGATCCTGGCCTGGGGCGTCACCGAGGTGATAAGGTATTCTTTTTATTTTTTCAAGGTTGCGACGAAGGACGGTGAAGTCCCGCGAGCGATTGTTTGGTGTCGATACACGCTCTTCATCGTGTTGTATCCGCTCGGCGTAAGCTCGGAACTTTTCTTGGCGAAGAGTGGGTTCGCACAGTTGGTTAAGACGAACCCGTTGGCGTTGGAGATGCCGAATAAGTTAAACATTGCGTTTCACTTTCCGACGTTTATGGTGTTGTTCTTCCTCGGCTACGTCCCGGGTTTCCCCATGCTGTACGGGTACATGCTCGACGCCAGGAAGAAGGTGCTCGGGACGAAGAGTAAGAGAGATTAGAGGGGATTTACGTTGTAATGATGGATCAAAGTCTTGGCGTTCGATGAGCTATGGATATTATCAAACAGGAGCGGACGCTCCTCGACTATAGTTTACATGAAGAGCGGCACGCGCTCCTCGAGTTGTTTCGCCGACGCCGTGTTCGCGTTCGATCGCAAAAACTTGACCAATCCGTAGAAAACGACCATGACGAGCGTCATGAACGCGTTCAGGTAGAAAATCGTCTGCTTGCGCAAAAAATTGGTCCAGCCGTATGACCAGTCGCCCTGAAGACACAGGACGTTGTAGTGGTTCATGATGAAGAACGCTGAGCAGTAAAAGATTGGCTGCGACATGTAGCACTTTGGAAACACCAATCGTCCGACCGAAGCCTCGAAGAGCATCAAAACTACCGTACCGATGTATCCGAGCATGTACTGCGGCTCGAGGTAACACAGTCGCGAGTCGGGACTTGTCAACGTCGACCACTCCCCTCGAGCGCTTGATGGCACGCACTGCGGCGAAAAGATCGCCTCAAAGATCACCGTGATGGTGAATACCACGCTCATCGTGAACGCAACCGTGTACAAGGCCATGACCCAGTGACCCAAGGTGTTGCACCGCCCGCTGTGCCCGAGGTATCGATCGAGCGTCCCCGGCGTCGAGCACATCGCCAGCACGCTCGCGCTCGTCGCCAGCAAGAAGAACGCCGTCACCGCGTACAAGGTCCAATCGTGCAAGTTCAAAAATTCTGACATGTTCAGCGCGTACGTCCCCGTGCCTTCGTTCTTTGTAATCGGCGAGCTCCCGAATCGCCCCACGTACGCCCCGCACGCGCACAGCGCGCACAGTCTGTACATCAACAAGAACATCCCGCTCTTCCCGAACGACTCCGCGGTGACGCTCCTCGCCGTCGCCCCACCGGCGTACGCCAACCCTCCGTTCATGCGATAGTACTGTAAATTATCCCCGGCGAACCCGAACCACATGAAGCACGAGCACGCGCAAAACGTCGCCCAAAAGTACCTCAACGGGTCGTGTTTCCAATCCACGTACTCGTTCGCGTCGTTCAGCAGCTGCTTCATCGCCGTCGCGTTCGCCATCGCCGCGTCGTACACCACGTTCGCCATCTCACCCACGAGCACCGACGTCGCCGTCTCCGCCGTGTTCGCGCCCAGGTTGGGTGTTGCGCTCGCGAGCGTCGCCATGTCCCCCTCTCCGCGTCGTCGACGCCCCGTGCGCGCGCGTGCGCGGTGCGTACACCCCGAACGACGTCTTCGCGGTCGTTCGCGAGCGTTCGAGCGCCGATCGACCGCGCGCGCGCGTCGATGTGCCGATCATCGCGTCGACGCACGGGTTTAGTGTTGCGTTCGCCCGCCCCAGGCCTCACACGACGACATGCTCGCGCTCGACCGCCTCGTTCGCGCCTCCGT